CTTAAATTTCGACACTCGTAGATTATTTAAAATAAAAATTATTGATTACAAAACTGTCAAAGAACAACACAACATTTTATTCCAGCAGACGACAAAATTGTCATTTTGTCCACAAGGATCGCCACTACAGACCTATTTCCAATTCTTCCAAGAAAGGGGGGGGGGTACCAAGTTACTACACGGAGAAACTTTGTAAACCACTTTTTCTTAAACTCACTATGTATTTTTAGTAAATTCACTACCAAAGTAAGGAAAAACTGCAACCATATCAATTTTTCTTAGTCTCACTATTAAAATTTGTCATTGGATCGAAAATTAAATTTCACGAAAAAACATTTCGTCGAATGTCAATGCAAAGTGGTCACCCATCCAAGTACTAACCGCGTCCAACGTTGCTGATCCGATGAGAACTTGTTCCTTCGCCTTGGTGTTTCCGCTGTTTTGTCTTGATAAATAACTTTTTCGTATTAGATATTGTATCGCACTTAACCTCACTTCTACTGACACGAAGCACCACAAATACACTCCAACTTCACAAAAAAAAACCATAGAGTAGTATAAGGAGACCGAACGCCGTACATTGAAAGTGGACCAAATTATGGTAACCTCTTAGTGTCATGAAAAAACGTAATGGAACACAAGCGCTCTCGTGGGAAGTATGTAAACAGTGGGAAAAATTAGCAGTACGTTGGAACATAACCCAAAAATACATTGCTCTTTATTTTTAAAACTTTTACCATGGTTGACTGTCCAGCTGAGTTTAATACAATCAGTGGCGCTAGTGTTTCATTACGTATATTTTCATGACACTAAGCGGTTACCAAAATTTGGTCCACTTTTAATGCAGATTTAACATGGTCGATCGGTCTCCTCATACTACTCCATGAAAAAAATAGAAATAATGTTCACTTCAAACAGATTCTCAATAATTAAAAGAATTATAAGCTTGAATATAAGAGATGTACATGACATGATATATTTTTTTGAGGGGGGGGGGGTTTCATAGACAAGCTCACATGTGCTCAGGAGAGTACTGTATGTTTTAACCCTTTACGGTACACATTTTTCATTCCATTCAAAAATACAGATGATCACACCCGTAAGGGTTTTTGGGGTCACTGATTACAAATCTAAAGTCAGTTTTCAAAAATTCAAAATGGCGGATCCAATATGGCGGACGACTTTTTGAAAACATAATGCAATTCGCTTGAAACTTGTTACTCGGGGGTTTTTGGGGTCGCTGATTATGAATCTGAAATCAGTTTTTAATAATTCAAAATGGCGAATCCAATATGGCGGACGACATTTTGAAAACTTAATGCAATTTGCTTGAAACTTGTTACTCGGGGGTTTTTGGGGTCGCTGATTACGAATCTGAAGTCACAAACAATTTTTCAAAATTTTTTGAGGTATCTCTAATTCAAAATTTATGTCATTTTTTTAAAAAAACGATCATGCACGACTTCTTGCTGTGAGGTTACTGTAATGATATCTGTACGGTTTGTAAGGTTACCGTGTAAGCCTACAGTAAACTTGAGGTCATCTTAAAACATCTGCAACCGTAAGCTTGCTGTGAGGTTACTGTAAACATAGAATGTTATCCCACTTGGAAAGATTCCCCGGAAAGTGCCCCCTGGAGGTTCTATCAGAATTCTGCCGGAACATCCAACGTAATTCCGTCGGAATTCCATCGGAGTTCCAAAGAATTTCCGATGGGATTCCGATTAATTTTTTTCAAAATTTTTAGAGTCCTAATTCCGTCGGAACTACGTTGAAATCCCATCGGAAATTCTTTGGAACTCCGATGGAATTCCGACGGAATTACGTTGGATGTTCGGGCAGAATTCTGATAGAACCTCCAGGGGGCACTTTCAGGGGAATCTTTCCAAGTGGGATTAATAAATAAATTTTATTAATATTTATGCGCAGTAGTTTTCTATGGCACATACGGCTGCGCAGTAAATTTTATTTAACAAACCCTATTGGGGTTCATGAAGTACTTTACCAAATATATAATTTTTTATAAAAAAAAATTTATAATATAATGCCTCATATAGGGTAATTGGGAAATTTATTTTAAACTTCTACTTTTATTTAAATAAAAAGTAATATTAATAAATAAAAAAAGTTTTTCAAATTAAAATTTTTATATCTCTCGAGTATGTAAATATCTATATAATAAAAAAATATTGAAATAATTTTTTAAATAAAAATCTTGTGTTATATAATGCTATTTATTTATTTATTATTAAAACTGATACTTGTTATATATATATATATATATATATATATATATATTGTAAATAAGCGAGAGAAGCTATAAGCAAGGGTATGTTATTGAGAAGTAGAGCGTAAGGCGAAGACACTTCATCCGCGATAGTCGATTATTAAGATTGTTAGGGTCGACTAAGCGTCATACACGCAAGAAACACTTTCATCAGAACCGTAAGTAATTCGTTTGATAATTTACTAAGCTAAGCGTAAAACCGCAATGAAAATGCTAATTTATGTGAAAAAAAGGGTAAGTCAAAGGAAGAGAAGAGGTGGAGGTGATTCTGATGCGTGTTGTAACCCGAACAAAGGGATAAACCTTTTTCTTTAACAACAACAACAACAACAACAAAAAAAAAAAGGTTCGCTGATTTTACTGTAAAAAGATAAAAGAATATACTTTCATGGTGTTTTTAGTATCTTCCACAGGTTAGCAGGGAAAAGCTTTTTCACTGAATAACATCATCTAATAAACCAGTGACATTTACATGCTCGGAGGGATAAAATATTTCTTATATATATACTATCTTTACGTCTTGCTTGCTATATATATATATATATATATATATAAACAAACTGCTAAAATTTAAAACACATGGATAAGTTCTAAAATTCATTAGTTAGAATTTTTATTTAATAGAAATTTAATTTTTAATTTAGTTCATGTTTCATTTTTTTCAAATTATTATTTTATAGAATTTCCATTTAATCGTTTTTCTACCAATTAAAAACTTTTTGCTTTAATCGAACTTTCATTTGATAACATTTCTATTTGGTCGAATTTTCATTTGCACGAATTGTCATTTGAAAGAATTTTTTCATTTGTTCTGCAATTAAACTGCGGTTAAAATTTGTTCGAGTTATGTTTTCAACTATAGTTCAAAAAATATATGAAGGGTAGAATGACAAAAGGGGTCAAGCGCCAATTCACTATTTTTACAGGAAGTAAAAAAACCATTTTTAAAAATTTTGCACGTCTTTTAAAAAAAACTGAGAAAACCGTTTCGATATATTAGTATGTTTTAATAAATAAACAACAATTTGTTGAAATAAACCTACATATTAACGATAAAATTAAAAAAAACTGTGGTGCCTTGAGGTTATTTCAACTGCGCACATTTTCATTAAGCATTAATTATAAAAAAAATATACAGTTTAAAGAAAAACTGGAAAATTAGTTTCTTTCTATGGAATCGACGAAATGAATAGAAAAAAAAATTCCTTTAAAAAATTGTTTGTTTTCAAGAAAATTACGAATTAATTGCTTGCTTTGGAATTGAGCAATACTTTCATCTTTAAATTCAATTGTTCACTTAGTATAACCATAAAAATATTTAAAAATTAATAACAAAATGATTTTAAAATTGTTTAAAATTGAAAATATATTATTATTATTATTAATTTTATTAATTAAAATATTATTAAAATAAAATTAAAATAAAATATTAAAATAAAACCTAAAAAAATAATATTTTTTTTTATTTTGATAATATTATTGACTCACCACTTTCTTTTGTTTTTCAATCAGGTTGCAATAAAGTAAATTTGAGGCTATTTTATTAATTTAATTTTTATTAAAAACTGATTTAAATGCGCAATAAAAAAGGAAATCCTTTTACAAAAATGTGTAAATGAATTTTCTTGATTTTTTTATGCAAAAACCTCATTTTCGATAAATTGGCGCTTGACCCCTTTTGTCATTCTACCCTTCATATGGTCTTAAAATAAATGCAAGTAAAGTTTTAATACTATATAAAATTAACATTTTCAACATTTATAAACTTTTGCCAAACTTAACCTTTAGTTTACCATTTTTTTATAACTAATGTACTTTTTAAGCAAAAAAAAAAAGTTCTTCCGCCATATTGGATCAGCCATTTTGAATTTCTGAAAACAGACATCAGATTTGTTGTCAGCGACCCCAAAAACCTCTAGGTAGGAAATTTTAAACGAATCTGATGAATTTTTAAAATTTTCATCTGCCATTTTGGATCTGACATTTTAAATTTCTGAAAAATAACTTCAGATTCATTATCAGCGACCTTAAAAAGTGTCGAATTATATGTTACCCTCAAAAAAACAATTCTTTCTACTTTTTTTAACTTTTGTCCGCCATATTGGATCCGCCATTTTGAATTTTTGAAAAAAAAATTTAGATTCATAATCAGTGATCCTAAAAACTGTTAAAGAATGAGTTTGAGAATTATTTACCTTGTTTTTAGGTTTTAATTCATAAAAGTATTTTGAAATTTTTTGACATTTAACAACTCTATTGGCATCAAAAATTAAATTTTTTGAAAAACGCCCAACGGCATCTTAAAAGTAAAAGAATGTAGAAATCTTTTAAGCACTAGAACGTTTAAATCCAGCAAAGCAATTTTTGTTTAGGGCTATTATCCATGTTGGAATGTCCAGTATATTTTTTTTACATAATATACATATAAAAAAATGTGAAATACTTTATCTAATGTTTCGAAACTACGGTTTTGAGGGAAAATCCAAATGAATCATTACTTATTCTCTTGAAGAAGAAATAAATTTGTTTTTTATTCGTTTCATAATAATCAATATTTGATATTTGTGAATATTGATAAAAATAATTATCTAATAAAAGATATGTGACCGTTTTAATTAATAATTTATTCTGCTATCAATTGAAATTTTATAATGAAAAAATTTATAATTTTCTCCATTAAAATAAAATGCAATACAGTGTTGTCAAGAAAATATATATAAAGTATGCCAATAAACGGAAATTCCAATTAGCAAAACGCTTCATGTATATGTTTAAATCAAAGCTTCAATTTTCCCAATTGCAATGAGTTGATATTCTTATCAATGAATTTGATTAAAAGTAAAGCGCGAAGAACAAAAATACGCGAATCGTATAAAAGACTGCCTTAAGATGATCTTGAGCATAGTCAACATTCGACAATTACCAAGATGAAGATTACACTTGTAAGTATAGTACCTAATATTAACAAATAACACATCTTTTTACAGTAAATTCTTTTTTATTCAACTCAAAGCCTATTGCTTTTTATTTATTTACTAGCAATTGGGTTTTTGGTAACTCCAAATAATGTTTACTGCTTAAAATGAAATATTGTGAATAAATTTTTTATAGTTCTAAAGCAATATATGTACAAAAGTCTGATTTTATTTAGAAGTTGTTTTTAAAAATTTTTATATTATAACTTTTTTTTTATTTAATAAGGAAAATTTACTTCTACTTCTTCTCCTTCTATTACAGATATTCGCTATTGCCTTTTTGGCTATTGCTACTGCCAGTACAGTAAAATCACCTAAAAACATAAAGACTGAGGATTTCTTAGGAATGCAAAGGAGAACAAACACTAAACCCAGGCGGTTTCGAGGACGATATGTTTATCCAGGGGCATATTCTGACGATAATGAGACAGCAGACTCAAATAATAATGATGCCTCTTCTGATAATTTACCTACATTTGGTGGAAATCCTTCAACTAATCAAGAATCTTCAGTTGATGAAAATCCTTCGGCTGCTCCTGCACCTCCATTAGATGATAATTCTAACCGAGGGCCATTTAATCCTAAAAATATTAAACATAAATATAAAAAAGTAAACATTAATAACATTAAAATTTCCAATTAAAATGATTAAGTATAATACAAATTGTAATTGTAATTTAGAAAAATATCTTCATATATAATATGTATATTTATGAATTAAATGTAAAATTTCAAATACATATTCTATTTTTAATTAAACTATCACAAATATTGTGTATACTTGAGAGATAAAATTAATAAACTCATACCTAAACTACCCCAATATGGGGTAGTAAGGAAAAACAAAAATAGTTTCAATCAATATTTCTAATTTCCAAATGTTCGAATTATCAAAATTCTGAAAATTTCTACTCATATGAGTTTTTTTTCCTCATTTTTTTGCACCATGGAAAAATATTATATTATTATTTAAATATATTGGAGACTGGGGCAAACCGGCCAGGTGTTAGTTTCTCAGAATTTTTCAAACTTTAAAATATGTAAATTATAAATTTGAAAAGACTATATTAAGAATAACTTATTTCTTCAGTTTGACATTTTTTAATTGTGTTTATGCAATTTTATAAACAAAAGTTTGTTTTTTCGCTTCCGCTAGAAATTTTTATGGATCTGTTCATAAGAAATATGTGAGAAAATCGTGTAATATTTATTAAAATTGTTTTTTGGGTTTAAAAGGTGCATGCCTCAGTTAAATTTATCGGTATATTATTTAATGATTTTACTAAGCATTTTTTTTTATACAGATCTTAATTGTCAAAATGGGCCTGTGGGGCAAACCGGCCAGTTTGCAAATTTTTTTAAAATTAATGCAGCAGCTAAACAATACATTTTAAGGTACATGTGTCTCTAGGAAAAAGTTGCGCAATTAGACGACCTTTCCAACAAGCTATTATAAAAGGTTTTTCATTAGTTTCTTTAGTTACTAGAGCCTTACAACTGTTAACATGGCCGGTTTGCCCCAGTCTCCTCTATTTATATTATTTATTATAATTATTTCATTAAAATTAATTATTTAACTAATTACTTTCTTAATTTAATATATAGAGACTAACTTTTTCTTATATCAATAATAATATCAATTACGTTAAAATGTTTTAAAAATAATTGTCCTTTAATTATCGCCCTAGAAAAACAGCACTGAACTTAAAAATGATATAAACATTGATTTTAAAATAATTTTTTCTCGAATAAATAAATTTCCTAAATCTGAAAGATTGTACAAATCCATACAACAACGCGATTGCAAAATGAAAAGTAGAAAAATATGATGACAGGTTCATTATGTCGCGTCCTGTCGCCGTCAGATGGCAGAACCGATTTCGTACAAAAAACAGTGTCAGTGTTTCGAGAAAGAAGTATTTTAAAAGCAATGTTTATCATTTTCACGTTCAGTGCCATTTTTTTAGAGCGTTAATTAAAGATCCCTCTTTATCAAAGAATTTCAGAGACCGTTTAACACTCTTAACAGTTTTATAAACCAAAGACGAGTTTTTTTTTAAACTTTATATTTATTTTGATTAAAAAGAAATCATTTATTGTTGAATAAACTTTTATTAATTTTCTTATTATATTATTTCGAATTGATAGTGAGAACATTTTCCTAAGTACGATAATCAGTTTTTCAAATTTTGTAACTTTTATCACACATCTACGATCAAACTCGATCAAAACTATATAATATGTATATAGAGATCCTGGAAGGAGAGTTGAGACACATTTTCCCTTCCACTAGCTTAGTGACAAACCTGAATCGAAAGTTTCTTCTATTTACGGACACAATACAATTAAAGCGTCAAATATCAAACTTGTAAAATAGGTTATGTCGACTTTAATTAAATAGTGTTTTTTTCAATTTAATTGATAACAAAATGATGTTCTTTTTGTTACAGAATTTTTATATAACCGAAAATTCACTTCACTGGATTTTTATTTATTCAAATTTTTATTTGTCAGAATTTTCATTTGCTCGAATTTTCATTTAACATAATACCCACATATCACCATACATATTTTGCAGGAAGCTAACAGATAACTAACAGTGTTAAGTTCGGAAATTAAGACGGTTAGTTTCCCGTTAGCTTCCCTGTAGCTCTATATGTCCCCCGCTATTAACTTATCCGTGATAGCTTCCAAAAAGTTATCGTAGTAAGTTTTCTAAAAGAGTGCAAAGAAAAGTTTGTGAAATATTGAATTGTTATTTAACAAGAAGTTTGCTTATTAAGTTTCTTTAAAACTATTTCCGGTAAGTATTCTAAAGATTTTAATGCAAATTTCCATGTAATTAAAAAAGAAAGTTTCTATTGAATTTCATTCAGTACAATTAAAAAAAATTTATTTATTTCTACACCTGTGCTTCTGTCACCCTGCTTTTATTAAACTCTAATAATAACGGAGAAATTTTTGGAAATAAATTTGGAGGGACTGGGGATTGAACCCGGGTTCGCCGCGCAGAAACTCAGACCCTAACTACTAACCTAATCGACCAACTGAAGGGAAATAAGTTTTGTGTCCTCTTGAGGTGCAAGTGATCTCATTGGTTGACACATGGTTGCCAACCTAAATGGCGGGTGAATTTAAATTTTTTAAAAAAATGAAAAAACAACTTAATTTATTAAAAAAATATTAATTATTGAAATTTTATTTCTATTTATTAAATTACCAATTTGATAAAATTTAATAATATTTCTCGACAAAAATTTACAATTTCTATTTTTAAAAAATTATTTAACTTCTTAAACATGGTTTATTATTTAAAAATATTAAAGTGTGTTTAATAATTCTGTGTTATATTCGTTTAAAAATTTTTTAAATAAATTTCTTTTCTACCAAAAATTGTTTGTTCACCTTGAAACTGTTGAAGAATTATTGTTAACCTTTCTTTTAAACATGCGAGAAAATTTAAAAAAAAGAATCTCGAAAATAATTTTTTCAATTTCTATGTCTATATGACGAAATATGTATAAATTAAACATGATTGTTGAAATTAAACAAATCACGGAAGTTATCGAAAATAATATAAGAACAATTAATTTTTTCGAGTTTTATTATAAAATACAAATTAAAATTGTTAATTAAGTAATTAATTCTATTATTCGGCTTCAAAAATTATTTATTTTTTTTCGCTTTAAATATATAATAATATATAGTTTTACTGTATTTTTGTTATTAATATTAATTTTATTATTTATTTTAAATAATAATTATAATAATAATAAAATTAATTTATTATTATTAATAATATTGATATTAACAATAAACAATAATATTATTATTAAAAAACTAAATTTATTATTAATATTTTTTTAATAATGAAAAGTTTTAAAATTAATTTTTTTTAATCATTAATTTTTAAATAATAAACCATGTTTAAGAAGTTAAATAATTTTTTAAAAATAGAAATTGTAAATTTTTGTCGAGAAATATTATTAAATTTTATTAAATTGGTAATTTAATAAATAGAAATAAAATTTCAATAATTAATATTTTTTTAATAAATTGAGTTGTTTTTTCATTTTTTTAAAAAATTTAAATTCACCCGCCATTTAGGTTGGCAACCATGTGTCAACCAATGAGATCACTTGCACCTCAAGAGGACACAAAACTTTTTTCCCCTCAGTTGGTCGATTAGGTTAGTGGTTAGGGTCTGAGTTTCTGCGCGGCGAACCCGGGTTCAATCCCCAGTCCACAAACTTTTCTTTGCACTCTTTTAGAAAACTTACTACGATAACTTTTTGGAAGCTATCACGGATAAGTTAATAGCGGGGGACATATAGAGCTACAGGTTAGCTAACGGGAAACTAACCGTCTTAATTTACGAACTTAACACTGTTAGTTATCTGTTAGCTTCCTGCAAAATATGGTGCTATGTGGGTAGGCATTTTTAAAAATTTTTATTGGGTAGAATTTTATTGCATAGAATTATCATTTTATTCTTTCAGATAATTTTTCATTTGTTCGAATTATTATTTACTATAATTTCCATATAACCGATTTTTCACACTACAGAACAGAACCTCAAAATCACTTGTTTGACAGTTCTTTATTGTTTTTTTCGTTTGTTGTCCCTCCAGGCTTCGACGTCATCAGCCTCTGACGTCACAAGGTAAAATGCCTAATCGACAGAAAAATTTCGGCGCGATTTTTAAAATCAACCAGTCAAAAATTATCCATAAAATTATGATTGGTTGATTTTAAAAATCGTGCCTAAATCGATTGATGTTTCGGCCATTTGCAATTTTGGACAAATGAAAATTCTATCAATTAAAAATTCTGTTAAATGATTTTTCGGTTAAGTAAAAATTCTGTAGTATGGAAAATCGGTTATATGGAAATTATATAAAATAATAATTCGAACAAATGAAAATTCATCTGAAAGAATAAAAAGAAAATTCTATGCAATGAAATTCTACCCAATAAAAATTCTTTAATATGCCTATTATGTTAAATGAAAATTCGAGCAAATAAAAATTCGGCTCAAAAATAATTATGACAAATGAAATTCCATAAAATGAAAATTCTAACTAATGATTTTTAGAATATAATTATGTGTCCTAAAAAATTTTGATCTATATATGTTTTAGAAAGGTTTGTTCCTGCTCTTTCAAATGCTGCAAAATTTTTTTTTTTAAATCTTAAAATTTCATTTTTAATAAATCCGAATCAATCCGTTTCCAAATCAATAGGATTGATTCGAAATGAAATTTCAGGATTCAAAAGAATTAAAATTGAGCTTCAGAATAAGACGGATATTGATTCGGAAAGAATATTTTCTTAAATTATACATTATAATTTTAATTCGGATAGAAATTGATTGGGTCGGAAACAAATTTCAGAATGACTCAGAATAATGCTTATTATAATTGGATTAAAATTAAATCCGAAGCATTCGTTAAGGGCTGTATTTGATATAAAAAATTGTTAAAAAATATTTAAAATTAGAGTCTCCTCAGACACAACAACCGAAATTTTATGGAGGCTATTACGTTCTACATTCTAAAAATAGATGTTTCAATTATTATTATATTTATTTAATATAAAAGTTTATATTTTTCTTATTGATATAAATACTATAATTTTTATTGAAAATAAAGATTTTAAATTCAGTCTTAAGAATTTAAACGTAATAGCGTATACAAATGTGGCGCTTACCAATTTTCTCTCAAGAAGCTTTTGAACTATAATACTAGTTCGTACTTTAGTAGGTGACAGTGTGCGCTGTTGGTAACATCTGTTTTACTAATTGTAAATTAACGGAAACTTGCTATGCACAAGTGGTTTGAAATTTTTCTTGTCTCCGCAAAACACATGCCAATATATAGGTACATAGGACAAAAGAGGATTCTGCTTCTTATTTTTATCCTAAAAATATTTACATTCCAACATTTATTAATTACAAAATAAGTTTATTATTTAATTTCAATTTTAATAATAAAGTTTTAAATAATCATTAGTAAGTTACTTTTTTCAGTTATCGTAAGGAAAGTTTTATTAATATATATATATATATATATATATATATATATATATACTAGCCAACCCCCTATATGTGGTGTTATATTATATACATCTAATCTTAAACTTTTAAGGTTATATTCGTATTTTAGCTTTGAATTTTAACCTAATTTTGAGGTTATATTTACTGATTTTAATCTCTAACCCAGCGTCCTCTTAGTTAGTATTTTTACCTAGTTTTGAGATTATGTTTTAATCTCAACACCAGCTGTCTCTTAACTTATGATCTGTTAATATTCAGAACGAAAATAAAAACATAACCTCAAAATTAGGTTAATTTCAAGGTGAAAAGGCCGTGGGGTTTGAGGTTAAAATCAGGGCCAAAATACTAAAAACATAAATTCTTGAAATAGAGTCGGAGGCGAAATATTTTTGTAGTTTAGGGATATTATATCGCAGGATATCCGTGGGATATCCTCAGGATATCTATGGGATATTCTTAGGATATTCACGGGATATTTAATACCTCAACATATATTTTTAAAGGTTAAAATTGTTAAGCTAATATAATGAATAATAATATAAGAAAAACAAAAATCTTATGAGCTTCTAATTTATTTTAAATGAAGATTTGAAACGCATTTTTTAAAGTTTTTAAATAAACTCATGCACTTAATGTATAATTAATATTAATAGTTATTCGTTATTTGCAGGAAAGAATTTATATTGTTTAAAGCCAATTTATTTTCTGACAATATTAAGCATATGAATAAAGGAATGAATCACGAATGAGTAAAAAATTAGCTAATAATTTTTCAAATTAAACAACTTTCTCGAAAAACAAGTTGCATTTTATTTTATTTATATAAAATTTAATTCACAGAATATTCTCACTCGTAGTCTCTTAATGACTTTAAAAACAGTATCATGAGAATATCTTCTTGACATCCAGAAGATATACTGAGAATATCCTGAAAATATCTGTGGGATATCCTGACGATATCTATGGGATATCTGAAGGACATTTATGAAAATATATAGAGATATTCAGAAGATATCCTGTGGATATCCTCAGATATCCATGGGATAACCAGAGGATATCCAAACCGCCGATTGTTTGGATATCCTTAAGAGATTATTTTTATATCCATAGGACATCCCTAGGATATCTGCGGGATATTATCAATATATCCCAAGATATCTTGTGTTATTAGGATGATAAGGTTAGAGAATTAAAGCCTAACCAACAAATATTAATAATCAAATAACGTTTATTTCTTGCATACACAGTAACTTAACAAATTCCACATGCGGAATCAAAAGTTTCATTCATTAAAAAAAAATTCATTGAAAAAGAAATTATAAAGTAATTCAATAGACTAATAGAATTTATAAACACATAAAATTTCAATCTGACAAAATTTTCAGTCAATAATAATATATAAAAATGAATTTATTAAATTTTGTTATACATATTAAATGAAAATTTGAAATTAACATATATATATATATATATATATAAATAAAATAATAATAAAAATCATTCGCTCATTTATACAGCAATTAATTTCCTAAGTTCAGTTACATTTCAATAATTTACATTTTTGTCTCAGTCGATTTTCAAAATTATATTATTAGCAATTATTATTTATTAATGCACAAACCATTTTGGATTTATGATTTCGATTTAGCATTTATAAAAACAATAGAAAGCTAAAAAAAAAATTATCATTATTAATCTATTGGCACATCCCCACAAAATTCATAATTTATACATTTCAGCTCCTTTTTTCAAAATACGAAATTGTTTTTAATTATAATTAAAATTGTTGATTGTTTTATTTGTTAATTAACTAAAATACTAATAATTTAAAATTAATTTCTAGTGATATATTAATTGATTAAAATATTAATTTTAATTCAGAAATTAAAATTTCCTAATTAGTTTAATAAATAAATTGAATACAAAATTTTATATGACTCGAAATTGTCAATTGTTTTTCTATATATACACACATAATTATATATATATATATATATAGAATATCATTTTCGGTTGTAATACTGATACAAAGTCAGACCTTAGTCTCCTTTATCACACATCATTTGACCGTGTTTCGATGATTACAAAGTTTCCAGAGTTTCACACGATTAAATTGTTTATCGTACTCGGATGTCCTCAGTTATATATTATATGATGTTTCAAAGTTTCAGGACAGATATTCAAATACGATAACAATACATTATTAAGATAATGATGAGACATTATATATAGTTACTTATAAATAATCAAGGATTGGCTCTAGGACGATGTAGCTACCCTGGACACTAGATTTCAATAGATGCGCTAAGATTAAGTAAAAATAATTTACACTTTCTATTTATAACACTATATGCTTTACAATATAATTTGTTAAAATATAAAATACAATTGTTCAAATTTTGTTTAAAAAAAAAATTCCTGAGAAAGTAAAAAAAAATTACTATAATAAAAAATTATTTTCTACTCGCCCCGGGTGCCATTTCGTCTAAAGCCAACCCTGTAAATAATATTAAAATTTTTAATTGTACAACAAAATGACTGTTCATAATTTTTTTGGTATTTAAATTATTATATACATACATAATCGATAACTTTTGATTTCCATACAACGTAATACAGTAAAACCTCAGATGTTGTCAAGAGTCAGAGATCGTAAATCTTAGGTAGCGTCGCTTTTCTAACCACGCCCCTCAGCCTATAGCATACAAGCATTCAGGTCCGTATGACACAGAAGAGCACATTGGGGGATAGAAATTTAAGAAAAAAATTATAAAATATATTTAAAAAATATTTAAAATGTATTGTATATTATATTTATTAATAAATATTTATTAATTATTATACTATAAATTTAAAAAGTTAAAAATAAAAAAGTACATGAAAAATATTTAAATATTTAATATTTAAAAATAGTTAACCCTATGCGCCCACTTTAGGAATTAAATGCTACGGCTATGAACTAAGTAAAAGTAGGCGGTCCAACAAGTGGCCTTAGAGTTCGGCGCTATCCGAGATCCAACGGTATATGAGGTTTTACTGTATACTAAATCTTTGCCTGGTAAATTTTACAGGAAATGCGTTCTTAAATAAAATCATAATAATAGCTACTGTATTTTTTTATAAATTAAATATTATATCGAAGGAACAGTTGTTGATTTGAAAAATGATTTTCCATCGTCTAACCCTCATTTATTTAATGTCAATTATAATAAATAAAAAAAAACAAATTTAAAAATAATATAAATATAACATAAATACAATATAAATATAACAATAAATAATAATATAATAATAATAAATATTATTAATAATTTTAAATAATGATAATAAATTTTTGAAAATTGAAAGATTCACAGTCGTATGAAAAGCAAAAGTTAAAATAAAAAAAAAAATTTGAATTCTTTAACTGACAATTTTTTTTTAATTTATAAATAAACAAAAAAATAAATTATCACAAGAAAACTATTATAACATACATTCATTTAACAATTTACAAAATTAAATAACTTAAAAATCACACAAATATTGATATTTTCGATTTATCAGAAATTGATTCTTACATAATTAAAGATTGAGCGTATTTATCATTTCAAAAATGATCGAAATAAACAATTACAAGTCGAGTCAATTTTTCGCCTAATTTCTTTTGATGTCAATTGTTTTTCATTAAAAAAAAAAAGTGAAAAAATACAAATTTTCTTCTATTTTTGAAATGTTTAACATTTACATTGCACATTTATTAAATATTCTCCTAATTATCAATTTATTTTTAATTAGAAATTACTAATTTACAATAAATAAATATTCTTCAAGTCATTATTTTGTCTAAATTGTGCCAATTTACAAAAAAAAAAAATTCAAAAAAAATTTTATAAAATACAAAATTTAATTTTAAACAAAAAATAAATGGATATTTTTTACTAACAAACAAATAATTGAAAAAAGAAGAAAACAATAAATAATTATACATATTATAAATTAATAAATAAATAATTTTAATTCTTTTAACGAAATATTTAGATAAAAAAAAAAAATTTATCACTATAATCACACTTCTCTCTTACTGTCATATTATTCGTATCTATAACAATTGCTTTTCGCTAAATTCAGATTCACAGAGCATATTTATTATTAATTCCTAGATAAAAAGGATGGCTTTATACAAAAATCTTGTAAAGTTATAATATTGAGGTAAAGAAATCGAATTCTACCCTATTTCTTTTTTTTTTAAATTTCTGTATAGAGAAAAATCTTGAAAAATCTTTAGTACATAACATAAAATTGTACTCTTTCCTGATTTCTTTCTTTTTTTTTGTCTTACATTTATACAAATAACCGCAAAATTTTCCCCATCTTTATTTCTTTTACCACAAATTCAGTAAAATACAAGTGTGTAAACACTCCGTATAAGCATTAAACTACTTATTAGCACGATTTTTCATTTTTTTTTTTTCATTTAGTATTTATATAAAAAAACTGGCAGATTCGTGAGAGACCTCTTGTGCAAAGTTTTCAACTACTTTTTTAACGAGAGCTTTCAGTTTTTCTGTCAAGTTATATTTACTTGTGCACAAGTGACTTCCAAAAATTTTATAGTTTTTTTTTTTTTTTTTTTTTAATCTTTTTGGAAGCTTTTTGTTACATGTGCATACAATTATACAAACTAGTTAACAGTAAGTTCGCGAGGACTTTATTTTTATTATTATTATTATTATTATTATTATTATTTATATTATTATTATTAGGTATTATAAGTGGTTTATCATTCCAGGTTGAAAAAAATCCAAATTTTACAAAGTTCATTTTTTATGACTAAAAAAAATTGTTGAATGGTTTATCTAATATTACTTATTAATTATATTTATTGATTAAAATTATTAATTTTTTTAATAACTAATATTAGATGTTGCAGGAATTATTAAAAAAAAATTTGATCTGTAAATTTTACACTACTTCATATGTGCCTTATGCACAGATAGTACCTAATATCCAAAAAGTAATTGTCATTTTTTCGGCGATTTTAATAGAAAAATGATCGCTTATTACAAATCTGATAACAAGTTTTCAAAATTCAAAATGGCGGATTCAAAATGGCGAACGATTTTTTTTATAAATTCATCACATTCTCTTCTCTCTAAATCTGAATTAGTAATAAATGATTACTAATTTGAATTAGTGACTCACTTTTTGCTTCTGAATTAGTTAAATTTTACTAATTGTTAGTAAAAGTTACTAATAATTAGTAAAATTTTACTAATTCAGAAGCAAAAAGTGAGTCAAAATTTATTATAGAATTAGTAAACATTTTTACTAATTCAGATTTAGAGAGTTAAAAATCGTTATTCAGGGATTTTTGACCACTGTATTTGATCCATCATTTTTAATTTTGAAAATCTGATGTCAAATTCGTTATCAGCGACTCAAAAAATCCCTAATAAACCAGTTTCAAGTGAATCTAATGAATTTTTCAAAAATTCTTCCGCCATATTGAATACGCCATTTTGAATTTTGAAAATCTAATGTTAGATTCGTAATCAGCGACCTTAAAAACCTTCAAGTAATTAGTTTCAAGATCCTATCAGTTTCTAAAAAAATTCGTCCGCCATATTTAATTTTGAAAATTTGACATTAGATTTGTAATCAACGACTCCAGAAAATCTCTGAATAACATTTTTTTTTTTTTGAGTAAATACATTAAAAATTAACGAAGACAATATTAAATTAATAAAATGGCTAATTCAGGGTTTTTTTTTAAATCGTTGTTTACAAATTTGATGTTAATTTTTCATAATTCAAAATGTCGGATCCAATATGGCGGAAAATTTTTTCAAAATTGCTTAAATTCGCTTGAAACTCGCTACTCGGGGGTTTTCGGTGTTGTTGATTATGAATCCGATGTCAGTTTTTTAAAATTCAAAAAGGCAAATCCAATATGACAAAAGAATCTTTAAAAATTGATCGAATTCGCTTAAAACTCGTTCTCTAAATTTTTAAAAATACTCAACAAAAAATAAAAGACTTTTCTACATTTCATAGTAATAAAAGTATGTCCCTGAGAATACAATGTTGCTATTTATTATTTACTTACTAGACGCAATAATGTTTTAATTTTATATTCCTTTTTTAATAAAGCTAATTGTCAAATTAATTTTTTTTCCACACTATTGCGTTGACTAGTTACTTTACTATTAATAAATAATGTAAAGGATTAATTAAATAAATTTATATAAAATTGAATTTAGCAACGCTTAAAAAGCACCTATTTGTGTTGAAATTTCAAGTTTAATACTTGATAATATAAGAAAAAAATTGAAAAATATTCTATTCATTAATTCTATTTGATGTCTTCAATTAACAGTCTTTATAAACAATAGTTTTTTTAATCAATAATAGTAAACGTTACAAATATTTCAACTTTATCGATATTTATAACTATTAGCCTTTACACTTTTCATTAACTGAAAAGAAAAAATGTCGAAAATATATTATTTTATAATAATTAATGAACTTTGTAAAATTTGTAATATGTCCTCTTTCTTTTTTTTTGCAAAATAGTAATTGTAAATTCGATTGACTGATTGAATTTTATTTAACCGCTTTTGAGATCATTACTGGATGTGTCGTATTCTCGCCAAGAATTAACAACACATACATTTTCACCGCGCCACCATTCATTTAGATCTTTATAATATTTTGGTGGACGTGTGTCATGCAACATGGCGCACACTCGACACCAAAAGTAGGTATTTATAAATTCTCCAGTGCCTTTCCACTTGAAATAAGAGTTGTAGAGCTCGTCGTCTTTGTCCAGTCGATGAAGGTACTCAGCAAGCTCCTTAGGTGACTTGAATTCATCCACATGAATGTAGGATCGATAAGGTGCGCTTTTAGCATAGTCTCTTGGATGTGCCCCCATCACTATTGGAAGAACGTTGTGCCTGAAATATATATTTATTTTTATTCTAAATCCAAAAATTAAAGACTTTTAATATAATAATAGAAACTTTTTGAGATTATTTAAGGAAACCGCAATAATATTAAAATTAAGTATTTTGAAAATCTGACTTCAGAATCGTGATCAGCGACCCCAAAAACCCCTGAGTAAGAATTTTTAGGAAAATTTATCGAATTTTTCAAAATTTTTGGCAGCCATATTGGATCAGCCATTTTGAATTTCTAAAAACCCCAAAAACCACCGAGTAAGAATTTTTGCGAATATACGTTAAGATGTTATCTTGTTTGGGCCACTCTCAAGGGGTTAAGGGTCGCTGATTACGAATCCAAAGTCAGATTTTTTAAAATTCAAAATGGCGGATACAATATGGAGGCAATTTTTTTTAAATTGATCAAATCCACTCGAAACTGGTTGCTAGGAGGTTTCGTTTTCGCTAATTACGAATTATCTGAAGTTATTATTATTATCTTATTTTGCATCTACCATTTTGAATTTTTAAAATCCAACGTCATATTCGTAATCAGCGACCTCAAAAACCTCCGAGTAACAAGTTTCAAGCAAATCCGATCCATATTTAATTTTGTCATCCACCATGTTGGATCCGCCATTTTAAATTTTCAAAATCTGATGCAAGATTCGTAATCAGGGACCCCAAAAACTTTATATAGGCATTATTGTCAGATTATATCGTATTGTTCCTTAGTCACAATTATATTTATTGTAAAAAACGCTTTCCTGTAACTTAATTTGTTTATAACATTTATTTTGTTGATAAAAAAGACTATTTTAACGCAATAATATTGTTTAAAAACAATAGATGGAATACCGATCATAAATAGAAAAAATTTGGAGATAATATTAAAAAATTCAGGTAAACTCTAACAAAAAGGTATTTCGTGTAACTTTGTAAGAGCTATTTGGAAAATATATTATGCCTAATATCTGTTTATAAAAATCGTAGTAAAAAAAATTTGAAGTAAGTCACATAGAACAAGCGCTAAATTTTTAGAAAACAATGATAGACTAGTGATTGTGATCTGTAGAAATTTGTTTCATTATAATGCATCAAATGATCATTAAACGCACAAAAAATAGTGCAGCAGGATCGGATAGGATTTTGTATATTTAAAATTTTGTTTATTTAAGACATAAAGATGCATTTATGTATGGCAGCAAACATTGAAACATAATAGAGCCTAAAAAAGGGAGGAAGCTAATGAATGTTCAACAATATAGAAAATTCACTAATTAATATGTAAATTCAAGTGATTTCGTTTTCTTTTTATGTATAAAATAAATCTACGTCAACAGATTTTCTCTACTTTTTCACTTCATTCAAAAAGGCCTTCCGGACATTTTAAACATTTTAATTTAGGCATGCGAAAATCAGAATTGTAATTAGGTTTTCCCTGGCGGATTCGATTTGCGTAATGTCTACTTAACTAAGCGGACTTTAGGTAGACATTAGGTAGACATGTAAAAAAACGTATAAAAAAGCTATTAATCGACTTATTATGATAAAAAAAAGTTGATAAAAGGGTAAATGAATGTTTATAGAGTAAATTCGTACAAAATTTGTAATTAATAAAGCAATAAATAATTAATAATGAATGGAAATGTGCGCGAGGTACCTGATCAGTTCAGCTGTACAATTATTTTCGTGCTATTTTCATGAAAAGAATATAAATTAACTGCAAAAACAATTGATATTTATAAAAAAATGTAAAATTGATTTAATTTTATTGTTTGCAATACGAATTATTAAATAATAATTAAGTTTTTATCAAATGTGAATAGTGTTGTGAAAACCTGTGAAAACTAATGAGTTACTACATTACCGATCGCATATGATAATAAAAAGTTCTCGATGAGTGTAACAAAAAAGCTGCAATCATGTCCGTAATTTTGGACGAGAAACAATTATGAAATCAATAATTATTTGTATAACTTTATTCTGCATTTTAAAATTCACTTTTTATTTTCTTTCAAAGCAAAAGCTTGGAAGAAAACATGCTCGCACTGTATTGTAAAAACTAGTGGCGCCATCTCTCATATGCGATCGGTAATGTAGTAACTCATTAGTTTTCACAGGTTTTCACAACACTATTCACATTTGATAAAAACTTAATTATTATTTAATAATTCGTATTGCAAACAATAAAATTAAATCAATTTTACACTTTTTTATAAATATCAATTGTTTTTGCAGTTAATTTATATTCTTTTCATGAAAATAGCACGAAAATAATTGTACAGCTGAACTGATCAGGTACCTCGCGCACATTTCCATTCATTATTAATTATTTATTGCTTTATTAATTACAAATTTTGTACGAATTTACTCTATAAACATTCATTTACCCTTTTATCAACTTTTTTTTATCATAATAAGTCGATTAATAGCTTTTTTATACGTTTTTTTACATGTCTACCTAATGTCTACCTAAAGTCCGCTTAGTTAAGTAGACATTACGCAAATCGAATCCGCCAGGGTTGGTAAGAATAACCCGAAATTGTCGAAACATGGTGCCTACGTCACACAGATTAAGGGTCAACAGGTGGGTTAATAAATTTTTGATGATTTTTGACGTAGAGACAGGTGGGGTAAAAATAAAAGTTTACATCACTTATTATGAATAAGATATGAGAAAAATTGTTAAAATTTTATAAAAATCGACAAGTTATTTCTAGAATTAATATTGCCAAAAAGCATTATATTTTAAATAAGATTATATTACAACTTCTCTATTTAAAAACTACATTACTTATTGTCACCTATTGAATTTTTGCATATCTAAGTTGGCGGATTTTCTTTAAAATGAGGATGAAAATGAATTAGAATTTTTATAATCACATGGAGGAAGAATAAAAAGGAAAGAGAAGGAAGTGTCTCCAAGGAGGATTCAAATTAAAACGACGAGAAAGCCAGGGCATTTGCGTTGTCCTGGTACTTGCTAGTTTAATTTAATCTAATCCGAAACGAGCTTATACCGAAGTCCCCTAGTACGAGTGTTGGTACTTAAGTCGCAAGACCCATTAAACCTAACCCCGGCAAGCTCAAACCCAGTCTACCTCCCTAGAGTCCTGTCCTATTCCAAAAGTCCAGTAACTCTTCTACCGAGAGATTGCGAATCCAATCTGGGTCTACAAAGGCATGATCCCAGCATTGATGTCTCACTGCAGCGTAGGCTGGACAGTGACATAAAATATGAGTCGAAGATTCGTCTTCTAAATCACACAATCTGTACCTAGGTGAGACGTTTCTACCTATTTTGTGCTGATGATAGTTTAGGGGACCATGTTCTGTCAGCAGCCTAACCACTGCTCTAACTCTGATCATGTTGAGTTTTAGAAGGGACTCGGCAAAGCTTCCACTGAGTCTTAATCCCAACAGAGCCTTGGCCTGTCTACCTACAGTAGTCTCCGCCCACTCTCTCCATGATGCCTACCGCCGGTTCCAGGCCTACCATAGATATATCAGACCCTCTACGGGCTAAGATATCCGCTTCCTCATTTCCTCTGATTCCCTAGTGTCCTGATACCCAGATTAATGAAAGCATATTTTTCAAACCTAGCTCGTCCAATACCTTTCGGCATTCCCAAACTAGTTTTGATTCTATAGTCGGATTACTCAAGGCGTTTAAAGTCTGATTCCTCATTTCGTCATCTGGTCAGAAACGAAGCATGAAGAAGTTGGCATTACGCAAGCCGATTGTTTCGGCCAGAACCTTCATAGGTTTAGGATAATAGAGGACGCGAAGTGTATGGCAATGCTCAGACGAGCCGTGTTTTTGGAGAGATATCAAGTTCTTTATTACACGGAAAGAAGGTTTCACCTATAATCGACGTACAGTCACCGAAAAGTACGGTTCCATGCACAGGAAATATTCATGCTAGGCCGACACCTTAATTTTCCATGACGTTCACTGATTAATACGGTGGCGTCACGATATATTTCGCTGCACGCATTGAAAATTAGAGTATCGCCATGTGCATCATCTGAAATTTAGATACGTGCACGGAAAAATCCCGCTCCAACACTAGTAATTTCAACTGTCATGTTGTACATCTGGTTTATAAGTGAAACCTTCTTTCCGTGTACTCATGTCATGAGAACTTAACATAAGGATAACAGAGAAAGGTTACATCGGAAAAATCCTCCTGCTGGACCCCAGTTTTGGATTTTCAAGGCGACCTTTACTTGCGAAGTTAAATACCGAAAGGTAGTACCGCAAAAGGAAGTTATGTCCAGTAAAAGGGTGTGTTTTTTAGTAGATGGACTAGAACCAAAGTGGTAATCCCTACCCAACCTAGGAGTACGGGCTCCAGGTATTTTACTTGGAAGTAGGCCTCGAAGGGTTATGCAGATTTTTCACTTCCCTCGTAGAATAATAATAAAAAAAACAGTAGGCTAACATAATCTTAATTTAGGTACAGCACAAACATAATTCCCAACCATAAGTTTTGTAGCTGTTATTACGAAACTATTTCTTTCAGTTTAACGATGATGAAGTCTCCGAATGTAGAACGTACGTCGAAGTTCTGGTGAAACTTTGCAAGAAAGTGAACGCTGATGCTAGTCATACAAAGGTAGCAGGCAACTTCTAATTTTAGATCCAGAGGATTCCTTCGATAAGGGGACATTGACAAGAAGGTGAGCAGAACCTTAGGAACCTATGAGCAGATTTTCACCGTACAAAGTTAGGCGGCCTACATGCCGAGGCATGACTATAGGTATGCTTTTTTGGTACCCCTGACGTCAGGCCACCAAAGAGGCATACCTAAAGTCATGCCTCGGCATGTTGGCCGCCTAACTTTTTACGGTGAAAATCTGCTCTATAGGTATAATGAAAACGGGGGACCGAAAGTTTACACTGTAGATCCGCGACATGAATTGCTTTACCCAGGAAGAAGTTCAGAAGAAACTAGCAGAAATTCTAAATTTCATCAAGAAAATGATGATCCTCGGACTTAACAAGCTCGGGATAAACATCGCAGTTATAGTTACCGATTAAGAAGAGTGGCATAGGTGTCTTTATTACGATCACTTAGATTTTAGCTGCGGAAAAGCCGATCATAATTTCACAGATTGTAAAAAAAAGCTCAAGCTATCATGCTAGGTTTTCAAGACTATTATAACTTCTTTTGCTTATATTCAAAATTAGAAATTATAATTATAATTTAATTTCATTCTTGGATTTAAATATTATACGTCAATCAAATGGTTCTACTGATACAAATTGATATGGAGAAAATGAAGTTTAAGATAGCAGGTTTCGAGAACTATTTATTAATTTTTACTTTTATGCTTTATTGATTGCTTCTCGATGATTAAAATAACTTAAAGGACATTTAATGACTTCTTTCATAAAAATAATAACTTTTTTTCTCTTACCCAAGTCCATTAACAAAAAACTTCTCCGTAATGTAATCTCGGCAGTTAGAATTTTCAAATGCGAGGTAGAATTTGTAATCAGCATCCAACATGTCGAAACAAGCTTGATTTTGAGATCGTGGACAACGTAAACTGCCACAAGCGCCATAAATATCGACTTGAATGTATTTGGATAATTCTTTGGCATAATTCATTCTTTGATTGCGTGGATGACAATTAGATACAAACCAGGCAACCTAAAATTTACCAAAAAAAAAAAAAAATATCAAAATAAATCATTTTTTTATTAGTTCGTTATAAATAAGAAAATAAATAATTTTCTTTTATAAATATAATACCAGAGTTTATAATTTGGATTTTTTTTAAGGAAAACGTAATTAAATTTATAAAAATTTATCTTTGGCATAAATACATTTTTGTAAATGGAAATATGTTAGGTACAATATACAATATAAAAGTTTTATAGATTCACAAAGTCAAAAATCTTATTCAAGAAATCGAGCGAGTGACATAATTTCAAATCAAGTGACTTTTGCAGTATCGAGTTTCAAAGAGAGGATAGCCCACATCTATTGACCTAAATTCCTCATAGAGAATGAACATGTATTCACATGAAAGAACAGAATTCGAAGTTATTCAATATTTATATTTGAGATACTGAGAAATTACTTTTTTTTCTCATTCAAATTTTGCATTTTTATTAAATATACTTTAAATCGATAAATTTTATATTTTTAGTAAAAATTTATTTATTTCAATTCTATAAATTTAAAAATGAAAAATTATTTAAATTAATTTAGTGCATATAATATTTTTAATACATCAGAAAATGTATTTTTAAATATATAGAAGAAACTGTTAGCTGTAAATTAATTTCTTAATGTATTAATGCATTCATAAATTGCTCACCTTTTTTGTTTTATTTTCCGCGTAATTAAAATTTTGTTCAATTTGTGTGACACTGGAATCAAAGTACTGCCACCTTTCATATGGTGCTACAATGTCACTATCTCGACGATAAGTTGCAGTCCAGTTCACTTGTACACTCTTAATAGTTTGTGTATGATAAGGACATTCCAAAAAGTATAACAACCACACCTAAAAATAAAAAAATTATGAATTTTATATTACTTATATACTTATTTACTTATAAAATAAAATTATTTAAAAAATTTTTTTTTATATTTGTTTTATTAAATTTTGTTAATTTTCAATTTTTAAAATATTTTTAGATCCCTTGTAACAAACTTTCCGTTTAGTAAAATATTTCTAAAAAAAAATTTCAATTACTGTTTTTTAATATTATTTTTATATTCTTGTTTTTGAATTTTATTTTTCTTGTACTTAAATAACATTATTTTTTCTTGATCCTTTTTTAACACAACAATGTTATATATTTCTTTCTTTTTCTATATAAAAAAAAAATTGTTTTTATTATGTAGTCGCAAGGTCAACTATTTTAATCAATAATAACCTTAACCTGTTATTAACTAATCCTCTAAAACAGTAACAATCATTTGTTATCGAATTTATTTTGCGCTTAAACTTGAATTTATTCAATGTAGATAGCAACAGAATGCGGGTGAAAATCGTGAAACCTTTATACATAAATAAAAGACAATGAATTTTTATATAATTCTTAAATTATCAAGTTTCATTTGCAATTTTGTAAAATTTATCAGAATTTTGTAACAGCGAAAGTAAAAAAAAGTGCATTTAATTGTGTATTGAAAATAAATCACCGCTTTCTTATTTAGTTACGATTTTCTGTAATTTTTTTGATAATTTTCTTTAATAATTAATTAATATTAATTATCATTATTTTTTCTTATATTTTATTATTGACAATTCTAAAATAATTTAATTTTTATTCTTTATAAAAAAAATGCTGTCATACCTGATTGGGACGTCTTCGACCCACGTGGGTAACATAGTCTTTAAATAAAATCAAATCAGCATCAGCATGATTATCACGAATTATTGTACATGAACTAACGGGACAACCCTGTTGTATAAAAATATCATGCCCCACTTTTGCGTCACTCATGCCATGAGGAATTAATATTTTTTTATATGGTAGATCAGAATTTGTTTTATTGTAATCCGGAGGTACGAACATTAGCTAAAAGTAATTTAAAAATACATTAGTTAATAAGGAATAATCCCTTGTATTTCAAAAGCCAAAGAGTAATAAAAATAAAATGGGTTTTTTTTCCAAAGTTAGACTTTATAATGGTTATTTTTCTAAATTAAATTGTCAGCAATTTAAAAACATTATGCTTTTCCAAAAATTGAGCTAAGTTCATAAAAATTACTACTTCGGGATTTTTGGAATAGCTGCGATTACGAATTTTATAATAAATTCTTAAATAGGAACCCGCAAAAACTCAACAGACTTTGAGTTCTGAACAAAAAGTGTATTCTGCACTTTTTGATAGGACCAACAGCCTCTTAGAGTGGTGGTACCTTGTGGATTCCATGGCAAACCTAAACCAGTTGATCAAAAAGAATAATTACGAGCGACCGTGAAAAACAGATTTACAGGTTAATGCTTTGGCTAAATCGCCTCTCGCGTAGGACATTGGTCGGTGGACCTGGATGCCATAAGAAAAACGCATGCATAACGCATGTCAAATAACAGCAACGGAAGAACCGCTTGCAACCCAATTCACTCTGAAGTGAACAATAAGGCGATCAAGGAGGATCGCTTAGCCAACGTACAATTCAGGAAATAATAGATATAGAATGACAGAAAAAGATCGAAGAGGAACTCCCAAAGAAGGTTAAATCTGTCTGCCTCCAAAGGAATGTAAACATGAGTATCAAGGACGGACTGAAGAATCTTCAATCCCTCCTTGAAGAAGCGAAATCAAAGTACGTAACAGTAGACTGAAATCTCGAAACTTTGATGTGGTTTGCTAAGAGAAACCAAGAGGATTGTAAACAAAGGAGAGAGCACCAGTTTAAGCACCAACTTAAGAGTCCAATTACTGATACAGAGATAAGAAAAAGTTTCGAAAGTGTAGAAGAGACTCGAACCAGAACCAGGAAAAAGAAAACAGGCGTTAAGGCAATGGAAGCACCGAAGCCCCAAAGTCGTAGTCTGCCGAAAATAGCGAAAAGAGAATCCGATAGTTATTCAATTGTCATTTAAGACATGCGGATATTTTGTATAAATTCCAAACGAAGGTCAATATATAAATTCCAGCGGCACGATAGCACGAGCTACAAAAATGGAAAACTTCCTGATTAAAATCGTAGGTGACTTCAACAAAGAAGGTCCTCACTGCAGAGGTTACCAATGCGGTCGGAAGCATATGATTAAGGTGCAGTCAGCGGATCGAAGGGTCACACTTGATATTCGCGACTTGAATTATTATCTTTCCAGGTAGAAGAGGTGCAACAATTTTTGGCAAAAGTACAAAGAAGCCAGAAAGCAGGAATGTAGCAGCATGAAACTAACGGTTGTAGTAATCAATTCAGAGGAAGCGGACGGGCTGAACGAATTAGGGCCCATAAGGAATCGTTCTTATGAGCTGCTCGATTAAGAAGATAATTATGAATTATTAGAAGAATTCAAGAATTATTATCGATGCCTCGTTTTCAGACATATCGGCTGCATGCTTTAGGTGCGGAGAAGCTGGTTATAAGTTAGCAGATTGTAAGAAAATACTAAGTTGCTTTTTATTTAAAATACACACTGAGAGAAGAAAAGCACGGAATCTGAAATGGAGAAGTTCAGCATCTGTACACCAAGTTGAGCGCAGCAGCAGCGTCACTATGTGATAGATGCCGTACTAAAATGTGAAATGAATGTTGTGCTTGGCTTGAGTATAGATACTGTACACAGATATGGAACTGTTCAGAAGTACAGTATCTGTCGGTCGCTATGAGACAGATTCCGTATAACTTAGTTCACACCGCTGCCGCGCTGCTAGAGCTTAGTATCTGAACTATGAACGACACCAACTGAACAAAACTAAAGAACGGATACTGACACCCATTTTACACGGCCGGCGTTCGTCACAGTACGAATTCTGTGCTTTTCTTCTCTCAGTGCAGTTATTTATGGAAACTTAAGAACCACATCGCAATTAGTGGACCATATACGAAGTCCTCAAATCTGCATTCGAGGAAGTCAAGCTAATACTCTCGCAAGAATCCAAGTGCAATAGATCAAAAAGATCGGCCAAAACATAATCACGCAAGTTAGACCCCAGGGATATTCACCTACCAAGTTTAGTTATCAGTTGGTAATTCAGAAATCTAGCTCAAAATTTTATTGTCAAATTTGGAAAAATGATTGTTGCATCGAGATTATAATTTTCAATTTTTCTATACATTATATTTATACCTGATTCGTTATTCTGTCATCTTTGGTATCTTCATCGGGCCAAAGACGTGCTAATCTTCTTCCGGTTTGTCGATTTTTCATAGCAGGTTGAGGTCTTCTTTTTCCACCTTTCATATACCACGGTCTGTTGGATGGGTCGGTAATTTCTACAATATTTTCTATTACATTCTGTACAACTGTTGTATTCGATACCTTTAAATAAATATAACATTAATTAATTAATTAAACTAATAAATAAATTTCAACAATTATTGATTTTTTAATTGTTAATTAATTATTAATTAATATGAATTAAACACTTTAATGTGAAATAAAGATATTAATTTGCAATAATTATGAATACATAATTTAACAAAAGAACAGTTATATATTTCTATAAATTACAAAAAGTTATATATCATCGTTGTTTTAAAATTTGTCCCTCCCTCAAAATTTGCAAGTAAAGGGTAAAATTTAACCTTAAAATATGTTTCAAAAAAATTCAAGTTTAAGTAATTAAATTAAATTCAAATGTGAATGTTAAAGTAATTAGACAAGGGGCGAACGTAAATAACTTCATTAAGGCAAGATAGAGGGAAATATTATAAAAGTCAATATATTTTAGTTTGAAGTAAACAAATGGAGGAGGTTTTTCTTTTTTGTATAGTCATTAAAATAATTAGAAATTAAAGTGTTTTTAGTACAATATTTGTATTGATGGTATATGTAAATATAGAAGATAAAAATCACCAACGTTATTTTATAAACAGTTCAAGGCTAACATTTATTATATTCTATAATTACGCAATACATTTTTAATTTTTTATCAACATCAATATGAGGGAATAAAAATACACATATATATATATATAATTATTTATAGTTTTATAATTGAAATTAATTAAAATAATTGAATGGCTGTATTCGATAGGGGTGTTACGCGTGAATTGTGGCGTATAAGTATTGTCAAATAGGTCGATTTTTTTAAAGTATCTCAACTTGCAATTTTTATTATTATTTCTTATAGAGAATTAAACACACCTTTTTCCTCTGATAAACATTTTTATTCGTTTTTGAAATAATTAGAAAAAACTACATATTTGAAAAATCAAAAATTTTAATATTTTTTCACTTTAATAAATTGGTTATTGATTTTTGATATTTTTTAATTAATAAAAAAAGAAAACTAAAACCTTGAGTATCCTTAAATTAGAGAAATAATAAAATAATTAATTATTAATACTCGAAGGTGAATTACGTAAGGAAAAGTTTAATAATAATAATAATAATAATAATAATAATAATAAGAAATAATTAATAATATTTCTTACTTGCGGACTGTCCACTACTCGAATTGGCTGTATTTGTCCTGCATCTGCACGTGTACTGTGCCATATTTCCTTTTGTCGCACATTCATAATTACTAAAAACATCCCCGTCAAGCAAAAAACGTATAGAAAACATCTTTTTAAGGATAATCGTGGCCGACCCATACCGCCTTGCAACTTGGCAAAGCTTCTTTTAGCCTTGTGTATCTATCATCCTTCGCGACATTCGATTTATCTGAAATGGTAAAGAAACATTTTTTATGTATATCATGAACCTTCATATAAAACCTTATCGGTAACATTAGATATAGATATATATGTTTATGAAACATTCTTTAAACTCTGATTTTTATTATTTACAAACAATTCAAAGTCATTATAAGTGTTAGGTATAAATCAACCTTTGTGAAAATTTGTTATAAAAGTTTCTATAATAGTTTCTATTACGTACAATATAATAAGCAATTCCAAGTTAAATTTACCTATATGACCTTTTAAATTCGGATAAATATATTTTTTTAACACTTTAATGTCAATTATTTACATTTGCAAATTTTTAGTTTTCTTGTAGAATATAGTAGGCAAAAAAAAGAGTTTTTACCAAAAATAATTGATAATTAAACTTTTAATGGTTCCCATGCAGAAATTGCCTGACTTTGCCCTATTTAAAGTAAGGCATTGGTAAGGGCCTTATCAGTTTTCCCTGTTTGAGTAAAATGTGAACAAATTAAATTTTTAAAGTTTTTCCTTCATAAAGTGTTATTAACAATAAAATAAAACCGTTTTACAATAATTTTAGATATTTTTTTATTTTAGTATATTTTGACCAGAATTTCTGACCAAAATACCAACTAGGGTATTCCATATATGGCCCTGTCAAGGGCCTTTTCAGTTTTCCTTGTTTAAAAAAATCCAAACTAATTAAGTATTTAAAGTTAACATTTCGTAAAAATGTTATTGTAAATTAGTTAAATGATTTCGATTTTAATAATAATAATTTATTTCTTATTACTAAATTTTCTTATGGGTTCCTGTTAAATTCCCTAAGTATGGAACTCTCCATAGTTACTACGATATTGACACATTTTTCAGAACGATGGCACAAAAAAAAATTTTTATGTAAAGTTTGAGAAGTATTAATTAAAAGAAGATAATAAGTATTAAAAGTAGCAAATTACATTGGATAAAATAATAATTTATAATTTTTTTAATTTACATTGAATAGTAAAATTATCTGGATAGTGACAAGACTGTCCTCAAATATCATGCAAGCCATCCTAGCGTGCGTGCAAATTCACTGAAAAAAATGTTGCCGAGAAATTCAACTACCATTGGGTAGTTGACTAGAAAGTAGTTAAAATAACTACTTTTTTAGTTAATCTAATCATGTTCATGTAGTTAATGTAACTATTTTTAAGAAGTTAATAAGTAATAGTTGATTTTACGTAAATATGTAGTTAAAGTACAACTACAGGTCGGTAGTAAAATTAAATTTCTTAAGGTAGTAAAAACAAGTGTAATTGTAGTCAACTCAAAATTTGAAGAGTAGTAAATCCAACTACTATTCACCAGTTATATGAAATGTAGTAAAAGGAATTATTTTCTTTAATTAATATAACTGCTTTTTGAGTAGTCAATTTTTTATTAATTTCTATGATTTTATAGGCTTCAATTAAATTCTTGTTGTAGAATTAACAAGTCATCTGTAATTAAAACTACTACTTTAAATAGTAGATTTTTACTATTTTAATTAATTCGATAAACTTAAACAAGATTTTTGATGTAGAATTTAGAAATCGTTTCCAGTTAAAACTACTACTTTAAGTAGTAGATTTTACTACTCAAAGTGGTACAATAGGCTTTAAGAACATTTTTGTTGTAGAATTAACAAATCCTTTGCAATTAAAACTACTACTTTAAGTAGTAATTTTTTACTATTTTAATTAATTCAATAAGCTTGAAAAACGTTTTTGATGTAAAATTTACAAATCGTTTCCAATTAAAACTACTACTTTCAGTAGTAGCTTTTACTATCTTAAAGTGGTTCAAATAGGCTTTAAGAACATTTATGTCGTAGAATTAAAAAATCCTTTGCAATTAAAACTATCAGTTTAAGTAGTAGATTTTACTGCACTATGCAATTAAACAACTTATAATATAATTAAAAGATGAAAAATTTACAAGTCAAAACTTAAAAAGGATAGTTATAGCAACTAATAAAAGTAGTAAAAATGACTACTTTAAATAGTTAAATTACCAATTGAACAAGCAGAAAGTAATCTTCGAGTAGTTTGCAGACTGTTGTAGCGAGCGTGCGTGGTTAGTCGGTTAAGGTATCGGATAGCGAGCGTTAGGATCGAGGGTTCAATTCCCGTCGATTAAAAATTTTCTCTGTTAGATACATAATCGTTAGGGCATAAAATAAGTGTCATTATAGGAGAGAAGATGAAAAAGTCAATTCTACTGATAATAAACAATTATAAATAAAAAATAATTTTATTTTCCTATTTTAAGTAGTAAAATCTACTACTTAAAGTAGTAGTTTTAATTGCAAAAGATTTATTAATTCTACAAAAAAATGTTCTTAAAGCCTATTGAACCACTTTAAGTAGTCAAATCTACTACTTACATCTTGAGTTGTTTTAACATTTTTAAATTGAGTTAATACAATCACAAAATGTCATTCTACTAGTTTTTTTCAGTGTTTAAATTCACATATAATGTATATTCAACTTCAGTAAGAAATCTTTTTATAAAAAATTACATCAGAAATATTAATGACTTTGGCATTAACTTTTTTCAAGAATTTGCATGCAATTAAGTAATTTTAAGGGTCCATTCATTAATTACGTAAGGGTCCACAGGGGGCGGGGGGGGGGGATTATAAAATCTCTACATGGTCTTACGTTGGGGGATGAGTGGGGGCAGAAGCTACTTTTACATAAGATTTTGCCAAGTATTTTTCATTTGTATACACTGTAAAAAAATTAGAGAGTTAACGTTACTGGGAGTTAGGAGTTAAATTTTTCGAGTTAAAAATGAACTCAAAAAAGGAGTTAATAATTAAATTAACTCCATAAAACCAACTCCCTAGGCATAAAATTAACTCGAAAAGCATTAACTCCCTTCGCTTTAACTCCAAAAGGGTGGGATTTTTATAGCAACTAGGATTCCTAGTTATTATGAAAAGGAATTAGTTGGGATAACTAGAAATCCTAGTTAATGTGACTCTGATTTTTAGTCGGTTCTTCTCGTGACTAGAAGCATAGCTAAATAAAATAAATAAAAAAAAAAAATTATTGGATGTACGAGGAATCGGAACCCTGGTTTTAATTATAATTTATTTAATTTTTATTATTATAATATAATTTAATAATAATCGAATGTCAATTAATTTTTTTTTTTTTTTTTTTGTAAATCTGTTACCAAAAATGTGAAACACAAAAAAATGTATCCTTATAAAAATTGTGATTTTTTATAAAATTTTGACATTTAAAACTCTATAATATAGTGAAAATTGATAAACATCTACAGGTGTAGGTGAAAGCCTCCAATCAAGATTAAACGCCGCGGAAGTAAGTTAACATTCTAAATGTTATTTTTAATTAATTTTCTTCATAGAGCAAAGTTAATGATTCAACATTCACTACATACTATCGCTATTCATATATAAATTATGAGTTTTATCACATAATATCTAAGATTTAATGTTTTCTAATAAACATAGGTATATATAATATAATTTTCATGTGTATAAACTGAGACAAATTAAATAAAAATGACAGTGAAAGTGGTCAAAAATATATTCCGCAATTATTATATTACACGCGAAAATAATTTTTAAAAATTTTGATTCAAAAAAATAAAAAAATATTCAAAATATAATGATTGAATATTATTGATCCTTGTTATTTATTACAGGTTACATTTTTTTCATTAGAAGATTTAATTAAAAATGTCCGGTTATGTTTAACACTCCTCGCATATATATGTATTTTTTTTTTTTTTGAGGCTAAAATGTATTATGTCAATTTTTGTTCACGTGTATATTACGTATACAAATAACTGAATTTATTCAAGTCATTTGAGTTTTAAAACTAAAAACTCTTTGTCATTCAAACCATGTTGAACAGTTGAGGATATCAAGTGACATGAAATTTAGTAATAGGATGCCAAAATAAAATATAATTAGTTACATTTGTGGTTTAAATTAGAAGATTATTTCCTAATTTGTATATGAGGCAAAATTCCTGAAATGTCCGAACAAAAAATTAAAAGTTCTCGAATTTAATCCATACTTTTCTAAAATGTTGTTATTGTTGGTGAAAGTCTAAAAATCAATTATTATTGAATTTAATAAAATAGTTTTTGAATTACAACGTTTTTAATTTTTGACTTTTGAAAAAAAAAATTTTTTTTCAATGTACAATATTTATAAGTAGAATGCATAAAAGTTAACATATATATAATGATTTTTAAAGCTTTTTTGACGAGCTACACGTTGTTAATAAAATTTTTTTTTTAAATAACATTTGACCTTGAAATTCAAGGTCAAAATGTTAATTTACGTTTATCTCAAAATCGGATTTTTTAAAAATATTTTTAACTATCTCAATGGAAAGCTTGACTAATTTCCTACAAAACATGTAATTTTCAGAGTGGGATCTTTTAAAGTTTTTGAGATATTAATTAATTAATTAATTAATGTTTATAACAAATGAAATATTTTACAAACGAATAAAGTTACCGTAATTCTAAAGTTAGTAATTGAAAGTTAACGTAATTCCGCATCCAACGAGCCCTATATGAAGTATTTTGGATAAGTAGATTGTTAATAAACAATTAGTTAACATTGCAATTGTTTATTAACAATCTACTTATCCAAAATACTTCATATAGGGCTCGTTGGATGCGGAATTACGTTAACTTTCAATTACTAACTTTAGAATTACGGTAACTTTATTCGTTTGTAAAATATTTCATTTGTTATAAACATTAATTAATTGTTATTTTAAAAAAAAAATTTTATTAACAGCGTGTAGCTCGTCAAAAAAGCTTTAAAAATCATTATATATATGTTAACTTTTATGCATTCTACTTATAAATATTGTACATTGAAAAAAATTTTTTTTTTCAAAAGTCAAAAATTAAAAACGTTGTAATTCAAAAACTATTTTATTAAATTCAATAATAATTGATTTTTAGACTTTCACCAACAATAACAACATTTTAGAATAGTATGGATTAAATTCGAGAACTTTTAATTTTTTGTTCGGACATTTCAGGAATTTTGCCTCATATATATACCTATGTATATATAACGAAAGCGTACACTTTTTAAAAGATAATTTTTATTTTAAATTTTGTTACATTGAATTGTGAATAATTCAATACATATTTTTCATACCATAAAGATAATAAAGTAATAATAATAAAACGTATTTTATGTATAAATAAAAGATTTCAAAAAGTAAAAAGAGAATTTAATTTTTTCTTTACAATTTCCTCTTAGGTTCGATTTAACAAGAGACGTCCTTGACAAATTAATAAAAAATAATATTATTTAAATTAATTTAAAAAAAATTTCTTTTGTAGGATAAATTCTAAATGTTGTATTAGTTATTATTTATTAAAATTATTATTATTATTATTATTATTATTAATATTATTATTAATTTTTTTATATACGATTATCTGTAGGGCATCATTAAATCTTAGCACTTTGATTTACAGATTTCAATTATAAATGAAACAGCATATATTCTCGCGTGATATGTCTCTCTAACCTTAATGAGTGAACTACATTAGGCAAATTGCCAAATGGATAAAAATCGATATTAGACTTTATTTCTTTACTAAATGAGACGAAAACAACAGAAAATTTGTTTTTGTTGAAAATTAAACTAGTCAAAATTTTTCGCATTTTATTTATTTATTTATTTTTTTTTTAATGTACAAGGAAAAAAATCTTTATTTGATATAGCGATAAGTTTCACTGGAACAGCGATATATTTCACTGAAACAACGAAAGTTTTCGCTATTCGAGAGAAATATAACGCTATTACCAGATAAAGATTTTTTTCCGTGATACATAATAATAATTAAATATACACACTAATTTAAAAGTCTCAAATTGATACCAAAAAATATCAAATTGATATAAAAATTTGGATCAATTTGATATTTTCTTTATCAATTTGATAGTTTTAAATTAGTGTAGTGTATCTAATAAATTTATTAAATCTGTAGAATATCTAAAAAAAAAATTTATTTGATTATAATAATCGCTCACTTGACTATTATCAAATAAATATTTACTTGAATTAAATAAATTTTATTTGAATCAACATAACTTATGTATTTGAAACAAATACCATTAAATTGACTCAAATAATATGATTATTTAATATCAATAAATATTTACTTAATAATAGTCGAAACTAAACAATTATTTGAATCAAGTAATATTTTTTCAATGTATACCTACATAATGTTTTAGATATTGATTTTGAATAAAAAAAATTTTTTTTTTTTTGCTTAACAAATGAATCTAAAATGTCAAATTAAAAAATTTTTTTTAGGTCACTTGTAAAATTTATTTTCTTTTTAATTTCGGTATGTAGAATTTTAATTTATAACATTAAGATAAGCTAATGTAAATTTAACACTTTTTATTTTAAGAAATTTGTTTTCCAAAAATTAATTTGATACAGGTAGAAAAAAAAATTTTTTTTAATTACTGAAAACTATTTGATTTGTTAATTGTTTCTTAATGCTAAAATAATAGAATTTTTTCATACACTTTTTTTTTAAATATATTCTAATATGACAATTTATGTTTTAAGTTTAACATAAAATGATAATAAAAAAAGAATTTTTAATCAAAGTTAAATAATTTTATATCAACATTTTTTTGTTTGGATTATATTAATATTTACGATTTTTTATTCTTCCATATATTATTTCACTAATATGGAATTCTATTGTTATACCAATTACTTATATTAAAAACAAAATATTTATATTGTATAATTAATTATCTAGAATTTATTATTATAATTCTTTTGTTATTAAAAAATAAACATTTATTGCGCGTCTGTAAAATGATATTTAATGGACTTGTCTAAATATAAACTAAAGCTCTTCCAATCGATGCATTTTCACTATTTTAAAAGTTAACTGCATATATCATAAATTGAAACATTCGGTTGTTTCAAAATAAATAAAAAAAAAATAAAAAAAAAAAAACATTTAAGGAAGCATTTTTACGTAATGCTATTTTAAAACATTATCAAGTATTACAATTCTTTCTTGGTTAACATATTTTTATAAATATATTTAAATGCTTAACAATATTTGTTTCTTTTTGTTTTAATTATAGAAATTATTGATTCAAATAAAGTCGATTTAATTTAATTAAAAATTATTTGTTTCAAGTAATAAAGCTCAATTAATAAAATAATTTTTTTTTCATTCTAGAGAAACAATAGAAAGAAAGAAATTTTAAATAAAAAAAAAAAAAACTGATTGTGAATGTCACGCTTCAATGATAAAGAATAAATGAAGGCAAAAGATAAAAAAAAAAGAGAAAAAAAGACAATGAGTGTAAAATTATAAAGAAATGGCTAAAAAAAAAAAAAATAAGAGACGTAGGAAAGAAAAAATTGACTTTTTAAACTCACTGTGCAATATTGCCGCGAGATTTTTTAATTGACAGATGTAGTGGTAGCGCCATGTATTAAGCAGACTATCGATGGCCCAACGCCCAATGACTGCCGCACGTTTTCACAACACACGCACCAAGTCACGCGACAAAATCCGATTACATACACTATAAGGACTCATGGTTATTTTCCCCTTTTCGTTCTTAGGACAATAAGTGACGATTCTATACTTATTGTATTTTGTATTTTGACGTTTGATTTTTGTTTTTTTTTTTTTATTTATTTATTTATTTTTTTTTTTTAATAAAAGTGAGGAAGACCCGGCTCAATAAAAATTGTGCCTCACCCACCGATTATGTTTTCCTTTTGATACACCTTATCCAAATGATTCTTCTTCTGTGTAGTTCATATCAAACCCCTCCTTTTTAGAGTTGCCAATCCAGGGGAAAATCCATAAAGGCCGCGTCTGCGCTTTAATTTCCGCTTTTCGGTCGGTGTACCTATATATATATGTACACACACAATGCACGCTCGCAATATCGTAGATCGACTAGACATACAGCAAGGACTCGGTGTTTTAAAGAAATAGGTGCCACTATCTACACTAGTTTATAAATAGTAATACAATTGAATTTAAAAAACTAATTTCAATATGTACATGGGACATTCTCTATAAGACGGACACCCCCCACCGAACAGAATTGGTTTCATATTGAAAATTCTTTCGTTCCATGAAATTGTAGCTTAGGATGTGTAGTTTCATTTTCCGTCTGGTGATTTGTGCTTGGCACTATACAAAATCCAATATGACGTTATAAATAAACAAAAACATCAAAGAAAAATCTAGTAATTTCTGTTGTAAATTCAAAAAAGAGTTAAAATATTAAGAATGATCAATATTCCTGCTAGCTTCTAGGGGTCGCTGATTACGAATCCAAAGTCAAATTTCAAAAATTCAAAATGGCGGATCCAATATGGCGGACGAAAAAATTTATTTCATCAGATTTGTCTAAATCTTTTTACTCGGGGGTTTTCGGGGTCGCTGATTACGAATCTGAACTCAGATTTCAAAAATTCAAAATGGCGGATCCAATATGGCGGACGACTTTTATAAAAATTGATTCAATTTGCTTCAAACTTGTTACTCAGGGGTTTTTTGGGGTCGCTGATTACGCATCTGACATCAGTTTTTCAAAATTCAAAATGGCGGATCCACTAGTGCTGCCGTGCAAAATTGAAATATCGTAACTTGTTTTTTTTATATAGGTTATGTTGTCCATTATGTTTCTTCTTTTAAAAAAATATTGAGATTAAAATTATGGAAAATTTTATCCATGAAAGGTAAAAATATTTATTTGTATGAAATTAAATTTTCCATAATTTTAATCTCCATATTTTTTTAAAAGAAGAAATAAAATGGGAAACATAACCTAAGAAAAAAAACAAGTCACGGTATTTTAGTTTTAAACGGCAGAGTGCCCGCCAATATATATATATATATATATATATATATATATATATATTTATATATGAAATATTTAAAGAAACTTTATTACCGACCACACATGATAATAAAGTTTCTTTACATATATTTTACATAACACTATCAAAATTGAAAACAATTTATTATTAATTAATTAGACGTACAAATTATAGAATTTAATGAATTTCATATTTGAAGGTATATTAAATTCTTTATCAATTTATATTAATTTATCAAAATATTTCGAAATCCCACAAAATGACAAATTGACAAGTACTTATTGCATAATTATTATTAGTTTTTAATTATTTACTGCTTTAATTATTGTATTTCCTATATAATAAGTTGACTTTTCTGATGAACTTCATTTATCTTTTAAAATACATTTTTTTTTTCTTTATATTTTGTTGATTTAATAAATATTTTTCAAGTAAAACCGAAAGTTAACAGAAATTTTACCCATCTGGTGTCGTGTAACATAAAGAAAAAATTTTTTTTCAAAAAGGTCATTACATTATTTAAAAGTACTATTTTTCACCTTTAAAATGCATTTTGAAATTTTTAAAAATATTAATTTGGTTCCGAGTTATCGTCATTTAAATTTTCTGAGTGGTAAATTTTACATTATTATCTTCATGTATCAGAGGTGATGCTTCAGAAAATTTAAATGACGATAACTCGGAACTAAATAAAATTTTTTTAAAATTTCAAAATGCATTTTAAGGGGAGGAAATAGTACTTTTAGATGCTGTAATGATCTTTTTGAAAAAAAAAATTCTCTTTGTTATATTATATATAATATAGATTTTCTAGTTCAGTTAGTGAGAAAAAAGGCATTCTGGTAAATGTCTATAATTGTTTCTTATCTTGATGCGCTTCTAGTGCGAGGGTATAAAATCTAACGAGCATCAAATCAACGCCCTACTTCAAATGAGTAGAAGGCGGGCAATTTTCGCACTTATTGTGCAAAATTGTAAAAAAAAAATCATGTCGCTTAAGTCAAAAGTATATACACAATCAATATTTGTTCAAACATATAGCTTTGCATTATGTACACATAGTTGCATGCTTTCCATTCTTTAGGGTACTGCAGAAAAGTGCAAACCTTATTTTACATAAACTCTTCCTTTTTATATAAAACAAACTCAATTTTCTTTAAATTTGCGTGTTAGTGTATGTAAAAAAAAAATTTATTTAAAAAATTATAGTGATTTGTAATAAATAATTTCTACATAATAAATATATTTCTAATTTTTGTCAATAATACTGTGTATTGTAAATATTAAAAAAAATATTTAAGTTAATTGACAAATTTACTATTAAAATTTAATGTGAACGTGAAATATATATATATATAGGTGTACATTTACGTATGTATTAATGTGTTTAGAGAAATAGCTCCTTTTAATATGCAGCCAGCTATTCATGTATGTAATTTCCGTACTACTTCCATCATTTTTACAGAATGCAAACCATTTTTTTTTCACTACTCACTAATTTATAGAAATTAATAAATAAAAAACATAATACACTTGTTACAGTTTTAGGAACATTTAGTAAATTACTATCATTACAATAATAGAAGTGATAGAATCATTATTACTATGTAATTATAGATAAAACTTTTCTTTTAATTGGTAATTAATTCGTGTGACTGTTGAATTTTTTTCAATAAAAAAAAAAATAAATTAATAATTATTCTAAAAGAAATAATAAAAAATTTTGCACTACTTTCTATATTTATATTACAATTTTCCATTGTGTGTATCTAAAGGTGCTGTAATTTTCCATCTAAAACAATCAAATCAAGAATTTTAAAGAAAAAAAAAAATCATAAAATAATTTATCTGTTGAAAAAATTATATGCCTCTTTCACTAACTTTCGTGCACTCGTGTTGGCGATCGATATGCAGCGTGTATTCAAGTCTTTAAACATTTGTTGCACGTTTTGTTCAATTTTCAAATTCGGAAATTACATCATCAATAATACATTCTTGTATCTATTATTTAATACCCTCAATGCAATGTACGATGCAATTTGAACAATTTTTCTCACTTTTGGGAGTTACTTCTGGTACTATAATATATATGAACAAAGTGTGAGAATTTAGGCTTTCATTATTTATTTTGATAAATGGGTTTCTAAGTTATGTTCTGCAATAAATGTATCTTCACAGGCATTCTTTCATTATATTTAGTAGTAAAAAAGTATTGAAAAATCGATAAAATCACATTTTTTGCATTTATCTCAGTAAATAAATACACAGTAAACTTGGTTGTCTCTTTTTCTATTGCAACGTTTTGATGCACATAAGTTATATCAAAAAGAGATCGTTTTGTGTATCATTTTTAGAAATGATACACGAAACGGTCTCATTTTTTGATGCAAAAAATTTAATCAATTTATATCAATCATGGCCGAATTGAATCGACTCAAAATTGAACGAATTTTTTTCAGATATTTTGGTAATAGTACAATTGCGGAGACCATTGCACTATTTAATTTGAATATGAAAATAACAGAAAATCAAAGACAATGTGCAATTCGATAATTAAAAAGTGACAACTTATAAACATAACCTAAAATGCATGAGAAAAAATTTGTCGATAAAATCAATATAGCCGAGCTTTTTAGAAGGTAGATGGCAGTTTTGCTTTTTATAAAAACGATTCAGAAAAAATTGAAAGAAAGAAAATAGATGAGTGCTGCCATCTACCTTCTAAAAAGCTCGGCTATATTGATTTTATCGACAAATTTTTTCTCATGCATTTTGGGTTATGTTTATAAGTTGTCACTTTTTAATTATCGAATTTGCACATTGTCTTTGATTTTCTGTTATTTTCATTTTCAAATTAAATAGTGAAATGGTCTCCGCAATTGTACTATTACCAAAATATCTGAAAAAAATTCGTTCAATTTTGAGTCGATTCAATTCGGCCATGATTGATATAAATTGATTAAATTTTGTGCATCAAAAAATGAGACCGTTTCGTGTATCATTTCTAAAAATGATACACAAAACGATCTGATTTTGATATAACTTATGTGCATCAAAACGTTGCAAAGATTTGATGCAATTTTTGGTCTCAATTTGAGACTTTTAGGAAACCTGTGAACGAAAAATCCTTCAGACGAAAAAATTGTATACTTATATTTGAATATTATATTTATTTATATATATTTAAACCTATAGCAAAATCAGCCGGAAAAAATCGTTGATAATACAGGAAATGATATCGGAAATTGTATTGGAAATTATATTGGAAACTACAACTTTAACGTTAGTAGGACCCGATATCGTAATTTGATAGCAGGAACTGTGAATATCTCCTTTGTTGATTCGAATATATATTGTTTATGATTTTTGTCGATAATGGACATCTTCGCGGGAAGAGGGTTAAAGAATATAGAATAGAATTAATTTTTCACGGGTTTATCTTAATTTTTATGCGCCCAAATTCCTCCAGCCTGTTCGCTTTATCTGGGTAGGTGACAACAAATTCATTCCTCACCGGTTGGGACCTAAGACCGTTAACTATCTCAATTATGATCCTTTGATGCATCAACTGCACCTTACCCAAACCTCCGACCGCATTGGTAACCTTGTAATGGTGAATTATTAACTGTAAAAATAATATTTAATATCGCTAAAAATTATTATCAATCACGCGCACCTTACTGAAATATTCTCAAAACCTTTAAAAAACACAATCTAAGGGGGAATTCCGTCAAGGACAAATATTATGCGAAAATCATTCGAAACGACGCTGTGAATTTAAATATAATCAACATTCGGTAGACTGCTTGGCGCCAACGATGATTGGAAACGCCGCCGATGAGGAATAGCCAACAAAGATAAATCCTAAAATGAACTCACACACACAATTATAATACAACTAAAATTTATTAAATAAAACAATTCAAACTATTATACAAGATTAATCAAATATAAAGTAATGTTCAATTTGATTGTAATTCAACTCGAAAATGCGACCACTTGGTAAGATAGCCAGCCAAACAAGTGAAGTATAAGAAATCCTTTCTTCCGTAGTTCTTCCGTACATACGTCCATCCTCGTCACCCCCAACTGGTTAGCAACTAAAAGAAAAATTGTAAGGGACGTTAACCACGTGACTCTAAGCGCGGATTAATCATGCGCGTAATCATTCCTAATAAGACTTGACAAGAATCACATCTTCAGAACGTTGAACGAAAACATCCTTAGGTTACTTTCCGTTTTTCTTAGTTATAACAGCTACCATTTTCGTATGACTAAATTTCGACTTGATTTCTTTGCAAAGCTTACCATAAATGTCAACATACGAACATCTTTAAGTACCTTACCAAATCTTTGACCGCCATTCTATAACTTCCACAATGAATTCTTCCTTATCGAAGTCGCCTTAAATTTTTATCAGGAAGTTTCCCTTTTTCTTACTTCTACCATAGGTACTACCTTTGTACTACTGACGTCCGGCATGATTTCTTTGCGAAGCTTATCCAAAATGTCAGCATAAAAACAGCCTTAGGTGACTTTCTCTTTTTCTTAGTTCAGCTACCATTTTCGTATGACTAAATTTTAGATTGATTGCTTTGCGAAACTTACCCAAAATGTCAACATACGAACATTAAATGACTAGGATAATGATCTTCTTGTCGCCTTCTTCTACTTAACGTTGTAGCTTCGGTGTCTCCGTTTCCTTTGCATCCTTCTTTTCTGCAGGAGCTTCCTACTTTTTCATCTTCTACCCCTTCGTCACTTGTATAATCTACTTGAACTTGTATCACGCTTCTTAGCCTCCTTGACAGCGCGTCTTATCGCCCTTTCTCTCTTCTTTCTCAAGTCTTGCCATTTTCACCAGCTGCATACCTATAGTATACTCCAGGCGGTTGTCATTGGCATTTGCCTCTCTTGATGTTTAATCGTCGCTTTAAGGATTTACAATTTGTCCGTCACGTTCTTCTGAACGTCTAAAGACTTCATCATCTTCAATCCTTACTAGCTTTGCTACATCCGCCGCTCTCAATGAACTATGATCTCACCAGGCTGACAACACTACCCGGACAGCACCGAAACTTCACTGAACCTTGACTGAACCTCGCTTGACGAGGTTTGGGAACTTAAGTCGCGAGGTCTAAACGAGGTTGAGTTGATGTTTAAATATCCGCGCATAATAAAGGTCAGTCACAGAGGTTGGCTGAATATTGAATTTGAATTTCTGTTAAATATTAAAATTAAAGATTCTTGGCATATTGTGAGGGGATATTTAAGGAAATTAAAAATTCAAGATTTGTTAAATGTAATCTTTAAATATTCTAGAAATTTAGAAGGAGCATAAATACAGAAAAATAAAAAGAAAGCAAATGAATTCAAAAAACTACTGAAAATTGCTTTTTCTATGACATGGGAAAGCGTAAATAAAACAAATTAATAGACAATCATAAATACAGTTATATTTATTAGTAATAAATTATTATTACATTAACAGCATTTAAACCTTCGTGACGTCACAAATCATGGCGAATGACACGCAAACTTCTGCGCTATGTGAAAAGCACAATTTTGAATATTTTTTAAAAAAAAACCTTTTGAAAAATGTTCAGAATAACATAGACTCTGTCTGTTATGTGCGGAAAATTCAAAATTTTGCGTTTAAAACGTTTTTTAAACAATGTTTAAGTTGGTTGTTACAAGTAAGGAAAAATACACTAATTGCTTATTTGTAGGCCATTTTTGGAAAGACCAGGATAAAATAATTTTATTATAAATAATAATTAAAATTGTTTATTACTAATTAAACAATAATAAATTGGTAGGTTTTTTTAAGATAATACGTGTTGTTTAAAGGTGAAAAAATAATAGAGACATGCTGATTAATTTTTTTTGAATTTGTAAGGAAGTTTTTCATATTCCAGGAAAACATTCCAATCAAAAAAATGGAATAAAATTTATTATTATTAGTCTACTGCAATTTAGGTTCAATTGGTAAATTTTTCTTAAGATAATACGTATTGTTTTAAGATGAAAAAATAACAGAGACATGCTGATTAATTTTTTTTAAATTTGTAAGGAAGTTTCTCATTTTCCAGGAAAACATTCTATTAAAAAAAATGGAATAAAATTGATTCTTAGTCTACTGCAATTTAGGTTCAATTGGTAGGTTTTTAGAAGGTATTACGTGTTGTTTTAAGGTAAAAAAATAATCGAGACATGCTGATTAATTTTATTTGAATTTGTAAGGAATTTTTTCATTTTCCAGGAAAACATTTTATTCAAAAAAATGGAATAAAATTGATTATTCTTAGTCTACTGCAATTTAGGTTTAATTGGTAGGTTTTTTTGAAGGTTTTACATGTTGTTTAAAGGTGAAAAAATAATAGAGACTTGCTGATTAATTTTTTTTGAATTTGTAAGGAAGTTTTTCATTTTCCAGGAAAACATTCTATTCAAAAAAATGGAATAAAATTGATTCTTAGTCTACTGCAATTTAGGTTCAATTGGTAGGTTTTTTTTAAGATTATACGTAACTCTTTTGACAAGAAATATTTTCAAATAGAAATGTTGTCTACAATGTGTGGTGAAACAAAAACTCAAATAAATGAACTATTTACTTAAAAAGAAAATTTTGTTTATTGCAAAATTTGTACTATAGAAAAAAAAATGCATTTTCGTAATGATTTACTCAGAAAATTCTTCTGGATGAATTTTTCTGGCTCAATAAAATTATTGTTGAGAATATTTACTAGGATTTCTGCCAAAAAATTCTGATAACTCGTTTTAATAAAATTTGCATTTAATTTTAATTTTTTTTTTTTAATTTTAATTTTTTATTAGCACATGAAATGTGCCTGCAGACTTTCAAAAAAACCTTTAAAAATTTAATTTTTATGTTACTACTAATAAATATAACTGTATTTATGATTGTCTATTAATATCTGTTTTATTTACGCTTTCCCATGTCATAGAAAATGCAATTTTCAATAGTTTTTTAAATTCATTTGCTTTCTTTTTATTTTTCCGTATTTATGCTCCTTCTAAATTTCTAGAATATTTAACGATTACATTTAACAAATCTTGAATTTTTAATTTCCTTAAATATCCCCTCACAATATGCCAAGAATCTTTAATTTTAATATTTAACAGAAATTCAAATTCAATATTCAGCCAACCTCTGTGACTGTCCTTTATTATGCGCGGACATTTAAACATCAACTCAACCTCGTTTGGACCTCGCGACTCAAGTTTTCGAACCTCGTCAAGCGAGGTTCAGTCAAGGTTCAGGGAAGTTTCGTTGCTGTCCGGGTAACTAGAAAGTAAACAATTTCTCAATTAATAAACCAAACAAAAATTAAGGAAATCCTTCCCTTTTACATTAAATGAATTACGCCACCTTGTCAAAAAATTATTTTTTATATAAATTTTAAAATCTATACTCTTGCAGTTATTTTCAGATGTCGTTTATAAAAATATCTCAATAAATGTAAAAGTTTTGGTCATTGGAAGCCGGCACTGCAGGAAGAAATCCCGGTATTGCTCCTTCGAGCCGACTGGCATCCTTCCAGATTACGAGAACCATTATTAAATGGTTAAATACATATGCACTTTAAGAAGATAATCATTAAAAATCATCTTTAATAGTTTTGTCAAAATAATTTTCTTAAAAACCATCCATTCAAAATAATAATACAATAATTTTATTTACATTGTTCTTGCAATTATTGCAGTATAATGAAATAATATAAAAAAAAAGATTTATTTAAAGAATATTTACTTCAATTTTTTCATGAATGATTGTGAAAAATAAGTATTTTATCATAAATAATCACGTTCATATATACGGTCATCACAGACACTTATGATTTAAATCGTTTGTAGATTTAGACGTATAGTGAAGATAAGATAACACTTGACAAATCAATGTTTTCTTATCAAGTACTGCAACAAATTTTAAATTCATATAAATCAATTTAATTGTGACCTCTACAAGATACACATTATTGGCATTATAAGAAAATAACAATTTAACAAAAAAAAAAAAAAAATGCGAAATCCAAAAAATTTACGTATTAATGTTACATCGCGGGTCGAAGACATTCAACCACAAGAAAGAGAACAGGCTGAAGTCTCTAAGAAATCACCATCAGCTAGTAAAAAAGACAAAGACGTAAAGAACACGTGAGTTTTTACTATGCATATTGAAAATATTTGAAATTTTGAACAAAATTTCCATTTACATCAAAATACTCAAAAAAAAAAAAACTACTTTAATTTTTTATAAGCTAATTTCATTTAGAGTAAATAATGACTAATTTGTCTTGTTTAATTCTACGATAAATAGGAAATGATTCTTGATATACAAGATAATAGATAGTATATATTTATAATAATATATTATCTATTAAAAATTTATATAATCGATTTTTAAATATTTAATTTTTTTGATAAATTGAATATCATTATCGTTACATATTTCAGGGAATCCGAAATTGATGAAGGAAATGAAAAATTAACATCAGTTCCACTTTTTAAATTGGTGTGTCTAATTAGTGGTGAAATTAATGAATTTTAACAATATTTTTTTTTTTCTTTTGTTAATTCACAAATAGTAACTAATATTTTTGCAATATTTAGTTTAGATATGCAACAAAATGGGAGACATTTCTCATGATTATTGGAATTATATGTAGCATTGGTTCTGGATTATGTGTGCCATCAAATATTTTTATTTTCGGTGATCTTGTGGGTTCAATGGTAAAAGCGGAAATGATGAAAGAAATTATAGAAATTGGCATCAATGGTACGACAAATGCAACAGAAAACATGATGAACAGTATTATGGATACAGTGACTAAATTTGCAATGGGAAATTCTATTATTGGCCTAGTGATGTTAATTTTCACTTATATTAGCGTTATGCTTTTTAATTATACGTCACAAAAGCAAACATTTCGCGTGAGGACAACATATCTTAGATCAATTTTACATCAAGATATCAGTTGGTATGATGTTATGCAAAGTGGTGATGTGTCCAGCAGATTAACGGAGTTAGTATGAACAAACTTTTCATATAATTTTCTATAATTAATACAAAAATATCTATTCGGGAACAACTTGAATACTGGCACAAAATAATGTATTGGAAATGGCTAAAACTGTACTTTTTCAGAATAAAAATAAAATATTTATTAACCATTTTTTCAGAGACATAATTAAATTTGAAGATGGTATTGGTGAAAAAGTGGTGATGTTTCTACACAATGTATTCGCATTTTTAGGATGTGTTGGTCTTGCATTTTATAACGGATGGGAACTCACTCTTGTTTGTGTTGTTGCATTTCCAATAATGGTTTTAATTCTCATTGGTATAGCAAAGGTATAATTTAGAGATTAGTTAATATATTAACAAGATTTTGCATCTAAAGAAATTGTCACTTCATCTTATGGAATATTTTTTTATCTATTCGTTTCTTTTGGAACATAAACATGAATTCATATTATTTTATTTTTATTTTTTGATTTGAACATAGGCAACTGCAAGAATGACTAGAAAAGAAGTTGAAATATATGCAATTGCAGGAGCAATAGCAGAAGAAGTAATAGCGTCATTTCGAACTGTTATTGCTTTTGGAGGACAACAATCTGAACTTGAAAGGTATAAGACAAATCTACAAAAAACTTATAAAACCAACATAAAGAAGGGATTTTTAGCAGGTGTTGGATTTGGATTAGTTTGGTTTTTTATTTATGCAAGTTATGCTCTCTCCTTTTGGTATGGAGTTACGTTAATTCTCAAATATAGAGATCTACCTCTAGCAGAACAAACCTATACTGCTGAAACAATGGTTATAGTAAGTAATCATTTCAAACTTGCTATATTTGGAGAATTTAAAAATTTTTTTTTTTCAATTCGTCAGCACAAATTTAATAGACGAGTTGGTTATTTTGTTTGAATTCTCAACCGATAAAAACTCATTGGTATAGGAATTGAATTGAATATACAAAGGACTTCACTAAATCTTGCTTAGCGACAAATACGATATCCAGTAACACTCAATATACACAAATTTAAAAGATAACATGAATATAGAATTGTATATTTATTTTCATAAGTCAAAACTAAATAATATATAAAATTAATTTCTTTCAAAGGTATTCTTCAGTGTGATGATGGGTAGCATTAATATGGGTGCTTCTTCACCTTTTATGGAAGCTTTTGGAATATCTAAAGCTGCAGCAGCAAATGTTTTCTCAATTATTGAACGAAAGCCAATAATTGATTCCATGTCTTCTGAAGGTTTAAAACCAACAGATATTGAAGGGGTTATTGAATTTAAAAATGTTTCCTTTAAATATCCATCTAGAAAGGAAGTGACAGTAAGAATTTTTTAAACTAATTACAAGATATAATGTTCTTGAAATTATTTATTTATTTCAAAATCTATATTATAAATTAAACGAAAGAATAAAATATAAATAATTTTAAGGTTCTTGAAAATTTAAGTTTCACGGTGAATAAAGGACAAACAGTAGCATTAGTTGGTAGCTCAGGCTGTGGAAAGTCTACATGCATTCAACTTATTCAACGATTTTATGATCCTTCAAGGGGGAAGGTAACAATTAGATAATAAATTTTATTTTAATTGTTTCAAGTGAGAAACAAAATTAAATGAGAAAAATTGATTAGGCGTACATCAATAATAATTTATTAGAAATTAATAACAGTTAATAAAAGTATATTATATTTAAAAAAGTATAATTCTAATAGATTCTAATTGGAGGTTATGATCTAAAAGAACTGAATCCTAAATGGTTTCGCAATAATTTAGGCATCGTTGGACAAGAACCTGTTCTTTTTGATACAACAGTAGCAGAAAATATTCGATATGGAAATATGAATGCAAGTACAGAACAAATTGTTTCAGCAGCAAAAGAAGCAAATGCTCATGATTTTATAATGAAATTGCCAAATGTAAGTAAATTTTTTTTTTTCTTCTGAAAAATATCTCTTTTTTATATGCAAAGTTACAAAACAAATTAAAAATTTTTAAAAATTAAAAACTATCTCTAAAATAATTTTTGTATTTAAGAAATATGATACACTTGTTGGTGAGAGAGGAGCTCAAATTTCCGGTGGACAAAAACAACGAATTGCTATTGCAAGAGCAATAATACGTAATCCTAGTATTTTACTTCTCGATGAAGCAACGTCAGCTTTGGATACTGGAAGTGAAGCCAAAGTACAAGCAGCTTTAGATATGGTATATATTTAAAAGAAAAATTTGTTATTTGAGAGAAAATTTAAACCAAAAAGAAAATCAATAAGAAATTTTTTTAGGCCAATCAAGGAAGAACTACAATAATAGTGGCTCATAGACTTACTACAATTAGAGGAGCAGATAAAATTATTGTTTTATCTAATGGTAAAACTGTGGAAGAAGGTACTCATGATTATTTAATGTCACTGAATGGTCATTATTATTCTCTCGTCACAGCTCAGGTATTAACGTTAAAATTAGTATGATATTTAATTTGAAGTTAGATACAGAAATTTTTTAATTTCATTTATAATTTTAGGTGTCCGATTTTTCTGAAACAATTAATGAAGAGTTAAGGAAAATTAATGATAATGAAAAAAATGATGACGATGAAGATTCCGTTAATGTGATGTCTAAGGTTTCTAGTTTGACTAATTATTATTTGTATGTTGTTGTTAATCAAATTCTGTTTATTGTTTACAAAAATCTATTTTTAGAATTCAAACGAAGATACATGTAATTCAATTAAGAAGGTTTCGATAATGAAAATCCTGGAATTAAATCAACAAGAGTGGCCTTACATACTTCCTGCTTGTTTAACTTCGATAATTGTTGGTTGTTCAATGCCATTGTTTGCCATTTTATTTGGAGATGTTATTGGTGTAAGTGTATAAACTATAAGCTGAATATAATTAGAGTTTTTCAAAAAGAATTAACTTGACTAACACAAGCAGTAAATCTTTTTTAGATACTTTCAGGTCCAGATGCTGAAGAAGTTAGAAGTCAAATAAACAAATATTGTGCATGGTTTGTAGCAGCTGGTATAGTAATTGGTGTATCAAATTTCGCACAGGTTGGTTCATTTTACAAATATATTAAAATAGAAAGGAAATTGTTTAAGAATAAAATATAAAATCTTCCACTTAATAACGTTTGAAAATTTTAAATTTATTGTTAAATTTAATATTGATTTTTAAAAAGTTTAATTAAAATGCATTGTAGATTTTTCTGTTCAGCATATCAAGTGAATGTTTGACAATGAGATTACGTGGTTTGACATTTGAAGCAATGTTAAAACAAGAAGTTGGCTGGTTCGATCAACCTTCAAATGGAACGGGAGCTTTGTGCTCTAAGCTTTCAACGGAATCAGCTGCCGTGCAGGGAGCATCTGGACAAAGAATTGGATTAACTTTTCAATCAATTAGCACTATCATTCTTTCCATTATACTCTCTATTTATTATGAATGGAGACTTGGATTAGTGGGAATGTCATTTATTCCTTTTATACTTGTTGTTACTTATCTACAGGGTTTACTCTATGCAAATGAGACATTCAATTATCATCAGAGCTTAGAGACATCAACAAAGGTTTGTGTTCACATATGGAATAACAAAAAATAATCCCTCTTGTCTTAAGGATTTACGACAATTTTAAGGTGTTGCATGAAAAATGCGAGTAGATTTAAAGACAATTTTTTGTTATTATTAATATCGATAATAACATTTTCAAAATCAACTTCACCTCAGATTTTTATTTATTATTTATAAATAATACCTCATTAATTAGAGTAACCAGTGTTCGTGATCTGGGGGTTATTCTTCAGAATGATTTTAATTTTCACGAGCATTATACCAAAACTTCATGAGAAAGCACTCAAAACTCTTATTGGCTTCGTCACGAGGAACATTACAACTTTCAATAATATTCATGCAATTAAAGGACTTTTCTTCTTAGTTGTTAGACTTAAACCATTGTTTGCATCTGTGGTATGCTCACCTTACCACCAAGTCAACATTGATAGATTTGAAAGAATTCAAAACAAATTCTTACGCTTTGCAGCTTGGAGACTGGATGTTGCATATATATGACCGTAATAGTCATGATTACACTGAGCTTAGAAGATTCTTTAAAATTCCGACTCTTTCATCTAGATTCTTATAAATAATGATTTATTGTTTCTATACAAACTTATTAACGGCATTATAAACTGTCCTAATTTGTTAGCACTTATTAACTTCTATCCCAGTCGAAAATGAAAAATTTCCCTGGAGCGTTCATACGGCCTTTAGGCAATTGTTATAAAGGTCTTAAATGCTTTGTGACAACTATTTGTACATTAGACCTAAAAAAAAAACTTAATATTTGCTTGCTGGCTTCTTAGCACAAAGCTTTTTCTAACACTTGTTAAATATCTATGCGGATAGTTTTCCGCAATATAACTGACAGTTTGCTAGCCTAATGCTCTCCAAATACCTAGTTTAATTTATAAAGAAGCAATTTTATCTCCTTTTCACAAATTGTTTGAGAATGTGTATTATCATTACTTTTTTATACATCCTAGAAACTAGGATTTATATTATAAATCCTTTATGAAGTTACACAAGGAAATGAAAAATTTGCAGTCATAAATCTGTATAAATTTATAACATTGAGAATAAAAATTTGTTTGAATGTTTCTATACATGAAACATTAAATTATTATTAACCAATATTAATTGTGTAATTTTACTATTAAAAATTGATTCACAATTAACTTATAATTAAAAGAAGATAATATTTAATTTAAGACAAAAGTATTTAATATTACCACAGGATAGATATTAATAATAAAATGAATAAAATTTTAATAAGATAAATAAAGATGAAAAGGAAGGTTAGATTTAACTTTTGATACACATGTTATTTTTCTACTGTTTCCTGAAACATTCATGATGCTTCGTTGAGTTTTCACTACCTCTGAACGTTTTCTCTTAATTTATATAAAAATTAAGGTACTTTCTGACAACTCTTTCAATGCCATTTGAATGATTTGTTTAAAACGATAAAAATGTGCTATTTGTAGAATTTTGTCTGAAGCGAAAAATCGGACATAACCGGCTTCCTGAAAGTTTGCTACAGCTAGTTTACTATACTATCTAACACTTCTCTAATGGTTATCTCAATACTTTAAAACAAAATTTTTCAGCTTAAGAAAGCGCAAGATTTTCCATTGATGCGCCTAATAGAATGTTTAGAAATACTTCTTCATTTAAGTTAGGTAGTCATAGATCTGTTTACGGAGAAAACTCCAATTGAATAGAATTTATATAGAGGCGAACACACTTGCAATAAAGATTTACATTTTTTTATTACACCTTTGAGCAATTTTGTTTTAAGCTTAAAGATGGCAGTTCATGTTGCCACTTAAATTACCATGTGTAATAAAATAATTCTTCTATTTTTATTATCTTTTGTTATTTCTATTGTTATTTGTCCGTAAGGGCTTTAGGCACGTTGTATGTGTAAATAAATAAATATAAAGGGCGAGGGGCTGTTCACTGAAAATCCAATTGAACAATATTTGAGAATTCATTAAAGATTTTTAAGGATTGCTAGTCATTTTCGTAATTCCTATTTTGAAATTAAGGGAAATAATGCTTTCATTTTATTTAAAGTAATTGAGAATTACTTGCAAGAAAAATAAATTAATTGTATAATTTGGTAGTATTTAAGCCATTGACTATACCTCGCGCTTAATCGAAAGGACTCATACGTATTCGGCTTCTGATTCGAACGGAATCGGACGGACTCGTTGATATTCACAGTGTATTCACAAATTCCTTCTTTGCGCTGCTTCGTGTCGCGCAGACTAAATAAAGTATATATACAAGGAAGTGAAGATTATGATAAAAAAAATCAGTCAATAATAATAATTAGTGTAAATAATTTTATATTATTTATACAACAATTCTTACTGCATGACTTAGGATTTTATTGGAATCGACGCGAGATTCGTTCGGATTCGCATAGTATTCGACAAATTCGAACGTCCTTTTCAATAATCGTCGGTAATCTCCACTTAAAATACAATATATTCAGAATCAAGAAATTTACATTTTCTTATGTTAATTGATGAATATTCGGAAGATACCTAGTATATTCTCTACATTACAAATCGGGTATTCGAGAGTGAACAGTCTCTCGAAAGGGGAAATCTTTTGCAGTAATTAAGATTTTTACATCCTTTTATAGATTTCCGGCTGTTTTGTCATTCGAAGTACTTGTAGAAATTCAAGTGATATCCAAACAAGCTGCTGGATATCTCTAGAGGATAATTAATAACCTAAACAAGCGGTACTGTAATTTTGTAACTAATTTGCAAAAATTGATTTATTAGATTGCAGTTGATGCAGTAAGTAATATACGAACTGTAGTTGGATTAGGAATAGAAGACAATATGTACAAATCTTATCTACATGCCATGGAACCGTCACTAAAAGTGGCAAAAAGAAATACTCATTATAGGGGTTTAGTTTTTGGCTTGGCACGTTCTATTATATATTTTGCTTATGCTACATGCATGTATTATGGAGGATATTTGATAAAACACAGTAATCTTTACTATGCAAATGTTTTCAAGTAAGTAACAAGAATTTGTAAAAAAAAAAAAATGTTAAAATAATAGTAAAAAAAAGTTCCAGTTTTAATTAAAATCTATATAAATAGATAAAACAATTTTTTCTCCCTGATCAAACATTTCATTGTTTAAAAATATTCTAAATAAATATGTGACCAGGAAAAAAAATTTATTTTATATTTTTTATCTATTAACGGACAAAGTGAATTTAATTATTGCTCTCAATATCAAGAATTTTAATTACTTTTTTTGATGTTGTATGCATTCAGTATTATTATACCTTTATAATGTTGATAATGATTTTCTCTATTTTAATTATTCGAGTTTATAGCCTTTTTCACAAAATTGTCCATATAAATATCTATGAAAATTATTCTCGAAATATATTATATGTAAAATATTATTTGAAATATTAAATTTTCAGAGTATCTCAGGCTCTTATAATGGGAACTGTAATGGTTGCAAATGCATCTGCTTTTGCTCCAAACGTTCAGAAAGGATTACTCGCTGCTTCAAATATAATTTCCCTTTTAGAACGAGTGCCAAAAGTTCAAGATTTGAAAAATGCTGAAGAAATTGCAGAGGTAAAATGATTTTTTAAAAATTTAGTAATGTTAATTTTCTTTATATTTTTTCTACTTAACATTGCAATTATTTTTTTACTATAGGTATTTTTTAAGAGATAAAAAAGTGTAAGTTAATTACCTTTTGAAAACAGGAATCTTAGTTTTAATTTTAGTCTAATTGCGTCTATATTTAAATTTTCATTTCTTGGAAGGTGTGTATATATATGCATTTCTTCTTGTGTCAATTTATGATTCATTGAATTTTACCGTCACTGACGTACTTCAATGTCTCCCTTTTCCTAATCTATGCAAATTTATACAGACAAATTCCACATTCATATTTTCATTCACGCCCTCTTTTCTTTAGTTTTGCATGCAAAGTTGCACAATTTTCGAGCACTTTTTTTTAGTATTTGCCGGAGAACTTTAATTTTTTTTCTCTTCAATAAAATCAATCCCTACGCGTGGAAATGACTACTTGAATATAATTTTTTAAAAATATTTTATTACATTTGAAACAATTAATAAAGTAATGATTTTAATTATTGTATTAAGAAACTAATCTTAAAGATTTTAAAACCTTTTTTTATTTTTATAATTTTTATTTTAAAAAAATGGAAGCCAATTTCTATTAATATTAATAAAAAATTAATCAATTTAATTTAACTAATTTATTAATTTTCTAATTTTTTAATAATATTTATGAAAAATTTTTAGATTATTTCCCTCGCAGCACATGTCTCCATTGTATTTCAAATTGGTTTACGACCACCAATTTTACATTATTGCTTCCTCTCTTTTGATGTGTAATCGTTATCTTTCCTCAATTTTAAAGTCTTTTTTTTAAAGAAGTAATATAGTATATAAAATATAATAATAGGTAAATATTAATAATAATATTCATAGCTTCATAGACATAACAATAGATTTTCAATCGTCATTGGTTTTACAAATATTTATTGTAGGTAAATTTTATTTTTCGAAAAATTAGCTATTGATTTTAGTTTATTGAAATTTATTTATTTGAAACATAAACATAAAAATTTGCAAATTTAATATTATTTTCAATTTAATAATAATATTTTGAAAGACTTAATTAAAAATAAAATGTTTTAGAATTCGGAAGGAATTGTTAAATATGAAGATATTAAATTTGAATATCCAACAAGACCAGGTATTCGAGTTCTTAATGGTTTAAATTTGTTGGTATCATCGGGAAAAACTATTGCATTAATAGGAAGTAGCGGTTGTGGAAAAAGTACTCTTATTCAATTACTTGAAAGATTTTATGATCCTTTCTCAGGAGTTGTGGTAAATATTTCATTATATCATATATATACATTATACATATGAATAGTTTTAAATTTTGTCGTGCTTACAATATATTGAATACTAATAAATTCTAATGAATTATTATATTTCTTTTTAATGGTAATTACTTTATTGTTTCTCGCAAAACTTTTTGTAATGAAATAAAAGATGCATGTAAAGAAAAAATTATCTGCAACTTAATTTTATATACAAAAATGAATAATGTCTTTTATCTTGTATAGATATTGTATTTTATTCTTTATGGAAAAAAATTTTTTTTTTTTAATTTAAAATTAACACGTTTTCTTTTTCTTGATAATATTTCTACAGACTATTCATATTTTTTTTTAAATGACGTCAAATATAATTACGCCTTAACTTGACAAAGTAGTGAAAAAAACAAAGAATAATGTTAAATGTTGTTTATCATATTTATTTAAATACAAACTATCGATTTTAATATTTTTAAACTAAAGTAATTTATATAACTATATACATTCTTTTATTTTATTTGCATTTTTTGCTAGACTAATTTTAATATATTTTTTTCACTTTTACTTTCATTCAAATTATAACCCACTTTTATTATCAACCCCCCTAATTTTGACAACTGGTTTTTATTTAAATAAATAAATTTTTAAAAAATCATTTATGTATTACAGATAAATGTTATATCAATTTTTTTTAAACAAAAAATGTTTATAAAAAAAAATTATTTTATAACACTTGAAAAATTTGGGTTAAATTTAAGTAGCCGGGTGGTTGCAAATCAGGGGATTTTTATTCAAAGAAACCAGAAACTAACTTATCAAAATTTTATTTTTTTAAATAATCGCAAAAAACTAACAAAACATTATCTACTTGGTAAAGAATGCATTTTCCATTTACATTTGAAATATTTACTTAACCAATAGAAAAATAATTCAAAAATTGTTTAGTCAGGGAAAAAGAAAAATTAAATTAAAAATTTAAAACACGTCAAAAATGAACCTCGTAGATGAGCCCATAATCTGTGTTTTTGGTTCATTTTGAGCTGCAACAAAAATGAGCCCAGATTTTTTTTTGTTAAAATTACAAAATAAAAAATAATATTGTTAATTTATAGAAATTTGCTGATAAAAATATTGCAACAGTAAAACAAGCATCATTAAGAATGCAATTGGGATTAGTGTCTCAAGAGCCGACACTTTTTGCAAGAACCATTGCTGAAAATATTGCCTATGGTGATAATACACGACAAGTGCCATTAACTGAAATAATTGACGCAGCCAAAAAAGCAAATATTCATCATTTTATTGCATCATTACCACTTGGTTATGAAACAAAATTAGGCGATAGGGGAACACAACTTTCTGGTGGTCAAAAGCAAAGAATTGCAATTGCAAGAGCACTAATTAGAAATCCACAAATTCTTTTACTAGACGAAGCAACATCTGCATTAGATACTGAAAGTGAAAAGGTAACAATTTCTTATTAAACAATGCTACATAAGCATATTATTACATAAATTATTTAATTATTGCAATGCATTAAATATTATATTTTGTATTTATCGATAATTATAGTAACATAACGTTATATATGAATTAAAGAGTACAGTATATAATTATCACGCAAAGAAAATAGGTTTTCTCTATTTTTATTAAAACAAAGAAAATTTTCGTAAAGTTATGTGTGCACGCATATACAATGTAACGTTTGTAATTGTAAGGATCAATATTTTAGCTCGCCAAGCCAGTGTTCGTTTTGATTCCAACAAAAATAATAACAGGATAATTACAAACTGAAACAAATTATTTATTTATAACGGTATTTACAGGAGAAAAATATATCGGCGTACAGATAAATCGCGGAAGTCGGTTTCACACAACGATTGTCGGCGTCTATCGCGATACGTTGAGCCGCGGAATCGAAAATCGGCATCAATCTGGTAACGTTGCATTAACGAAATCGGCTTCAACTCGCAGCGATGAGCCGTGAAATCAATTGTAATACTGCCTAAAACTTTGCGATATTCTGGTGAACTACGAGTAAAACTTGTGTTCTAATTATACGAAGAGTAAAACTCTAAGTATATCTACAAACGGTAATAAAACGGAAAATTTACTTTAAACTGTGGCAATACAATATTTCTTTACTATATATTTGTTACGTTATTTTGCCTCTTGATACGTTACTTTACAATATTTCTTTGCTATACATTTCGTTACTTTACATCGCGATACATTACTTTACAATTCGTTACTATACACTATTTACACATAAAACTGATATAATGTTCGACGGGTAAAACCCGACGAACGGGAATAAAATTCTCTACAAAGATTTTCGGAGTAAAACTCCTAGTCAAGTGGGTAAGACCCACCCGGACTCCGTGTAGCACGAGAGTGACGGTCCTCAGCGAGAGCGCAGCTTATATAGCCGATCGGTGGGCTGGGCGCACGCGAATGAGCTTTGGCGATGCGGCCCGCGCGGCGAAATCGGGTACTACGTCTTTGTGCTCCGCGGTCGGTAACATGTTTATCGACGCGCGATAATATTTAGTACAAATATTTACCGGCCGATTTCTAACTATCATTACAACAAGAATATATGGTATTTTTAGACCATTTTTATGAAAATAATAAAAACTTTATAACACTTTAGGTAATATAAAATATTCATATTGTATCCTTAAGTGATAACTTTGCATCAAAAAATTAAGGAAAGGGAACAGTTAATTTAGTAGAAAGAAGGCATGTTTTTATTGATTTTTTAGAGGCTCTGATTGGAGCCAATGTATTTAAACCATATTGCGATATTAGTACATCATTTGAAGAATATTTGGTTAAAATTTCAAAGTAATACTTAAAGAAGGACCGGATTGGCAAGCGATTTTCGAAGACGCCTCCAAAATAAAACTGTTTTGCGGTCATAAGTCGAAGCTGTATCAACTAAAATCAAAAACTAAAAATTTTTTTATTAGCTGATAAGTGTCCTGAGGTAACGCTGTCGAGTTTTTTTTTCTTATTTTTGGTACCACTTTGAAGTACAAAAATCGATTTTGCTATAAAATGTCAACACATTTGTTATTCTAAAATGAAGAATAATTTTAAAAAAACTCGACAGCGTTACCTCAAGACACTCATCAGCTAACAAAAAAATTTTGGATTTTTAATTTTAGATGATCCAGCTTCGACTTATGATGAACACGGCAAAACAATTTTATTTTGGAGGCGTCTTCGAAAATCGCGTGCCAATCCGTTCCTTCTTCAGATATTACTTTGAAATTTTAACCAAATATTCTTCAAAAAATGTACTATTATTGCAAAGTTTTTTAAATTCATTGAATCTAACTAGAGTCTATAAAAAAAAATCATAAAAACATGCCTTGTTTTCCACCGAACTAACTATATCATCCCTTAAATATGACGGCTGTTGTATTCTGTAATAGCTTTGAGCAAATGTTGACTATAGTCTGGGAGGGGATGAAAAACCTTACATTTCAGACAAATTTTTTTAACATCAGCATGTACCGACACCATTGCTTGTTCGGAGTAAAAGTCAAGTTATACTTTTCACAAAACTACAATTTATTTATTTAATTAGAATGTACTTTCTTGTGATGCGTTCTTCTTTTTCCCACAAGAGAGACAATGTCTAGAGTGCAAGAAGAGGGTGCCCAATGAAATGAAGAAGCAGTTAGATGACGCTGAAGTTACCAACAACGAATTTTTCGTTTTCAGATTAGTTTAAAGGACAAGAACCAATATTTTTTAATTTAAACTTCTTTATTTTGGTCCCAAATACATCCTTAAACACTAAAAATCCCCAACCAAGGCGGGGAGATATTCAATCTTAGGAAAAAAAAATTCTTTTCGTCGATTCAATTTTGGTTACTTCAGTGTCATCAGTTAGTTACAGTCATATTGGTCCTGAAAACACCACAACAGGAGTGGACATGAGTTAGCAGGGACAAGAATTGTGTATTTCCAATGGAAACCACGCGGAGGTTCTGCTTTCATACCGAAGTCTCACTCTACCTCCAGAAGAAGAGGCGTAGTGCGTTTAAAAATCCATCTTTAAGACCCCTCTTACGACACGCGAAGGGTTACGAGAAGACAAATTCTTGAACCATCTTACACGGGTGTCTTATCTATCGTGAACATCATATGCAGGTGTAGTGCGTTCATGCATCATTGGTTTGTCCCAACTACACGTCTCCGACAAAGCGGTACTTAGCCAGAAGGATACGATCCTCCGCATCCCTTTTAGTCACCTTTTACGACATGCAGTTGGCTACAGGCGACCTATTCTGAAGCAGCGAATAGTAATGTCTGAATCATATTGAGCTAAAGTTTATAACGTCAAATCTGATGATTTTCGAAATTTGTATTACGAAAATTGTCAGACTTGACGTTGTAGACTTCAGCTTAATCAAATCATATTGGTTACTACGAAATTAATACCAAATTAGTTTACGCAAATCGCTTATATTAATTTGTTCAAGGATATACTAAAGAAGTAGAATGCATTACCTCTAGTATATATTTTATTTAAAACAGTAAGTATTGTCCAAATAATTGGATTATTCTTATTCCTTTCAAAGAAACAATAAAATTTATACAGAATAATATCAGTGGACAGTAAAAAAATCCGATAATAATTTTGAACAAAATATTAGATTCAATATAATAATGTACATATTAACTTGCTTATAGTCGCAAAATGAAGAACTTTGTTTTGAACGCTTTCAAATTTCATCAACTGGTAGTCATGGTGTCGAACCCATATTGCTAAATTGCAAAATCTAATTTAGATCTAGCTAAAGCAAAGTACTAATTTTTAGCACCTATTTCTTTAAAAAAATTTAGGTTTTCCCGTAGGAGTTCGTAATACCAAATTTAAGTACTTTATATTTATTCCACAATGAAGGGTTTAAGTAAAAAAAAATTTAGGTCCTGAATTAAAACATGATATACCTTGTTTTTTGAATAATTTGACTGGACATGACTATAAATTTTTAGATCATCTGCAAATAACGAACAAATTTAATATCCATTTGAATTTCCATGGGGAATTTTCAAAATAAATTTTAGTCATAATTCGTACAAAAAAAACGTTTCAAAACACCACAAGAATTCGTTAAAAAATTTCTGGCTATGTTCTTATCAGTATTTAATATAAAGATCAGTCTGACTAATTATTATGGTTTATTGTGTGACATTTGTTTTGTATAATATTTCGATCTGGTGTTTAAATTTTCCTTGATCGAACAACTTAGATTTTTTAAAACTAACATTTTAAAGTTCTTTGACTTTATGATTAATTTAATGTTTCTTTTATTTAAGATTGTTCAAGCAGCATTAGATGAGGCAAAAGAAGGTAGAACGTGTATTCTTATTGCCCATAGACTCTCAACAGTGGAAAATGCTGACAAAATATGCGTCATTAATAGTGGGGTAATTGCTGAATGTGGAACTCATAAAGAGCTCATTGAAAAAAAAGGTTTTTATTATGAATTGCTGTGTTTGCAAAATGCCCGAAGATAGGTATGTAAAGCTGTTAAAAAACCATTCCTTTAAAATTTTAATTAAATATTTTTCAAAATCTCTACAGGAATGTAGAGCTCGTTCAGAGCTCTTCTACAGTCCTTGTTACGTTCCGAGATAGGCGAATTAATTTATTTTTTATATAAATTATGGTAAAAAGAGCTGATTTAGTCAAGACTTGACTTTTTATTTTTATATAGGATCTTTGTTGTTTATTAACTCTATGGAAGTTGTGTTACTCAATTAATACAAAAGTGACATATTAAAACAATTTATTGTTAAATAAACAATTGTTTACAATTAAAATATAAAGATTTAACATTTAATACTTACATTAAATAATTATAGTGATGAATTATAATAAGGGCGAAAATTGCTTGTTTTGCTCTTATGATAAACGTCAATTGTTAATAATTATTATTTCGGTCTAAGTGTCACTATTTACCAGCTTGCACCAAAAGATCGAATACTTAATCGGAAAGACACGACAAGTAACAATTAATAATTGACGGATCGAATTAACAGTATAGAAACTGCAATGGGCACATGTCTCGACAAAAAATGAGATCGGCACGTAGTGTGACAAATATTAAAATCGGCACGTTCATTTATTGCTTCCTTGATTTACTCCTAATTTATTAACTGCATTCAAAAAAATGCAATAACTCCACACGAGTCAATTTACGAAAACAATAAAGCGTTTATACGTTTTAACTGTGCGCAGATAATTTCGATACGTTAAAATTTTTTATTCTTTTTATTTGTATACAGTTTAATTGTATACAAGCATTTTTAGAAAAAGTAAATGTTTAACTTTGCACAGTTTAATTTGACAAAGGTAAGTTGTACGCTATTCAACTCTTCACATTCATTTTTAAATTACTATTTAAAACTTCTATTGCTGCGGGTTAGCCAAAGCCCATATGATATATTTGATGTTTTGGATTTATGTCAATTTGAAGTTTAAAGATTTTTTGCATTATCTTTGTAAATTTCAATATTAATTCCAAATTCATTAATATGAATCCAGAACATTATTTGGCGGACATGAAACATTCTAAAAACATCCTTAAAACGTTTTTAGAACGAACATGGTTGTTTGCCCACTAAGTAGAGTTAAATTCAATACATGATAATTTTTTTAATGCAGTTAAACAAATATAAAAAAATTTGTCTTGTATTGAATTTAACTGTATACTACTAAACTGTATAGAGTAAAACATTAAAAATTATTTATTTCACATTTTTAGAGCCTTAAGTGAGTGTTCTCAATATGGAAAAATATTTTGAAAAATATTTATTTAAATTAAATTAAAGGTGTGGTTTTTGGTGTAAAGGGTGGTTTTACAAAAAAAACTTCAAAGAACATGATATCAAGTATGAGAAATTTATAAAAAAAAAAAATAATTAACAAGTTTTGATTTACAGCAAGCAGCTGTAAATCAAAAAAATTATTTCAGAACTGGTTCCGCAAAATGTCGTACTCAGCAGATCATTCAGATATGAAACAGATTTCGAACATGGTTACCTTATTGTTGATGAAGCTAAAACTGACCCTACACCCAGAAAAAAAGATTTCTTTGATTCAAAGAAATCAATTTCTTTAATAATTGATACAAATAAAATTTAATTGTTTTAAACAAATTATATATATTATATTGTGACGTTGTAAAAATTACAATTTCACAAATCACAAAGGTTTATTTATTTTTCAATGTATTAATTAACTTTCCTTCATTATTCCCGAAAAAAAACATTCAATATAAAAACTTACTAGACGAAATCACATTATAGATTTGAGAAATGGAAAAATCTTATTTAATAATAAGTTAATATTAAGAATTAATATCTGTAATCCCTTTTTTATTTATGTACTTTCGAGCCAACATTAAACTGAAAAATAAATTAAGAAAAAAATCAAGATTTAAGAAAACTTTGAGAAAATTAATTATATTGGATATTTTGTATTGGTCAACCTAACCTCAATTTTGATGTCAACAATAATTGGATATTTTTGAAGTTTATTATCAAAAATTTGGATATATTTTATTATTAAAATTTGGATTCTTGAATATTCACTTCCGATGTAACCATTAATTGGATAATTAAGATATGCCAAGTATTTTCACGTTTTATGCAAATATCACCCTGAGAATATCATTGACTTCGTTTCCTGGCGAAAAACACTCAAAATTATTATGATTTTTGGAAGGCTTCTTTATATTTTTAAATTACTATTTAAAACTTCTATTGCTGTGGGTTAGCCAAAGCCCATATGATATATTTGATGTTTTGGATTTATGTCAATTTGAAGTTTGAAGATTTATTGCATTATCTTTGTAAATTTCAATATTAATTCCGAATTCATTAATATTTATATTGGAGAAGAATTAGAAGGATTTACCATCTTGTTTTTTATTTCTATCATTTAATTTTAATTGATTTTGGAATCGAAATATAATAATTGGAGAAAATATATAATAAATCGTTTAAAATGGAAATATAATATAATTAATAAACAAGGAAATAAGGAAATTAATTTAATAAAAGCAAGGAATTGTTTGGAAATCTCTATTGGAAATTCGTTGCCAACAACCATTTTGATCATTTTAATTTTAGAATTCTCTGGTAATATTTTATTTCTCATTTATGAAAGATATCTAAAACTTATTAATTTGTTTAAATTTTCCAATAATAAATTTTCTTTAGATTTTAATTTAATTAAAATTTCAATTTAATCTAATTTAAAATGATTGCTTTTGAATTTCATTGATTTTTATTAAATTTGAAATTATTCAAATTCTTTAAAATGCCAATTATGTTAAATGAAACTTGGAGCTAATAAAAATTCGAACAAATAAAAATTCTGTGAAAGGAATTTTCGGTTATATAAAAATTCTGTAATATAAAAAATCGTTTTGATGAAAATTCTGCAAAATACTAATTCAAACAAATAATAATAATTCGGCTCAAAAATAATTATGATTATTATCGAGAGACTACCGACTATTGTTATAACAAAATGACAATATTAACTCTAATTTTAATTTAGACATTCTGAAAATTGTTTAATTAATTCAAATATAAATACTGTTTATCATTTTACTTTCAATATCTTTTTGTTACATTATTTATAAAAAATTTTAAAGTTGAAATGTATTAGTGGATTTATCGTTGTTGAATTCTTATTGAATGTGTATTGGCGAACATTTATTATATATCGGAAATACGGATTTTATCTATGGATATTACAATACATGCATCACTTTAAGAACGTGAACTTCGATGAATTTTTATAGTCTTTTAACAAATGAAAGTTAAAAAAAAAAGAAGGAATGATTATACACGTATTTATGTGTGAACACTCAAAGCGTAATTCTGACGAGTTATATAAACAACAATCAGCAACTGGGCTCTAGTCAGACATTCGCGCGCGCAGGATATCCTTTTCGTCTATTACATTAGTCTATTTACTTTAGTTTAGAATCTTCTCACATTTCTTTTTTGTTTAAATTGATATGTTCTTAATTAAAATGTTGATTCGCAATACAAAATGTATTTTCAATAAAAAATGTCGTGCTATTTTTAGTCCTGTAAAAAATTTAGTGAGTGTTTTAAATGTTATAATCACTTTTTTTACATCTACAATGTTATTGATTTGGTTTTTTTTTTAAGTTTATTTTGGTGATTGAATTTAGATTAACTAAAGCATTTTTAATATTGTATTTTTACCGGCAGTAAAATTAATTAATAACTTGAATTTTTAAACAGTTTTTTATTTAAATAATTTTGTTAAAATTAATAAATTTTCAAATAAATATTTTTCAGTAACTTGACATTTCTTTAGTTTTAATCTCTCGAAATATCATAAAAAAAAAACGTTGAAATAGTAAAAAGGAAGATAAATTTTTATTTCACCTCAACATATTTTATGTCAGTACATTAATTTTTTTTTTTATGTTTTCTCAAATTTATCAATTGTGATTTGAAATAAAGAATAAAATTTGTTATAGAGAGAAATTTAAGGAAAAAAAAAATTTTTTTCAAGTCTAAGCCAAACTATTAAATGTTTTAACATGACAAAAAAAAGCTTCCTTGAAATTACACGCTACAACTATTATATGTAAAATATTACCGACACAGTCATTTAAAATAGATATTATAAGAAAATGTAATTTTTTACTGTATTTTACAGTAAACAAATGTTTTAACATTATGATTCTCTAATTATTTTTCAATTATTAAATTAATATTGTCAATTATTTGAAATAATCAAATATTATTATATAATAATATTATAATTAATTGTATTTAATTAGAAATTAATTATAAATGAATTTAAAATTAATTTAAATTTAGCCAATCTGTGCATTAAACATTTTCAAACCGCAATATAGATATTTATCCAGTGAATAGGTGCTTAGATAACAATATTGTAATTCATATAGTCATATGTTAATCGTTAAAAAGCGTATAGATAAAATAATTTTATATAATTTAAAGAAATAGCCAGTTGATAATAAAACAAACATTTAATTGTCTATATTTAACAATATATATTTATTATGGCGTGAATTATATTTTATTTTAATTTTTAGTTAAAAATTTTTTAAATTGTTTATAATTTTAAAAGAAGGCAGGATATAATAAGAAATAAAATTTTTTACAGTTTTATTTTGCAACAAAATGGGAAATATTTCTAATGATTGTATCAACATTATGCGCATCTATAACTGGATTATTAGTATCATTAAATGTTGTAATGTTTGGAGAATTAGTGGGTTCAATGGTCAAAATAGAAATGATGCACGCTTTCGATTTATCTGTAGAAGATGACACAAACATTATGGATAGCGTTACAACATATGCCTTTGGAACATCAATGATTGGATGTCTTATGTTTATTTTGTCTTTTATCAATATTTATTTATTTAATTATACAGCGCAAAATCAAATTTTTCGAGTTAGAAAAAAATTCTTTAAATCCATTTTGCATCAAGACATTAGTTGGTATGACGTTATTAACAGCGGTGAACTTTCAACAAGGCTCACTGAGTAAGTTATTTTCATTTTTTTTTTTTTTTAATTTAAAACAAACGAAATTATTTTTCATTGTTTCTACTGTATAATAAACATATTTTTTATATGTAAAATTTTTTTTATTACTTTTTACCATTTAAAGTTAGATTAAACTGTTGTTTTTTAAAACTTATCATTTATATATTAATAGTGAATTTCGAAAAGGGCTCAACTCTGAAAAGTATAAGAGTCATTTTTACTAGCAATTTTGTTATGACAAAAATGACACTTACGCTTTTTCGAGTTGAGCCCTTTTCAAAATTTACGATTTTATATTTAACATTTTTATAAAAATTTTTTTAAAAAACTACAAGTTATAAAAATGATATAGTTTCTATTCTAAAAAATAAAAAAAAAATCACTTTTTTATTGTAGAAATTTTAAAGAAGTAAAAAGATATTAACCCCTTCGCAGTCTAGTAGAAAAATTGTTTGTGGGCCCAAAACGGTCAAAAAATATATATATATATATATACCATCCAAATTTGAGGTCAAATTTGGATTCAGCGACCCCAAAAACCCCCGAGTACCAAATTTTGAACGAATCTAATCAACTTTAAATTTTTCCGCCATATTGGGTCCGCCATTTTGAATTTTTTAAATCTGACCTTAGATTTGAATTCAGCGACCCCGAAAACCCCCGATTACCGAATTTTGAACGAATTGAATGAATTTTAAAATTTTCTACCATATTGAGTCGCCTCACAAGAGCAACTTGTACAATCTAAACAAATAAATTTTTTGCAAAAAATAAAATTTTCTTTTTTCTAAAATATGATTGATGGTTTAAAATGATTTTATTTACATTTTAATTAAATTAATTTCTCAAAAATTTTGCTAAAAAAAATGTATTATTGGATATTGAAAATTAAAGAGAAAGATTTATTGGGTTATTTTACGAGTTTTGGCCGCAAGCTTGCAGCAAGCTTCAAATGTCCCACCTAACCCAAGCTTGCATGGTAAAATTGCACAGTAAGATTATCGCAAGATTACTGAGTAAGCTTGCACGGTAAGCTTGTTGTAAGGTTGGTACAAGGTTGCCAAATAACCTTGCCAATCAGCACAGAAGGTTGCAGCAAACTTGCCATGCAACTTTATGGTAAGCTTGGTGCAAGCTTGTGGAATATAACAAACAAATTTTTGGGGGGAGGAAATTTATTTATGTACATACATTGAGCACCAGTTTCTGGCAGGTGAAAATAATTTACTGCACAACCGTAAGTGCTTGTAATTGCAAGTGCGCATAGTGCTCATTGTCAATGCCAACTTCTGTGCTGATTGAGGAAGGTTATTGGCAACCATGCACCAACCTTGCCACAAGCTTACCGTGCAAGCTTACTATGCAAGCTTGCGATAATCTTATCATGCAATCTTGCAGTAACCTTACACTGCAATCTTCCGGTAAGCTTACTGTGCAATCTTTCGGCAAGCTTACCATGCAAGCTTGAGTTAGGTGGGATGCTTGCCGCGCAAGCTTGGTAATATTGCGTGGCAAGCTTGCTGCAAGTTTACGAGTTGTGTGGGTATATCATCAGTTTATCCAATTTGATAACGATTTTGAAAAAAAATTTTCATGAAAAAGCAAATTATCTGGGTCCGAAGGACCCAGCTCAGGCATGCATGGGTTAAAAAATTTATTTTTTATGGTTTCCAAGATGTTCGCAATGATCAAAAAAGAGATCCATTTGAACAATGATCCAAAATCCGTAAATGTTATCCTTAGATAACTTGCACCTTTTATGGAAAGAACAAAGTGTCGATCAAAATTGAGAACTGAAGGATTGATTTGCAATTCTAATGTAACAATCAGAAAAATATTTAAACTTTGGCAAAAAGACGCTCGTCATAATTGACATGATGTTTAATATTGAATCCTTTATTAGGGGTGGGAATATGTATCATCCATTGCCTATTGAATATAGGTCGAGATTGCATCATTCGATATTGTATCAAGTGTCGGATGTCATAGGTCAAGACGGTAGCAACTCCTGAATAGGTCGTGCAATGCTGCGTACTTACATGACTTACAGAGAAATGCATTTTTTTGTCACATAATGCAATCCTTTGTTTCATTATATATCTATTTTATGCAATCCTACAATCTAAATTATTTTAAAAATCAACAATTAAGACTGATCACTCGTATAATATTACTATTCAAAATTAAATTTTTTTTACTTTAGATGGGGATGTAACAAAAAAAATAAACAATTAAATTTTACATGTTCGTATATAGTAATACTTAAAAAATGATTTGTAGTGATATTTTTTATTGTTACATAAATAAAATTGATAATAATAGATTTTATTATTTGATAATATATATATATTATTATATAAATAACATTTAATTGAAACGTTACAGAGACATAATGAAATTCGAAGATGGAATTGGCGAAAAATGGGTAATGTTAATTCACAATTCATTCGCAGTTCTTGGTTGTTTAGCAGTCGCTCTTCATTCTGGTTGGAAACTCGCACTCATTTGTATTAGTCCATTTCCTGTTATGATTTTAATCATGTTTAAAACAGCAAAGGTAATCAAAACTGTGAAATTCTTTATACTGAATTAAACTCAATTTTAAATTTTCAAGGTATATTCAATTTATACATTGTCATTTTTTTTTTTTTTTTTATATAAAATATGACGTTCTATATGACATAATTTTAAAAGTTACTTTTTTAATTACCATTATATTACTATTTATATATTTTTTTTAAATTGTACACAAAAATTAATTATAATAATAATATAATATATAATAATATAATTATATAATTATTTCTTTATAAATAAATGATTAAAAGTTTTATATTAAAACAGAAAGCATCTAATTCAGCAAAAGAGGAAATGGAAGTTTACGGAGAGGCTGGATCAATAGCAGAAGAGGCATTGAGTGCAATTCGTACTGTTTACGCTTTTGGTGGTGAAACAAATGAATTTAACATGTACACGAAAAATTTGTCCCAAATTTACAAACACAATGCTAAAAGAGTTATTTTGATTGCCATTGGTACAAGTTTATTTTGGTTTTTTATTTACGCCACTTATTCTGTCTCATTTTGGAATGGAGTCAATTTTATTCTTGATGACAGATTTCTCCCAGAGGAGGAACAACAATACACACCAAAATCAATGGCAACGGTAATTTAAAAATAGAAAAAAAAAATGCGAAAAAATACTTCATATTATTTTTTGTTGTTGTTTTTTTAGGTTTTTTTCAGTATAATGATGGCAACAGTTAATTTGCACATTGCTGCTAATTTTATTGATGCATTCGCTATATCAAGAGCTGCTATTGGAAAAATACTTTCTGTTATTAAACGAGAATCATCCATTGATAGTTCATCTGTAGACGGTTTGAAATTATCGGATTTAGAGGGGAAAATACAATTTAAAAATGTTGCATTCAAATATCCGTCGAGAAAATTAGTTCAGGTAAATAATTTAATAGAATTTTAAAAAATCTGTTAATTTCACAAAAATTAATATATTTTTACTTTCAGGTATTACAAAATCTGAACTTTACTGTAAATAAAGGAGAAACAGTGGCAATAGTTGGAAATTCTGGATGTGGAAAATCAACATGCATTCAACTTATTCAAAGATTCTACGATGTAAAAGAGGGAAAGGTAAAGATAGAAAAAAAAATATTTATCTAATGAAATAAACAAATATGTAACTTGTAACTATTGGTGAAAATAATGAAAAAATTTAACTAAGACACTGAGAAAAATATCCTATTGAATCAACAGTATTCCTGCAAAGGTATATAAAAATTATTGATTCAAAAGCATATGCTATAAAATTTGTAAAATATTTTATATTGATTCTATATCATATGCTTTTGAATCAATAATTTTTATACCTTTGGCAAAAATGCTATTGATTCAATAGCATATTTTACTCAGTATACTTATTTTCAATATACGCCCATTTAAAAATTATGAGGTAATGTTGCTTTTTAAGTATTTCTATGATTTTTAGATTTTAATAGACGGACATGATATTCAAAAATTTAACGTTAAATGGCTTAGGAGTCAATTGGGTATTGTTGGACAAGAACCAACACTATTCGATACTACTATAGCTGAGAACATTCGATTTGGTTTAATGGACGCAAATATGGAGCAAATTTTATCTGCCGCTAAAGAAGCAAATGCTCATGATTTCATAATGAAATTGCCAAATGTAACTATAATATAGTATTTGACATATTATGTCTATATACAAATTGATATTCAAAATCGCTGTTAAAAAAAGATTCGATACATGATTTTTAAAATTAAAAATATCAAACACTTTTAAAATTTATTAACAAAATTAATTTAATCATTAAATCAACAAATTTTTTGGTTTCACAAAAAATTCTTAAAGGGAAAGATATATTTAGAACGACGTTTTTTCATCGAAACTTTTAGGTCATTTTTTACACAGATTAAATTTACAAATTTTTGTAAATAATTTTATTTAAAAAAATTTGTATTTTAAATACTTATACATAAAATACTTCTACATTTAAAAAATATCGATTTTTGAACCATCTAAATCTATCTTTTAAACCTTTATATATTTGAATGTAATATAATAATATAACAAATTTCTATCACTTTTAAAGCAATACGACACAATCGTAGGTGAAAAAGGCGCAAAAATTTCTGGAGGACAAAAGCAGAGAATTGCAATAGCCAGAGCTTTGATTCGAGATCCAAAAATTTTACTTCTTGATGAAGCAACTTCTGCACTTGACAATCGAAGTGAATCTAAAGTTCAAGCTGCTTTAAACAAAGTAAGTTTATGAGTGTAAAAAAGGGTAAAATTTATTTAACAAATTTTTCATTTTTGTTTAAAATTTAAATAAACAAAAAAAAACTAAAATTGAAAAAAATTACGACTCAGGGTCCAGCTAATTCGAGCATTAAAACATTATAAACGGTTTTTTTTTGCACGGGACCCACAATTATTGATAATAGAAAATTTATTTATTTTAGGCAAAGAAAGGAAGGACAACAATAATTGTTGCCCATAGATTATCAACAATACGAAATGCTGACAAAATAATTCTCTTATCGAATGGGCAAGTTGTAGAAGAAGGAGATCATGATAGTCTAATGAAACTTAAAGGACATTACTATTCTCTTGTCACAGCACAGGTATAATAATAGAAAAAAAAACTAAATTTAAAATAAAAGTATAGGTAACTTAATTTTTAATTAAAAAATAATATGTATAAAGATAATTGTATAATTTAAAATTTTGTAAAATAGGTTTCAGTTACTCATGAATCAAACAGAGGGGAATCAAAAAAAATGTATGATGCACATCACGAGAAGGAACGAAACGATGATGAATCGAGTTCCAGTTCTGAGGTATGTGATATATATTCCAATTTTAATATTCTCTTTAGATCCCATAAATTTTCGATAATAATTTTTAAAAAATATCGATATCAGTATATTTATATAAAAAATTATTGGACGCATGATTATGTTCTAAAAATTATTAGTTAGAATTTTCATTTTATGGAATTTCATTTGTCATAATTATTTTTGAGCCGAATTTTACCATTGGTCGGTAAGGTAGATTTCTGTGTCGGTATTTTTTAAACGAAAAATCTTTTAACAGAATTTCTAATTGATAGAATTTTCATTTGTCCGAAATTGCAAATGGTCGAACAAACAATCTACAGAAAGATTTCGGCGCGATTTTTAAAATCAACCAATCACAATTTTATGAATAATTTTTGATTGGTTAATTTTAAAAATCGCATTGAAATCTTTCTGTTGATTGTTTGTTCGACCATTTGCAATTTCGGACAAAAAAAATTCTATCAATTAGAAATTCTGTTAAATGATTTTTCGGTTAAGTAAAAATTCTGTAGTATGAAAAATCGGTTATATGGAAATTATATAAAATAATAATTCAAACAAATCAAAATTCATCTGAAAGAAAATTTTATGCAATGAAATTCTATCCAATAAAAATTCTTTAAAATGTCTATTATTGTAAATAAAAATTCGAGCAAATAAAAATTCTAACTAATAAAAATTCGGCTCAAAAATAATTATGACAAATGAAATTCCATAAAATGAAAATTCTAACTAATGTATTTTAGAACATAATCATGCGTCCCAAATTTATTTGTCCTTCTACATTAAAATGTTTAAGGGGGGAAACTACATTAGGAGGATCATTTTTATAGATTTAAAAAATTTTTTTTGTGAGAAGAAATTAATTAATTAAAAAAAAAAACTTAAAAATTAATTAATATGTTATATTTCCCTATTGGAAAAATTATAATTTTAAATATATAATCGAAATTATATTGTAAATCAACAAACTTCAATAACTTTCTAGTATATTAAAACTTGTCTTTTTCTTTAACAACTAATTAAGATTCTAGCTTTAAAATAACTTTACATGATGTATTTACTGCAATCTTAAAAATTTATGAGCCATATTTTTCACACTGACAGTTAAGTGTTTAATAAATCATTCTTCTCCTTCTCTACTGTATTCCACATCTTTAAGAACATTTGACATATTATTACGTTACCTATAAAGAAAAATTAAAATAACTAATTTAACATTAATTACTTAAATTAATTGACTTAGTTAAATTAACTTGTGAAATCAAATTAATTATTTTTAATATAAATATAAGTTAAATTATAATTCTAAGAAATAGCAAGTGTCAAATGTTCTTAATTCTAATCAATATAAATTTTAATTATTACTTTTGGTAATAATACAACCCGATATATTTTTATCAGAGTAATTAAAAAATTATTTTTTTATTTATATTTTAACTATATATATATATATATATATATATATATATATATATATATATATATTGTTAGTAATAAATTAAAAATAACAACATTTGACAAAACTAATCAGAAAATATCGATATTTTTATTTAATTACAAAGAGAAAATAAATTAACTGATTTTCGATCAACAGCGTAGCCAGAATCTTCTAAAAGAAATGATGGTACCATTTTTTGAAAAAATTTTGGATTTTCTTTTTGGAAAAGTTAATACCAATTTTATAATAATAATTATTACTATAAAATTGGTATAATATTAATAATAATGATAATAATTTATGAACAATTAATTGTTGTACAAAAAAAAAAATTGGTACCTTCTGAGTAATAGTAATTTTTTCTTCTTATACTCTTACAATAATTCTAAATATTTTTTATATATTTACAAATAATAAAAAAAATAGTATGTACATGTAGATTTGAATATTAAAACAGTAGAATGAATCTGGCAACGTTTAACGTTTCCGAACTTACGATCTGTGCATGAATTTGCACAAAAGCATGAAATTCTAGATTGCATACGAGGATTTTGAGACAATACCAGCCAAAGAGATTTCCATGTTTAAAATTTTAAAACTCAGCAAACAAGAATGGCCATATCTAATGGCTGCTTGTATTGCTACTATAATTGTCGGCTGTTCTCCACCAATATTTTCCATTCTATTCGGAGATGTCATAGGAGTAAGTAATTCTTATAATCATTATATTCACTTGAATACTTGAATTACACGTGTGTATTTATAATTAACACTTTTTTTTGGAATATTATTCTTTTAGGAACTTTCTATTCCCGATACTGAAGAAATTCTAAGACGTACAAGTGTCTATTGTAAATACTTTTTAATAGCTGGAACCATTATTGCAATATCAAATTTCATTCAGGTTGGTTTATATTTTTAATTACACAGGCATAAAAAAAAATAATTTTTTTTGGCTGAAACACTACACTAGTACACCGTCAAACAAAATTCAACTTTTTTTTTGACCCACAAAAAAATCCAACATTTTCAGAAACTAGGGCCCCAAAAAAAAATACCCGTGTCTGGCCGTTTTGCTAGATCAAGTCGTTTGTGGTTTTTAGGGGTGAAAACAACCTCTAAATAAAAAGTGACAACCCTCATAACAAAAGGATATCCCTAGGATATCCATAGGATATTCATATCAATGGTGGATATCCTAGAATGGTCCCCAGGATATCTTGGGATATCCCTAGGATATCCAAACCGCCGGTCTGTGGGACATCAACAGGACATCCATAGGATATCCACAGGATATCCCTAAGACAGCCACAAAATATCTATTGGATATTATATCGCAGGATATCCATGGGATATCATCAGGATGTCCGTGGGATATTCTTAGGATATTCACGGGATATTTAATATCTCAAAAAATATATTTTTAAAGGTTAAAATTGTTAAGCTAAAATAATAAAAACAAAAATCTTATGAGCTCCTAATTTATTTTAAATGAAGATTTGAAACGCATTTTTCAAAGTTTTTAAATAAACTCATGCACTTAATATATAATTAATATTAATAGTTATTCGTTATTTGCGGGGAAGAATTTATATTGTTTAAAGCCAATTTATTTTCTGACAATATTAAGCATATGAATAAAGGAATGAATCACGAATGAGAAAAAAATTAGTTAATAATTTTTCAAATTAAACAACTTTCTCGAAAAACAAGTTGCATTTTTTTTTATTTATATAAAATTTAATTCACAGAATATTCTCACTCGTAGTCTCATAATGACTTTAAAAACAGTATCCTGAGAATATCTTCTTGACATCCAGAAGATATACTGAGAATATCCTGAAAATATCTGTGGGATATCTTGACGATATCTATGGGATATCCTGATGATATCTGTGGGATATCTGGAGGACATTTATGAATGTCTATAGAGATATACAGAAGATATCCTATGGATATCCTCAGATATCCATGGGATATCCAAAGGATATCCAAACCGCCTATTTTTGGATATCCTTAAGAGATCCTTTTGATATCCATAAGACATCCCTAGGATATCTGCGGGATATTATCAATATATCCCAAGATATCTTGTGTTATTAGGAAAGATATCTTTTAAAAATTATTAATATTTTATAAAACTTGGTATCTGGGGGTTTTCGGGGTCGCTGATTATTAATCTAATGTCAGATTTTCAACATTCAAAATGGCGGATCCAATATAGCGATCAAATTTTTAAAAAGTTATTAATTTTTTATTTTATATCCGCCATTTTGAATTTTGAAAATTTAACATCAGATTCGTCATCAGCGACCCAAAAAAACCCCTAGATACCAAGTTTTAAAAAAAATTTATAACTTTTTAAAATTTTGACCGCCATATTGAATCCGCCATTTTGAATTTTGAAAATCTGACATCAGATTAATAATCAGCGACCCCGAAAACCCCCAGATACCAAGTATTTTCTGTATGTCAAAAATTGTGTCAGACGGTGGTATATTCCTATGTATTTTTTCTCACTGAATCCGAAGTCAGTTCTGACCAGTTCCTGTACAGGAAAATGCATACGAATTTGGAACAAGTTCATGTGTAAGATCTTGTACAAGATCTGGTGCAAGATCTTGTACAAGAAAGATACTTGTACAAGAAAATGTACATGATCTTGTACAATTTCATGTATAAGTACTTGTACATGAACACGTTCATGTTCTTGCACATGTATAGTTGTAAAATTTTTTTTTTTTAATAAAATTTGAGATTTTGATAATTTTTAACCACTAAGATTCGTAACTCATGCATGCTAAAAACTATTGCGCAGCTGTAAAGGTTAAAGTAAACTATTGCGCAGCCTTTGAAGTTTTTAATTTTTAGTAAAGAAAAACATGAATTAACATGTGCAAGAACATGGACGTGTTCATGTACAAGTACTTATACATGAAATTGTACAAGATCATGTACATTTTCTTGTACAAGTATCTTTCTTGTACAAGATCTTGCACCAGATCTTGTACAAGATCTTTCACATGAACTTGTTCCAAATTCGTATGCATTTTCCTGTACAGGAACTGGTCAGAACTTGTACAAGATCAGTTGCTGATCCTGTACAGGAAATTGTACAAGATCTTATACAGGGATTTTCAGTAGGGCACATCCAGATTACCTCAAAATTTTCAGATAAACTCAAAAAATGATTATTCTATTATAATGATTCGTTTCTCTTGTTTAGTTTAGTATCACAATAAATAATTTTTATGAAGGTTGAATGATAAAACAGTATAGTTCAACTCTTCAGATTCTAGCTGAATGCCTAAACAGTTGTCTTTTTCTTTTTTTTTTTTTTTGAGAAAGCAATCAAATAAATTTTAAATATATGAATATTTTAACAAAACAATTTTCTCATAACAAATTTACTGTTCTTTACTACTTGTGTAATAATGGACAATAGCTATTTATCGTTGCAAAAAAAATTCTTCAAATCTGTTTCATTGAAAATTATTTTTAAATTTAACAAACAATGAAAAACGCAACCTTGTCCTCTTATCCCTAAGTTAATCATTTTAGAAAGAACCAAAAGATATATGTTGACGTTACCAATCTTTTTGCAATTTATTAATTTTCGTTTAAATAAAATTGCTAATTGGAATTCCGTGCTGAGGTTTGTTATAGGTTGCATCAAATAATAACTTTATGTTTAAATAACAAAATGTAACTTTAATATATACAATCAAAAACTGGAAGGTACTAATACATAGATTAAGAGCTTAAATTAGAATTGTGTGCTCTAGTATACGGTTGAAATTTAAATCTGGTCAAGATTTTGAGTTTTACATTGACAAAGGTGCGAATAACGATTTGTAAAATGTGGAAGGGGAATGTAACAGTGGAAGGGATGAAGGTGAAAAAGAAGAAATATCATTATAAGTGCAACATAGTTAAGGATAAATTACAATAGATAGGGCCATTCGAAGAAGTATCGTAATTTAGAGTTGACACCCATCGATGCGAGGGTAGTAGTAAAATATATTAAGATAAGTACACGGAAAAAACAAACTAACTATTTTAGCACCAAACTGCTTTATCCTTTATTAGTATGCAATTTCGTTTACCTATTAAAGTATGAAATAATGCTTTTTTAGTTTAAAGTAAGTCCATACTAAATAAGTATAATGGTTATACTCTTTTAGTAATAGTGACGTACTTTAAAAGCATAAAGTTGATGCCCGCGAAGTACGACATATAGTCTACCTAAAATAGCAAGAGCTTCTTCCTTTTTGGTGTATAAATTCTTGCAACCTGCGTTTTGGCCTATATCGATATATCAATGGTTGGAAGGAGAAGGAGGCGTGGCCAAAACGCAGGTTGCAAGAATTTATACACCAAAAAGGAAGAAGCTCTTGCTATTTTAGGTAGACTATATGTCGTACTTCGCGGGCATCAACTTTATGCTTTTAAAGTACGTCACTATTACTAAAAGAGTATAACCATTATACTTATTTAGTATGGACTTACTTTAAACTAAAAAAGCATTATTTCATACTTTAATAGGTAAACGAAATTGCATACTAATAAAGGATAAAGCAGTTTGGTGCTAAAATAGTTAGTTTGTTTTTTCCGTGTAGACAAAACACGGATTAAATAATAAAATATTGAAAAACTCAAATTTGTCGAGAGCTAGACTATAAATTTGATGGCGTTTCGAAGGTTCGTTAAATCTGTTTTTCTTAAATTGAAAACTAAATAGTACAATAAACATAATCCTAAAAATTCTAAATGGAACACGTTCAAAAATGACAAATTATATTCATAAATAATAACTTATGTTTCAACAATATACACAATCCAAAAGTTATAAATTTATAATAATTCAAATACAATAATAATTATAGTAACAATGGAAGGGTAAATTATCATTATATTTTGAAATAAACCTAAATTTCAGATTTATTGTTTTGGAATAGCCGCTGAGTGTTTAACAATGAGATTACGTGGTTTGATATTCAAGACCATGCTACGCCAAGAGATAGGATGGTTTGATAATCCATCAAATGGCACAGGAGCTCTCTGTTCAAACTTGTCTGCCGATGCAGCAGCTGTTCAAGGAGCAACAGGCCAGAGAATTGGAACCATTATACAATCGAGTAGTACCATTATACTATCAGTGGCCCTCTCAATTTACTATGAATGGAAATTGGGATTACTTGGCACTCTCTTTGTTCCATTAATTTTGGTCACAACCTATTTACAAAATTTAATGTACAGAAAAGAATCCTGTAATTATCATGAGGATTTGGAATTATCAACAAAAGTAAAATTATCCCTTTAAATAATAATAAGAACAATTTTTCTGTAAAAGATTGTAGCTCATTAAAAATTGGAAAATATTTTTTTTTTAGATGGCAGTTGAAGCAGTGAGTAATTATCGGACAGTTGTTGGTTTGGGATTAGAAGAAACATGTCACAGTAATTATATTAAAGCATTGCAACCATCGCTTGAAATTGCTAAAAGCAATAGTAAATATAAAGGTCTTATTTTTGCTATGGCACGATCAGTTGTATATTTCGCTTATGCTGCATGCATGTATTATGGGGGAATTTTAATAAAGGAGGAACATTTATATTACTCAAGTGTATTCAAGTGAGTGTCGGTTTCTTTTTTTTATTACGGTAGCAATTGCTTTAAAATTATAGTCTCAAAGAAGCTGCAATTAGTTGTAGATTTTTTTTTTATTATCATATTTAAAATCTAACCATTAAACATTTGAATGGAATTTTTAAATTAAGAAATTTGATTTTCTAGAGTGGCCCAAGCACTTATTATTGGCACTGTTATGGTAGCGAATGTTTCAGCATTTGCTCCCAACGTTCAACGAGGACTAAAAGCTGCAACTAATATAATTGCTCTTTTTGAACGAGTGCCAAGAATTCAAGATCCAATGTACATCTCCAAAACTGAAGAGGTAAACAATGAATTTTATCGATTTTTGTATAAAGTTATTGATGAATTTTAGAATAAGAGTATTTTCCATTTGCCGAGAAAAATAACACTGCAATAGTCAAAGATCTATTGTAAAATAAAAATTATAATTTTTGAAATTTTCAATTCGGATTGACTTTTGAAAGAAAAAAAAAGTCATTTTAGTCGATTTACATTACAAGAAAAATCTAAAAGTCAATTTTTTTATTTTAAATAAATTTAATTAGTTTATAATATTACGTCTCAGAAGGAGATGCATAAAACCTATTTCTTTTAAACCTGTTTTATTTACGAAGCAGAAGGCTTCGAAATCAGGGAACAAGTAGGAAACAGAATGCTTTTGTAGATGAACCAAAGGTTTGTTTTTTTTTTACTTTTACAAATTTATCTCTCGTAGAAACTGGCAGGTTGATTTTGTTCAAATATCTGATCCCACTGAAAGCAGAATCAAAAACTTAGAACTCAGAATTAAAATTTCCAGAGTAAAATATAAATCAGAATGACTTTACTTTAATTTTTGTTCCTCCTGAAATCAATCGGTTGAGGAACGGACTAAGATTGGCTCAAGTCGACAAACCCCAATATTGGCGGTAGAATGGCTTGAGATTGTTGAAGAATCAACGTTGGCGAAGGAATGGCTCGAGGTTATTGAAAGTTCCAAGAAAAGCTACCTCAAAGCTGACAAGATCCAAATAGAGCAAAACTGGCTCATAGCTGGCGGAGATTCCAATAGAGTAAACTGGCTCGAGGCTGGCGGAGATCCTAATAGAGTAAAACTGGCTCAAGCCTGGTGAAGACCAAAAAGAGCAAAACTGGCCCAAAGCTGGCGAAGATCCAAAACAGTAATACTGCGATTACAATACAATAATAATTGTTTTTTTATTTTATTAACTTTTTAATTTTTTTTAAATTTTTGATATTATTAACAATTTTTTATTAGCAATATTAAATACAATTAATTAATTCCTTAATAAGAATGTTTCACAGAAATATTTTTAAAAAAAAATTTCTTTTTGAACCACCCGTATTAAACAGAGAAAAATTTTCAAGCTTTCAATTAAGTTTTAAAACAAATTTTAAAAAATAATTTAAAGTTACATTACAGAAAAAGAAAATTTTTCAAGTCTGATTTATGCACATTATTCGAATTCAGAATTGCGGAAAATATTTTAAATAATTAAATTTTCAAAGAATATGATTAAAATATTATTGAAAAAAAATTTGTGAAATAATTGAATTTCAGAAGATTTTTAATTAAAATTTTAATTTTTTTTTTTTACAAATTTCAGACAATAATTGAATTTTAGAGAATTTTCAACTGAAATATATTTTAAATAATTAAATTTTGATGGAGTTACAGTTAAGTTTTTTCGAAATAATTGCATTTTTTGAGATTCCAAAAATTATAATTTTGTTGTAAATATAAACATTAATTAAAAAACGATTTAAATAATTGGATTTTTGAAAAATTGGATATTAAAACTATTGAAATACTTAATTAAACAAAGAATTATATAGATAAAAATTAGGGGAAAAAAATTTCAATTGAATTAACATTCAATTATTAATTAAATTTGGAAGAGTTGGAGTTCAAATTTTTTTTTAGATGTAATTAAATTTCAAGAAATTTTTATTTAAAATTTTCGTAAATTTGAATTTCTGTAGATATTTTATAAGCTTTAAACAATAATTAAACTTTGGAGAATTTTGAATTGAAAAATATTTTAAATATTTTGGAGAGAGTAAAGAGGGTGCGTGATTTGGGTGTTGTATTTAATAGTAATTTAGTATTTAATGATCATATTACTGAGACTGTTTCAAAAGCCTCTAAAGTCTTGGGTTTTATAATGAGATGTGCCTCTGCTTTTCATAACATGTTAACCATCAGGACTTTGTACCTGACACTTGTCAGAACAATTATAGAATATGCATGTATCATTTGGGCACCTTTCTACGTCTTCCATATAATCAGAATTGAACGTGTTCAGAACAAATTTCTTAGATTTGCTGCGAGATTACTCAATATCCCCTTTGACTTGCATACACATGATTACAGGGAACTTAGATCGGTATTAAATATACCATTGTTAAATTCACGGTTTTACTTTGCAGATATGGCTTTTTTGTATAGACTTATGAATGGAGCTATCTTTTGTCCTTCACTTCTCTCTATGATAAATTTATCAGTGCCCAGAATGTTTTCTAGGCGATATACATTGTTTTCGGTGGCATTTCACAGAACTAATTATGGTAATAACTCATTGATTGCTAGACTCAGTAGAGAGGCAAACATGATTTCAAACGACATTAATTTCTTTGATAATAATGTCACACGATTCACATCATCATTACGTAATATCTTGCTAAACGAAAACTAAAATATCTTTTCTTAAGTGGCTACCTAGATTTAGTAAAATATAGTATTGTAATTTTTAGATTTAGGAGTACTTTTGTACGAAAGGGCATGTCCCGTTATGTTCCAAATAAATAAATAAATAAATAAATAATTGAATTTTCCAAAATCTTGATGAAAATTATTAAAATTAAATTATTCAACAATTTCAATTGATGATCAAGTCAATTGCTAACGTTCAGCAAATATTTCTATAGATTTAAAAAAATAATACAACCGCATTTCTTGTGGGACAAATTTGATTAATTATTAAGTAATTTTTATTTCAAATAATTTTATATTAATTTGAAAAAATTATTTTCTAAATCATAAAAAAAATTCTATCATTTTAATAAAAAATGCAGCATTAGATTTAGCCTCAAAATAATCACACCTTTAATGAAATATAATTTTGTCTCAATTTAAAAAAAGAAAATTAAAGGACAATTTGTTAATTGATTTCAGACACCTAACGATTCAGTAAAATATAGAAAAGTACTTTTTGAATATCCAACGAGACCAGGAATTCGAATTCTCGATGACCTAGATCTAGAAGTGCCATCCGGGAAAACAGTAGCAATTATCGGTGGCAGTGGTTGCGGGAAGAGTACAATTGTACAATTATTGGAAAGATTTTACGATCCTATTTTAGGATCTGTGGCAAGTATTGTACAAATCCGTTAATTAAGTAATTTACGCCATATAAGAACAAATTTAATTATCAAAAAAACTTCATATTATTAACAAGAGTATTAATTAACATTTTAAATGTCACTAATTATTGTTATAAAAATATAATTTCACTAAGAATTTTTTAATAATTGAATGTTTTCTAACTTTTTTTAATATATTTTTTATTTCTTTTTTTCTCTTTATACTTTTAAAGTTTATATTTATAAAAATTATATATATATTTTAATATTTTTCAATACATTTTATTTATTTTAATTATATGTTTATATCCATATAGTAGCAATGACTCATATTGTGTTTTTAAAAAACGTTTCTTTTTAAGTCAACAATGACGACATAAATATCCGCACATCAAATTAAATATATTTCTCTTATCAAAATATTAATTAATTTTTTATTGACAGTATTGAAAAAAATTTCAATTTCATCCTTTTTTGAAGCGACTGTAACTGAAAAATTAATTTCTGGAAAGAAATTAAAAATTATTTAAAGTTTATAATTTAATTGTTTTTTTTTTTTAATTTTAATTTAAGGAGCTGGATAAGACAAACATTGACTTAATTCCACAATCCTCATTAAGAATGAATTTGGGATTAGTTTCACAAGAACCAACTTTATTTGCAAGATCAATTGCTAAAAATATTGCTTATGGTGATAATACAAGAGAAGTGTCAATGTGGGAAATAATCAGTGCAGCAAAAAATGCAAATGCTCACGATTTCATTAAAGCTTTACCACTTGGATATGAGACAAAATTAGGTGATAGAGGCACTCAACTTTCTGGAGGTCAAAAGCAAAGAATTGCCATTGCCAGAGCGCTTATTAGAGATCCAAAAGTTTTGCTATTAGATGAAGCAACATCTGCTTTAGACTCGGAAAGCGAGAAAGTAATTATCATTTTTTTTTCTTTTTCTCAATTTTTTTCTTAAGTTCCATCATCTAAATCATATTTTCATTTATTATAATGTAATATAATAACTTCCTCAAGGTTTCTCCCATTTATCTAGAAAAGTAAGAACCAAAAGTATATTTAATAATTTTAATTTTCTTCAATTATAGAAATAATTAGACGAAGCATACAAAGTGCTTTGCATTTGATTCTCTTGACTATAGATTTTATAATTTTTAATTATTAGTATCATTTAGCATTTCTCATTCAGTAATTATAATTCTAAAATCTACATCACTTAAATTATAACAATATTAGAAATCTCAAATTTCATGATATGGAACATATACAGACTTGGGGGGGTGAGCGTATTATTATCCCAAAAAAATTATTAGTTAAAATTTTCATTTTAAAGAATCTTATTGGATATAATTATTTTTTAGACGAATTTTTATTTTTCGAATTAACATTTGACAGAATTTCTTTTTTGAACAAATTTTTACTAAACATAATTCTTATGTATCGAATTTTTATTTATCCGAAATTGCAAATGGCCGAACAAACAATAGACAGAAAGATTTCCGCGCAATGTTTAAAATTCACTAATCAAAAGTTGTCAAGAAAATCGTGATTGGTGAATTTTAAAAATCACGCCGAAATTTGTTTGTCAATTGTTTGTTCATCCATTTGCAATTTCGGACAAATAAAAATTCGGCGTTTTGAGAATTCTATCAAATAAAAATTCTGTTAATTAAAAATTATTCAAAAAATAAATTTAAAAAAAATTTAAATAAATGTTAATTCCAAAAATGAAAATTCGTCTAAAAAATAATTATATCTAGCATTTTTGATTAAATCTTTGTGTGATTTTCTATTTCACTGCACATAGGAATTTTATTTCAATTTTAATCATTCATCCCAGACAGCACGTAAACTTGCAGCAACCTTGCAGCAAGCTTGCTACGCAATATTGACAAGCTTCAAATGTCCCACCTAACCCAAGCTTGCATGGTAAGCTTGCCGAAAGATTGTAGTGTAAGGTTACTGCAAGATTGCATGGTAAGCTTACCGAAAGATTGAAATGTAAGCTTATTGCAAAATTGCACAGTAAGATTATCGCAAGGTTGCATGGTAAGCTTACAGAAAGATTGCAATGTAAGATTATTGCAAGATAAGATTTTCGCAAGCTTGCATAGTACTGATGGCAAGGTTATTTGGCAACCTTGCACCAACCTTGCAACAAGCTTACCGTGCAAGCTTACTGAGCAATCTTGCGATAATCTTACTGTGCAATTTTGCAGTAACCTTACACTGCAATATTTCGGCAAGCTTACCATGGAAGCTTGGTTTAGGTGGGACATTTGAAGCTTGCGTCAAGCTTACGTGCTATTTGGTATTTCTTTTCGTGATACAGAAATAAAAACCAAAAACTCCTAAAATAATCCAATAAATCTTTCTCTTTAATTTTCAATATCCAATAATTAATAATCCAATATAATTAATTTTTAAGAAAAATTTTTGAAAAATTAATTTAATTAAAATGTAAATAAAATCATTTTAAACCATCAATCATATTTTGGAAAAAAGAAAATTTTATTTTTTGCAAAAAATTTATTTGTTTAGATTGTACAAGCTGCTCTTGATAAAACAAAAGAAGGAAGAACTTGCATTTTAATTGCTCATAGACTTTCGACAGTTGAAAATGCTGATAAAATTTGTGTTATGCAGTACGGTCAAGTTGTTGAGACAGGAACACATAATGAATTAATTGAAAAAAAGGGCATGTACTATGATTTGTTATGTATTGAAAAAGGTCGCAGATAATAATAATTTATTTTATTAAAAATTTTAATTTCCATTAAAAACTAATTGACATATAAATTAAGAAATTAAGATAAAAAAATTTTTAAAAAAAATCATCATACGTTTTGAAATTTTCAACTAAATTAAACTTTATAATTGTAAGACAATTTTCACATAATATGATATTTTATAATAAAATAAATTTTTGAAATTAAAAATAATAAAAGTTATTTTCTTAATAGAAAATTTAAACCTTTGATCCTTAAATCGTAATAAAGATCAATTTTATTTAATTAGAGAAATTAATTGGGAAATTAATTTAGGTTTTTTTTTATCTTATTAAACAATTGTTTCATTTTATTTATTTAAAATATATTATTATTATTATATTAATATTATTAAACCACTTTTCATACAAACTATTCGTATACATTATGTAAATATTTCATTATCACTATTATCACTCTTTGCATATATCAAGGAAAATAGGATCTAAAACAGAAACTATAGAATCCAAGTTTATTACAAACAATATTACAAGTAAAAGTTTATCTACTGGTAAACCATTAATTTTATCAGAAACGTCAATGACAAGTACACTCTATTCATTCGTGGCACTTCAGAATTATACGTTTATAAATTCAAATTACAAAAAAAAAAAAATTATTTTTTTTTCCAAATATCTAAATTTGCAAATGTAGAAAAATAACAGTTCTCCTCAAGTTCCTTTTTGTATCATAAAAAAAACATCAAAAATGAGATTAAAGTCACTAATTTTGAAGTTTCTTTTTATTCCTAAATACGTGTTAATTTCTTTTATTGGAAAGTCTGTAAATCCAGTTAAAGATATTGTAAGTAAAATTTATTCATTAATTTAATTCAGTGAATTATTTGTTAATTATTGTTAATTTATTTTATTAATTTAAAACAATGAATTTCTTTTTTATACAAAAAGTGAATTGAATTTCTTTAATTTTCGAAAAGTAAATACCAAATTGAAAAATCACAACAATAATTATATTATCAAGGTACATAATTTTTAAATGTTTTTCAAAATTACTAAATATAAATAAATGATTTAATTTTAAATTTTATTAAATTAAATTATTTTTACTAAACTTTATGTAATAATCGATTTTTTTTTGGTACTGTTTATGATATGTGATTTTAAAAGGTATTTTTTTCAATTGCCAAATGACGATGTAAATAGAAAAATTTTTCTTTGGTAATTTTGTATAATTTTCTAAATAATGGTAGAAAATCGGTTTAAGTAAAGTCAAGAACGTATAATACACTACCGGTACGAATTTTATCTACTGAAAAGGCATTCAAATTATCGTTTAACGATAGCAATGAAATAGTGAACACATGAGGAATGTGAATAGAATTATACACTTCTCGCTCTATTTGTACTTTTTTTTTGTTCTTGTTGAAAAAATGAACATACAAAAGTAAATTGTAAATAAACAAATACAATTAAGAAATTTTTTTTTTTAAGTGCGTTATACAAAGTTTTATCTTTAATTCTATAAATATATATAATTGAAACAATTGGATTTATAAATTTGTTATGCGCATTTTATAACATATCACCAAAATTGAATAATTTGATTAGGAATGCATTTTATTGAATATGTATTTTTGAATTTAATAAATATTTTAAATTGCAAATGGTGCCGATTAAATATCTGTCTCGTAAGTAAATTTTTCATGTATATTTAGAATTTTAATTATTAAAATTTATTAATTTTTTATTCTTTATATTTTTCAAGCGAATCGGATTAATTTAAAAAAACTTTTTTTGTATTATTAAATCTGTCATTTTGAATTTTGTAAAACTGACATCGGATTCGTAATCGGCGACCCCAAAAACCCCCCAAGCAAAACAAGTTTTAAGGAAATTTAAACGATTTTTAAATTTTTCACCGCCATATTTAATACGCCATTTTGAATTTTGAAAATCTGTCATCGAATTCGTAAGCAGTAACCCCGAAAAACCCCCTAGGAAACAAGTTTTAAGCAAATTTAAACGTTTAAAAATTTTAATACGCCATTTTGAATTTTTTAAAAATGACATCGGATTCGAAATTAGTAACCCCAAAAAGCCTCAAGGAAACAAGTTTTAAGCAAATTTAAACGATTTTAAAATTTTTAATCGACATATTTAATTCGCCATTTTGAAAATTTGACATCAAATTTGTAATCAGCGACCCCAAAAACGCCCAAGGAAACAAGTTTTAAACAAATTTCAATTGGTTTTTAAATTTTTTCAACAGCCGTATTAGATTTGGGATTTTGAATTTTTGTAAACCTGACATCGGATTCATCATCAGCGACCCCAAAAACCCCTCAAAAAAAAGTTTTAAGCAATTTCAACCAATTTTTAAAATTTTGACCTCCATATTGGATCCGCCATTTTGAATTTTGAAAATCTAACACCAAATTCGTAATCGGGGACCCCGAAAATTCTCAAAAAACAAGTTTCAAGCAAATTCAATTGATTTTTAAATTTTCGAAGCCATATTTAATACGCCATTTTGAATTTTGAAAATCTGTCATCAAATTCGTAAGCAGCGACCCAAAAAACCCCCTAGGAAACAAGTTTTAAGGAAATTTAAACGTTTTTTTAAATTTTAAACCGCCATATGTAATTCGCAATTTTGAATTTTGAAAAACTGACATCAGATTCGTAATCAGGGACCCCAAAAAACCCCTCAAGAGACTAATACCCCCTCAATACTATCAATTTAAAAAATTTTTGACCGCCATATTGGATCCGCCATTTTGAATTTTGAAATACTGTCATCGGATTCAATTTCATCGACCCCATAAACCCCCAAAGGCACAAGTTTTAAGCAATTAGAACGATTTTTAAAAATAGTAGAAAACTGAATTTTTGTACACTTTTCATAAATTCGGTTTTCGGTTGGAGTTCATTGTACCAAACTGTAATTACTTTATTTCTACCCCAAAATGAAGCAAAATAATTCAGAGCAAAGTAACAGCGTAGAATTTGTATTGTTTTTCGACTAACTTAACTGTACTATATATTATAGGTATTTCTACACAGCGAGTTATCTTTTAATAAATAATTGTTTTCAGTTTCGTTATGCGACAAAATGGGAAGGTTTTTTAATGTTTATTGGAATAATATGCAGTATAGCAACGGGATTAGCTGTACCATGGAATGTACAAATGTTTGGCAAATTAGCTGGTGGTATGGTTGATGCTAAATTAAAAAGTACATTTGCCAGTTTTGGAATAGACATTTCCGAATATATTCATACAGATGTTATGGAATCAGTGACAACATTTGCCGTTGGCACAATAACTATCAGTTGTATTTTATTTAGTTTATCATACGTCAGTATTTGTCTATTTAATTATACCTCACAAAAGCAAAGTCTTCGAATAAGATCCATGTATTTGAAATCAATTTTACATCATGATATTAGTTGGTATGACGTTATGAGTTGCGGTGACGTTGCAAGCCGATTAACAGAGTAAGAATATTTCCAATCATTTTTTCAATATGCTTTAATACCATTTAATTTCTCCAATAATTGTCATCAAATCTTTACTAAATCTTCCTCTAAATAGAAATTCAATGATATAGTATTCAGGATTTAAGGACGTATTATAAATAGAATAAATATTTTTTCAGAGATATCATGAAAGTAGAAGAAGGAATTGGTGAAAAATTCATTATTTTTCTACATCACTTTATTGCTGTTATTGGTTGTACTGTTCTTGCTTTTTATAATGATTGGAAACTTGCTAGTATTTGCATTGTACCATTTATTGTAATAGTGATAATTCTTTATTGTGTTGCAAAGGTATGTAAATATTTATATATATATATATATACAGAGAAACAATAGTTAAAATACAAAAAGAAATATTTACAATACCAATTTAAAAATCATTAAGGCAACCGCAATAATGACTCGAAAGGAAGTTGAAGTATATGCAATGGCAGGATCAATAGCCGAGGAAGCATTATCTGCAATTCGTACAGTTGTTGCATTTGGAGGGCAAAAAATAGAATTCAATAGATATAAAACAAATCTTTTATCAACCTATAAGAATAATATAAAAACAGTTTTACTATCGGCTTTAGAATTTGGTTTAATTTGGTTTTCCACCTATACAACATATTCTTTTGCATATTGGTATGGAGTTGAATTAATTCTAAGAGAAAGAGATCTTCCATTTGGATCTCAAACATTTACACCACAATCAATGGCTATAGTGAGAATCACTTTTTCTGTTATTAAATCACTAATAATTATTATTTTAATTAACAAAAAAAAAAGCATTAAAATTTTAATTTTAACAATTTATTTTTCTTTTATAAAGATTTTCTTTAGCGAAATGATGGCAACTGTAAGTTTAGTTTCTGCTGCTTCTTATATTGAAACATTTGGACTTTGCAAAGCATCAGCGGCAAAAGTATTTTCTGTTATTGAACAAAAATCAAAAATCAACAATTTATCATCAAGTGGTATAAGACTACAGCAAATTAATGGATTTATTAAATTTAAAAATGTATCTTTTGAATATCCATCGAGACCAAATGTTAAAGTAAATTTTGTTTTACAGAAAGGAAAAAAAAAGCTACAAATTAATTTTTAACTGATATAATATAATGTTTTAGGTATTGAGAAATTTGAATTTCTCAATTGAAAAGGGAGAAACTGTCGCTTTAGTCGGAAGTTCTGGATGTGGAAAATCAACTTGTGTACAACTTATACAGAGATTTTACGACATAAGTGGAGGACAGGTAATTTTTTCTTTTGGATTAAATACAAATTTTATTTCTTAATTTGGGTGCTAAAATATGCTTAATGCTTTAGATTAACTTTTATTATCAACTAAGTTGTAAGTTTTATAATTATTTTTTTTTTTTTCCTCTAACAAAATTTCTATTTTCATTTCATAAATGAAAAAATAGTAACATAATTATATAATAATAGATCTTAATAGATGGATACGATATACGGGATTTCAATGTAAAATGGTATCGAAATCAATTGGGAACAGTAAGCCAAGAACCAATACTTTTTGATACAACAGTAGCGGAAAATATTCGCTATGGTAATATGACTGCCTCGATGGAAGATATTGTTTTGGCAGCAAAAGAAGCAAATGCTCATCATTTTATAATGAATCTACCTTATGTAAGTATTTACGATCCTGATGATGATGATGATTTTGATTAATATTCTAAATGTAAAAATTTTATACAAATTATTAATGAAAAATTGTCCTAGTATAAAATTGACTATTTAGGAGATATTTCCTATACAAATCCATTTGCAATCTGTTTTTTTTTTAAACAGAACTTAATTATTATTTTCTTCAGCAATACGACACACTTGTAGGTGAAGGAGGTACAAAAATCTCTGGAGGTCAAAAGCAAAGAATTGCCATAGCAAGAGCTTTAGTTAGAGATCCAAAAATTTTACTTTTGGATGAAGCAACATCTGCTCTTGATACAAAAATGGAAGCTAAAGTACAAGCTGCATTGGATAAAGTAATTAATTATATTTATTATTTTGTCTTAATTTTTCTTATATAATCAGTTCACAATTTATTGTTTAAATCCTGATTTTATATTTAGGTACACAAAGGAAGAACAACAATTATTGTTGCTCACAGATTATCAACGATACGTGGAGCTGACAAAATAATAGTTCTCATGAATGGACAAGTTGTAGAGCAAGGAAATCATAACTATTTAATGGGACTGAAGGGTCATTATTATTCACTAACTACCACACAGGTGCAACTAAATTTACTTTTTATAAACATGTCCTTATTAAATATTATAATAATAATTGCTAACAATATGAAATAGATGACAAACATTGCCACAATGCAAATAAAGGAGATAAATAAAATAATTGATGGAAAGGAAGACGTTAAAAATGATGATGAATTTTGTGCTGCATCAAAGGTACTTTTGTAGTCTTCATCTTAGAAGAGTCTAGTTTTCATCAACTTTAAAATAACTTGAGTTAAAAAGAAATTATTAAATTTTAATTAAAACAAATTTATAGATTCCTTACGAAACGGCAATTGAGGAGATAAGAAGGGAAATTTCAACAGTGAAAATTTTAAAACTCAGCAAACCTGAATGGTTTTACATTTCTTTAGGTTGTCTTGCTTCAATTTTTGTTGGATTCTCACCACCAATATTTTCCACCTTCTTTGGAGATGTTATAGATGTAAATAATTTTATCTAATTTTACAAAAAAAAAAAAAAATTTCATTGAAGAAAGAAACGAATTTATTCACATTTTAGGAACTCTCAGGACCAGATACAGAATTAATTCGAAGACGTACAAAAATTTATTGTGTGCGTTTTATATTAGCTGGTATTTTTATTGGATTGTCTAATTTTGCTCAAGTTAGTTAAATCTTTTAAGATTTATTAAAGACTAAAATATTTATGAAGAATAAAAAAACAATTTATATATATTTTTTTATTCTAGTATTATCTACTTGGATTTGCGAGTGAATGTTCAACACTAAGATTACGGGGATTAATTTTTCGAACAATGTTGAAACAAGAGATTAGTTGGTTTGATAATCCAATGAATGGAACGGGAGCACTTTGCTCTAAACTTTCAACTGAAGTTGCTGCAGTAAAAGGTGCAACTGGTCAACGAATTGGAATAATTGTACAATCCTATAGTACAATTGTACTATCCATTGCAATGTCAATTTACTATGAATGGAGACTCGGATTACTTGGCACTGCATTCATTCCATTTATTCTCATAACAAAAAACCTTCAAAATTTAATGTACAAAGAAGAAACCTACAGCTATCATAAAAGTCTTGAAAGATCTACAAAAGTTAGTAAACAGATTCTGATGTTCTATTTACAAATTATTATAATGTTAGATTCATTTAACAATATTTTTAAATAAATTCTATTTTGTTTTCTTTATTAATTTTTCGTCTCTAGTTTTTGTAATTTTCTATGTTTTAAATATTTATTTAAATATAATTATTATAATTTCTAGTTTGCTAAAAAAATATTCAGAAATAAAATTTTAAAAAAATTCTAGATTGCAGTTGAAGCAGTGAGTAATATTCGCACTGTAATTGCCCTCGGAATACAGGACAACTGTTACCATTCATATGTGGCATCAATGCAACCCTCACTTGCTCTTGCAAAACGAAATACTCATTATCGTGGCTTAATCTTTGCACTAGCTAGATCAATATCGTATGTTGCTTTAGCTTCATGTATGTATTATGGAGGATATTTAATGAAAGTAGAAGGCATACCTTACTCCACTGTATTTAGGTAAATACAAATTTTTAATAAAACATCTAGTGTTACGTCTCAAAAATAGAGAATAAGAAAAGCAATAAAATTAATATTTATTTTGTCCGCCTCGATGATTACTTTAATTAAACCAATCGATAGAAGTGACTGTAATTAAATACTCTTTCATTTCACTATTATATGTCGTTCATGCAGCAATTAACTAATTAATTTTAAAAAAGATTTAACAATTCTTATTTCTGAGAAATTTAAAACCAAAAGCTATCCTTTCACCGGATCAGAATTAGAACAAACATCAGGAAAAGCAGCCGCGCACTAATGAGTACATGCCGGAAAATTTGATAGAATGTGTAAAAGATTCTCTCTTTCCTGATAACAAAAATGAACAATTTTCCTCTCTACCAAACCTATACACATCCTTTCCCAGACATATCCTATAAGCATATTTATTTAAAAGTCTAATTTGTGAAAAAATTCTTTTGGTTTGTATAAAGGAAATCGTGAAATTAGATAGGGTTGTTGGCACCGGTTAATAGAAAGATAGGGCTAAATTAAAAGACTCTCAGTCCTCGAAAATCGCTCCAGATCGAGAGCCCTTAGAAAGTGCTCATATTCAGTCGCAAGTCGTACGAGTCTCTCGTAACACTGTCTGGGGTACCTTGAAATGTCCATCTTAGAAATCTTACATATCCAGTTCAGTATATTCGAGAAAACCCCATACGAAAGGCGAAGAGAGTCTGTCTCCAACCTGACTGCATAGTTAGGAGTGTTATTTGGTAACCAGAGTAGCTCCTTGAAGAATGAGAGTTGAACCCTTTCAATATCATCTAGATGATAGGGACCCCATATCGCAAAACAGTAATCAAGAGACTCTGGAAAAGTTTCTCATAAGAGGCCCAAGAGTCTGCTCTCGTGCGGTAAATTATGCTCATAATTCCTCCAACTGCTGCATTTGCCGCATCAATTGCGCCTACAAAATTTATTATACTTATTGAATATGCATTGAATTTACTTGAAATATTGAGCTCTAGCTTTAGATCCTTTCTTAAATTGAGTTTGATTAAAAGTTAGATTTGATTTGTTAAATTCTGAATAAAAGAGAGTGTGATCTTTATTGGTGAACATTCCTCGTAACCAGCATTGAAAACATTCCACTGAAAACAAGGATAAAATTTAAACACCAAGAAACAGATTTACAGAAATAGAAATCTTTATAAATATTTTAAGCATGATTGGTATACGTTAAAATAACTTCAAAACTGATGAATTGTTTTTTAAAAATTTAACGCAAAGAAAATTATGATTAAAATTAATTGCAACCAATTTTAGAAGACCTTGTTAATTGCAGAAAAACGATGTTGATTCAAAATCTTTTTTTTTTAACATTTTTATATTTGGGTCATGCATGACCTTCCTAAAATCGGTTTATTAAAATTTGGGTTAAATATTCCCTCCAAAAAGATGATTTTATTTCAAAATTATCAACCTGATACATATTAGATAATCCGCAGAATTATACTGATACCAATTTTCTAAAATACACACAAAATATTTTTTAGAATTTCTCAAGCTCTAATAATGGGAACTGTCATGGTTGCTTGTGCATTTGCATATGTTCCAAATGTTCAAAAAGGGCTACAGGCAGCAGCAAATATTGTTTCAATTTTAGAAAGATCTCCAGAAATTCAAAACCCATTAGAAATTAAAAGACCCGAGGTAGTTAAGTATTAATTTAAACACATGCTACAAAAAAAATTAATTATTTACAATTGATTTTACAAAAATTTATAGAAATTTCTCTGCCAAGTAATGTACAAGGACGTAATATTTAAATATCCATCAATAAGTGAAGTTAAAGTTTTAGATGGTTTGAATTTAAAGATTCCCCCAGGAAAAACAGTAGCTTTAATTGGTCCTAGTGGTTGTGGAAAAAGTACAATGATACAATTATTGGAAAGATTTTACGATCCAATATCAGGAACTGTGGCAAGTATTTTTAAGATATATATAAGAAATTAAATATCAAATTGACATTAATTGTTATAATTCTAAAATTAAATGTAATTATTTTTAGCGATTAGATAATAACAGCATTGATACACTGTCATTAGATACACTAAGAATGCAAATGGGTTTAGTGTCACAAGAACCAACATTATTTGCAAGGACAATAGCGGAAAATATTGCTTATGGCGATAATACAAGAGATGTGCCAATGTGGGAAATTATTGAGGCAGCAAAACAAGCTAATGCCCATGAATTTATCACAGCCTTACCTCTAGGATATGAAACAAAACTTGGTGATAGAGGAACTCAACTATCTGGAGGACAAAAGCAACGAATCGCTATTGCCAGAGTTCTTATTCGAAATCCTAAAATTCTCCTATTGGATGAAGCAACATCAGCATTAGACTCAGAAAGTGAAAAGGTGAGATTCATTTGTAAAAATATGTAATAAATAGTTTGAACAATAATTGGTTTAAATAATTAATTAATTAATATATAGCTAAAGGTAAATATATATACACGGAGAAAAAAGATCATCTGCTGCAGCTAATAGTTAGTTATTTCAGCTAAAATTAATTGCTATTATAATTTGATTATTTTAAGGGGATACGAGTAGAGGAAGACTTCTATTATTACCTTTAAAGCACCCCACGTCATCGAAAACTTCACAAAAATATTCAATTTTTCTTAGGCAGACTATTTCATTGCAATTTCTTGCACAAAATACACCTAAAAGTGTAGAAAAAAATTGGCAGCCAGATACGAGTAGAGGAAGATCCTTATTACCACCCTTAAAGCACCCCAAGTCATCGAAAACTTGACAAAAAAATTTAATTTTTCTTAGGCAGACTATTTCATTGCAATTTCTTGAATGTGTTTTATTCACCTGTCTTCCAAAAATCGATTAAAAATAATACAATATACATGTCAGTACAATTTGGTAGCCAGGCAGTTTTTGCTTGGCTGTCTCAAGTAGTATCAATTGAGCAGGGAAAAGCTTGGTCGGTATCGCCTGAGAACACCAATAGAAGCAATTAAAGACCCAACCCAAGAAGCAAGTAATATATCCTCAATATCAAGGTAATATTACACGTGAGATTCGTAATATAACGCTGTAATATTACAGTAATCTTACAGTGATCTTAAAATGTCCGCCTCAAGGTAATATTACCAGGAATATTACTGTAATATTAACGGTAATATTACAGTAATATTACAGACTTATTTGAGTTATTCATAAATCATAAAAAACGTAAATATATTATAAGTCAATTTGGCTTGTTGGTAAAACTCTGGACTCGTGTGCTTTGAGTTCGGGGTTCGATTCCCTCGATGGGTAGATTTTTTTCGTAAAGAAATGTTCCCATAATATTACTGTAATATTCTCTTGTAACATTACCTTAATATTACGGTATAATATTACTGCAATATTACTATAATATTACCTTAATATTAGCGCGTAATATTACAGTAACATTACCGGTAATATTACCTTGAGGCGGACATTTTAAGATCACTGTAAGATTACTGTAATATTACAACGTTATATTACGAATCTTACATGTAATATTACCTTGATATTGAGGTTATATTACGTGCTTCTTGGGAAGTCAAAACAGCCTGGCTCCTTGGTTATAACTACTTGACTTTATAAGATCAACATGACGACTTAAAAGAAAGCAGTTGGAACTTTTTTTTTCTCTCCGTGTGTATGACAAATAATATAAGTGATACAAAAAGGAAATATCTTATTAATGAAAAATTAAGAGTTTTTATGTTTTTCTAATTAACATTTTATTATTGTAACAATTTATTTCTTTAATCATCGCATTTTAGATGGAATTGTTCCGTATATATGAATTAACATTATAAATATATAATTTGTCATTTCTTTGTTTTTATATAATGAAATATTTATAAAATTATGATAAATTTATTTAAAACATGTCTGTTATTATTTTTATAACTATAATATCTAGATAAAAAATATGGAACATTTTTTATATTGTGTTTGATAATTAATTGTAGGTTGTACAAGCTGCACTAGATAAGACCAGACAAGGAAGGACATGTATTTTAATAGCCCATCGACTTTCAACAGTTGAAAATGCTGATGAGATATGTGTTTTAAATGATGGTCAAATTTCTGAAAGTGGAACCCATAAAGAACTTTTGGAAAAAAAAGGCGCATATTATGAATTATTATGTTTACAAAATAACCATCAATAAATATTGAATTTAAATATTTAAATTTATATAATTTGATATGTACATTATAGTTTTTAAAATAAGCTTCTATTTTTTTTTATTTTTTTTTTTTTTAATGAAAATGAGTTCTATGATCTGATTTTTGTGTTAAAATTTTAATATATTATAAATTTTCTATAATTTAGAATCTATAAATTTTAATAATTTTCTCTTAAGAATTTATGAATTTAATTTATAGTAATGAATTTGTAATTTATTGTATCAATGTATTTAAATAAAATTAAAAAATTATACCAGAGTTTCTTAATTTTTTTTTTCAGTTTAATCTCTTGTCAATAGAAATCGCATGAGACGATAACCATTTTTCCAACTCTTTGTTATCAGTTTCTCTAGCGTCTAAAATGAATTTTTTCAACGAGTTATCCTTTGTCAAGGAATAGCCTAAAAAATTAGAAAATTACTTTTCAATTCCATTATCTTGATATTTCACAAAAATATATTTACCTATATTAAGTTTTTTTTTTTTTTATTCATTATTTTATTTTTTGCATTTTATTAATATATTTGAAATATGTACTTAATTAGTAAATTTAATTAATTTTATTTCAATAAAAACTTACCTTTTTGCAGAAGAAGATCAAGACATTTAAAATTCTTTTGCGCGGGATTTCGAATATAATACGCGAATAACATGTGAAAAGCATTTTCACCAGAATTAGTTTCTTGAAATATATTTGCCCCTATAAAAAAAAAAATATTTATTTTAATTATTATTTTATTAATATTTATTTTAATTATTAGTTTATCAATAATTACTTTCATTATCATATAAATCAACCAATTTTATAATAATACTAAATAATCTATATATATTCACCTTTCGATATCATAAAATCAATCAAACTGTGATTTCCTCTATAGCATACACGATGAAATGGCGTTATTCCTTCAAAATCCGGAAGACTTGTATTTATTAAATGTGGCCAATAAGTTATTAATTCAATGCATTTATTGCAATTATTTTTATTATAACATTTCTGTAATAAAAATTCTTGATAAATTTCTTATTTTTTTAAATTGAGTTATTTTAAAATTTTTGTTTATATACAAAATTTCAAGCATTTAAAATAATAAATAAAAAATAAAATAATAAAAATAAATGAATAAAAATAATAATAATAAAATAATAAATTGAAATAAAAATTGACAAACTTTATCTCTTTAATGCTTAATGAAATTAAAAAAAATCAATTTTTTGTTAAATTAAAAAAAATTATAAACAAAAAAAAATTTGTAATTATTATAATTATTATAAATAAACAGAATTATTATAATTAAAAAAATACGAACATCACTTGCTTTATGCAATTCACTTAATGCAACATCCTGACAGAATGTCAATTTGTCAGTTATAAATTGCCAATTATTTGAAAATTTCATTTCCTTAATGATATTTTTCTCGTTCTTGGATTCTGTAAAATATTAAAAATCATAAAAAAATGCAAGTGAATTATCACAGATAATTAAAAAGAATATATAAAAAAAATTAATAAATTATAATAAATACTATAAATAATTTTACTATAAAAATGGATAAATAAATAACAACTAAAACTTTAAGGTACAATTCCTGGTGCAAATTTTGAAAATGACCCTATTTAATATCTTTTTCGCCTTGTACGTATGCATATCAGGTTGCCTATAACAAGGCAGTGAGAATCTTAAAAATTGTCACTAAACGTCATATAGGTTATGTTTACTTCTATATTTGTGCGACAATTATTAATTGCATATATTATTAATAAAATTGAATAAAATAATTGATTACATACCTGTGAGAAATATGAGAATAGATAGAACAACTCCAATTATAATAAGTAAAATCAGAAAAACAAGTAAGTAAGAATATTTTGCCGGTAACAATATTGACAAGTTTTTCAGTGGCAAAATATATTTAAAATAAATATCATAAAAATCGTTAACATCATTTTCATCAAAATCATCTATTGTTTTCATTAACATTATTTAATCACTTATGAAAATTAAAAAAAAAACACAGAGTTTGTTTTGAAATTGCTGCAGTCGGACTCGAATTCAAATCGATTTTCGAGTAAAGTATCGAAGTTCGAAACTCGAAAGAAATTGGACAAGTTGTGGTTGTTGTTGTTTTTTGAGTATACCTTGTAAATAAACAAATTAATTTAGAATATTGGCCGAATAAATTTAAAAAAAAAAAAAAGAAAACAGTAAAAGTATAATTATTTGACCGTATTAAAAAATAAAACAAATTATCAATTTTGATAATGCTAAAATATTTAATTTTTAAAGTTTTGTGAATGAAATAAACAAATATTAAATTTTGAAAGAAAGTTATAAGGAAAAATAGTGTCAATTACAAGGAAAAACTACTTTTATTTTTAATTGTTATTTATATATTTAACGTAATCTAAAAAAAGACTTATTTGCAATAAGAACTAATTGCAAATAGAACATAACCTCAAATGATAAGTAACATATATATGTATATATGTAGATAGATAAAAAAAGCTTATCGTCATCATTAATTAATCGTGCTTAAATATATATAATGCAGTCATAAAATTTTGCGAGTCATTGATTTCTTAAAAGTTGATTTTGATATAAAGAACAACGATTTTATTTAACAGAAAAATCAATGAAAATTTATTTTGGTAAGTTTATTTTTCTTATCGAACAAAAAAAATACATAATATATAGATTATTATCTATTTTAAATTTTGTCATCTATTTCAACTATTTCGATAATTATTTTATCTTTTTTCCACTTTTGTTTTTTTTATTTGATTAACTTGTGGATGTAATATTCACAAAATTATTGAATTTATAATGTAAAAACATTGATTTAAGTTAAGGAATGTTTGAAAAATAATTTATTTAAAAAGAATTGTATTTAACTTCCTGAATATTAATTTTTTTTTTTTTCTATAAAAATAATTCACTTGATTCAAGCTTAAATTTATAAAAAAAATGTTTATCGATTTAAAAATTATTTCGGACAAATTTAAATAAATCTTAATTTATTTCTCAAAATTTAAATCAAGTGATATAAAATTTTAACCTTAATTCATATTTTTGTAAAGATTAATTGTTTTAAATTTCAAATTATCTAAATTTTAATTGATTTAATTTTAAAATTATACAAATTTCAATTAATCCAAAATTTTAATTGATTTAAATTTCAAATTATTCAAAATTTAATTAAACCAAATTTTTAATTATTATTTCTTCAATCATTGATTAAAAAATTTTAATTAAACCAGTATTTATCATTAATTTTTCGTAAATAAATTCAAATAATTTTAGAAAGAAATCAGTAAAAATTTAAAGAAATTGAAATTTGAATATAATTTTAAAATCAATAAAAATTTTAATACATTAAAATTCAGATAATTTGAAAATTAAGTTTCGATCGATTGAATTTGCATTTGATTAAATTTTTAATTAATTAATTTTTACTTGATTATTAAAAATTAAAATTGACTGAAATTTTTATCACTTGAAATTTAAATTTGAATTCAGAATAAAATATATTTAATTCAAATTTGAATAGATACAAGTTAGTTATTTTGACAAATTAATTGGTTTTAACTATTATTTTTTGTCACCTGAATACAAAAAACATTTTTATAAAAATTATTTCTAACATTATTGCAACAAAATTTTTTATAATTTTTTTTTTTATTTTCGAAATAAAAATCTTTAGTTTATTTCTAATGTAAATTATTTTTTAAAAAAATTGTTATATCTTTTGTTATTATTATTATGATTATTGTTACTGTTAGAGTTATTAATTATATTTTTTTTCCAGAGACAAGTTAAAAAAAAAATGGCAAATACTGGATTTCTCGTTTTAACAAATCCAGCGAGAGTAACAAAATTATTACCAGTTATCAAAAAACATGTTTTAAAAACACTTTATATACAATATTTTCCCGAGAGAAATATTTTTATTTCCGACACTAATTTATTATCATCGTCATCATTAAAATGGAAGGGTCCTCGTTACGCACAAACAGTGGCCAATATTTATGAATTTGCTTCCACAATTTCATCACGTTTAGATGTTCGTGTTTTACTCTCATGTTTAAAAAATCCAAATGTTTCAATTATACATACAAAACGACCTGTGGAGCTTGTGATTTTTGATCAAGAACATAATAAAAAAGACGCAGATTTATTTATTCAAGATTATCTTTCTAACACTTCTATGGGTTGTAATTTTATTATAATTGACGAAAATCATCAAGACACATCATCATCAGCTTCATTATCGGGAAATAATGACCATAATCCAGAAATGGAAAATGGTGTCGAGAAATTTTATAAAAATGTTATTCTTGGAGGAACATTTGATCGTTTACATAATGGTCACAAAATTTTATTGAGCGAAGCAATTTTATATTGTAGTGAAAATTTAACTGTTGGAGTGACGGATGAAAATATGCTGAAAAGTTTGTAGTTTTTTTTTTTTTTATTGCTTTATGGGGTAATTTACAATTTTTGGATTTTAAAGTTTTATTTTCAAGAGTATTATTCTTTAAAAAGAAAATAATTTTTTTGTTAAAAATCAAATGAAAATATTTTAATTTTAAAAATGTATTAAGTTCATAATTGGGGAATTATTCGAATTTTATTTTAAATATATAAATTGTAAATATTTCTATTATTCTTTCAAATTATAAACATTAAATTTTTTCTTTTGAATAATTGAATTTTATTGTTTATAAATATTATATTTTAAATTTATGAAAACTTTTACATTTACAGGCAAAATTCTTTGGGAATTAATTGAATCATGTGAGCAACGTGTGAATGTGCTAAAAGATTTTCTCGTTGATGTCGATCCTGGTTTAAATTACAATGTAGTACCGATATCTGACATTTATGGGCCAACTAAAGACGATCCAAACTTAAATTTGTTGGTAGTGAGCGAAGAAACTGTACGCGGTGGAGCTAAAGTAAATGAACTTCGTCTAGATAGAGGATTACCTAAATTGGATGTTCATGTTGTAAAATTAATGCCTGATAAACAACACAATGAAAACGAGGAGCCCAAAATTAGTTCGAGTAACCAAAGAATACGATTATTGGGCACAAGAATTCGTCAACCTGTAAGTGACTTTTCAAATTTAAATAATATATGTTTTGTTTTTCATAAAAAAATTAATCAAACAAATTTTATCTATTTAACTACAATTTTTTAAATAGATTCTTCATTTGAACAAATTCTTAATTACCAAATTTCTACTTAACATTAATAATGTATATTTTTTTAATAGAATTTAAATGGCAAAACTTTGCGGCCTTATATAATTGGTTTGACTGGAGGAATTGCCAGTGGAAAGTCATCAATTGCAGAGAAATTAGAAAAATTGGGAGCAGGTCATGTGAATTGTGATAAAATTGCACACGATCTTTATGAACCGGGCAAGGAATGTTATAATTTAGTAGTGAAAAATTTTGGTCCCAGTATTCTCAATACAAAACAATTAATTGATCGGAAAACTTTAGGAAATATAGTATTTAACAATAAGGTATATTAAAATCAAAAATTAAAAATTGTAAATTTAATGTAAAATTATTATTTTTATTTATAATAATTTTTGCTGATTTAATTTCTCTATTTTAAAAGGAGCAATTGAATAAATTAAATAATCTTGTGTGGCCTGCTATTTTGAAAGAAGCAAAAAGTCAAATAAACAATCTTCATGAGAAAGGAGTTGATGTAATTGTCTTGGAAGCTGCTGTTTTAATACAAGCAAATTGGCAAAATTATTGTCACGAAATTTGGACATGCATAATTCCCGAACAAGAGGTGAGAATGTCAAATGTTAAAAATTTCTTTGCATTTAATTTTAAATAAAAACCAAAAATTAAATAAGAAAAAATTATTTTAAATTATTCAAACTAATTATTGTTGTATTAAAAACACACAAAAAAAAGAAAATGATTGAAAACTAAATAAAAAAAATGTTTTTCTAAAATGCGACAAATTAATATATTTTAGGCCGTAAAACGTGTTATGGAACGAAATTCATTAAGTGAAGAGGAAGCAAAACAAAGAATTACCGTTCAACCCAGTAATGTTCAACAAATAAATGCAGCGAACGTAGTTGTTTCAACTTTATGGAGTCACGAGGTAACACAAAAACAAGTTCAAAAAGCATGGAATGAATTGATGATTTATCTTAAAGAAATACCTGACAGATAATGAATAATTTTAAAAAATTGATTTAACAATTTTTTTTACCTTTAAATTTTAATCTGGCCTTGGATTATACAACTTTTTCTGACGTTTTTTTTGAAAATACGACTTATTTTAATAAGATGTGACTTTTTCGACTTTTTTTTACATTTTTTACAAAAATTTTAAACAAAGTACGTCTTTTTTAGTATAAAATGCAGATCTTCTGAAGATCTTATTTATTTCAATTACTTAACAAATTTTTAACTAAAATTTTTCTCTATATTAATTATTTTTAATAATTTTAATGAAATTCTTCACAAATTCAATTATATTAAATTATTTTTCAATTAAAAATTTTATGAAATTTAACAATTGTTTACAATTAAAAAAAAAAAATCTGAAATCTGAAAATTTTTGAAAAATAATTTTAATTATAACTCTTTCAAAATTCAATTATTTTTTGAAGTTTTAATATTTCATTAAAAATTCAATTATTTAAAAAAGTTTCAAATAAAAACCTTAAAATTGAATTATTGTCTGAAATTTAAAAAAAATTGCTTTAATCGGACTTTAAAAAATAAAAAAATGGAACTAAGAATTTTTTAAAAAAATTTATCCTATTAAATTAAAATTAGTTCGATTCTGAAATATTCGAAATAAATTGTCTTGATAATATTATTATAGAATTATTTTTATTAAGGAATAAAAATTAATTTAATATCTAATAACATTTTTTATTTAAAGTAAAATACTTATTAACTAATTAAATTTAATTGAAATAAAAAAAATCGACTTTTTCGACTATTTTTACTCCTTAAAGTTGATCCGAGGCCTGTTTGAATTTTATTTTATTTTTTAAAACGAGAATATTAGATTTTTTAAATTCTTGAAAATTTGAATAAACGATATTAGTTTTTAGACATTTTGACAAACAGAAACGTTAGCTGTTTTTTTTTAAACGTGACAAATGTATAAACATATTTTTTTTTTAATTATGAACTGTGAAAGTATGTAAGAAATGTAAATTGGAATTTTATACAATTTAGAAAAAGAAAATGTAATAGAATAGTTATTTTTTTCTTCCAATTGTGTACAATAATGTTAGATATAATTGTAAATAAACATCTCGTTATTTAAATTAAAATTTAAACAAGTTTCGTTTTATTATTATTATTATTATTATTTTTTTTAATTGACAATTTTTTCTACTATGTCAGAATACTGTTTACCATATTTATTTCTTCTTGATCTGTGGTTTCTTGTAATTTCGCTAAAAGTGTACTGATAAATGATTGAAAATCCTTCTTCAATTTATTTTCCTCTTCTTCCAAATTGCAATTGATTGCAGATATTTTTGAAAAATTCGACGCTACAATGAAAAATAAATAAATATTGATAAGACAGATTTTTGAACAAATAATTTCTAATATAATTAATGTTTAAATAACATGGATACTAACATAAATTTTTTGGCATTTCGGATTTTCTCTCTGGATCATAATACAAAAGGAGACAATTTTTTGGTACAAGTTTCGATTTATTAACAAAATATTCATAAAACTGTTCTAATTCTTCAAAGTTTTCTTTCGACTTTGGACCATGAACAAATAATATACCTTGTGCATTTCTACGGAACGCTGGCCAACAATTTTTAAATCTGAAATTAGTTTTTTTTTCAATTTTAATTTTAATTATGTAAATAATAATTGATTAGTTGTATTTTTTTTAACGATTTGTATATATTAATTTTGTAATTATTTGTAATTTCAAAAATAGGAGAAATAACAATAAATGTTTGATAAATTTAATAAATAAAAAATTATAGAGTAATTAATAAATTGGTAAAATAGAAATTAAAACATTATTAAGTTTGAAGAACCTAATCAATATTCAGAAAAATAATTTCTTTTTTATCACTAGCGTATAGATATTTATTAATTTTTTTTTTTTTTAATTATTTGAAATAGTTACTTAAGATCTCCACTGCAGTCCCATAATTCAATATCGGATTTCACTGATTTATTGTTAAAATTAACGTCTTTAATTTCAAATTCCAAAATTCTTACACCTTGAGTTGGATGATAGTCAAAAATTTCTGTCGCATCCGCAAGAAAATTTGAAATTATACTTTTTCCAGACTGTCAAAAAATGTAATAACAAATTAATTAATCATTTTCTCATAAGAAGCATTATGTAATTATTGCGATTTTCAAATTTCAAAAAAATTATTATTATTATAATATATTATTTAATATTGTTCATTATTTTAAATAATTATTTAACTTTATTTTTAAAAAATCTAACCATTTCTTGTAGACATTGTTTATCGAGAGAAAAAACAATTTTTTTATTGAAATTATTAATAAAAGCTTTGTAATTAAAAGAAAATTTTAAAAAAAATTGAGAATTAGTACTTAAATTTCATTTAAATTTACTATTTGCATTTTTCTTATAAAGAACAATTTTTTCAAAAAAAAAACAAGTATTCTTTTTGCATAACAAAAAAAAAATTATGTATTTCAAAAACAAGTTTCAGTTTCATTTTTTATTATGTTGCAAATGGTTAAAAATAGTTATTTTTAATATATACCTATAATTTTTAATATAATACAAACATTAATTTAAAATAGTTTTTTTTTTTTTTGTAAAACGTAATAAAATCTTACCCCAACAGGACCTAAGACAAGCAACTTTAATACTTTCATTGTTCTAACTTTGAGCTTTGTTTTCTGTTTGCGCGCTCGTTGTCATGGCAATAAAATATACGAGATTATGAAAATTTGAAGCATTTAAAGTTTTTTTCGTGTGTACATAATTTTTTTTTTTTTTGTTTTTCATTGTTATTTTCTATCTGTAGTGCCCTTTAATGGTTTTTACCGTGGGCTTATTAATTCATGCAAATAAAAAAAAATTTTATTTTATACAAATTATTTACAAAAATGAATTATTTTAAATTAAATTATTTTATAAATTCAATATATTACTTTTATTTTAATTGTTAATGTAAAATTAAACGATTATATTAAAATTTGATTGTTTTGGAAAATTTAATTACTTTTAGAATTAAAATTCTTTTTGTAAATTAAGTTAATTATTTATAATATATTTTTTATTAAATGAATTTGACAAAAAATGAAATAAAATTATTATTGCAATTACGAACCGCGAAATTGGCTTAAAATTATTTTTAATTTAATGTTTAAATTCTACTCTAAAGAATGGGACCTAAGAAGCCAAAGAATTATTGGTTACGTTTATGATTGAGTGCGTAACATAAATGAAAATACAAAAAGAAGATCAAATCATTAATATTTAGGTCTTCATTACATTCAAAGTACTCAATAAAAACTGATTTTAATTTTACATAATTAAAAAGAATTAATTATAATATTATTAATAAATATTCCACAAAATATGATTTTAAAAGAAAATTTACTAATTTAAAGAAGGGATTAAATAAAGAAAACAATACCAAATATCAAGTGTAATGTGTACTTTAATTATACACTAAATTCAAGAGGCAACGTGTAAACGTGTCGAAAGCTCCAGAAATAATTTCTTTTTATTATAAATTGTTTCATAATCGACGGATACATTTTCTTTTTGTTTTCTAGTCGGTTAATTAAAGACTTCATTTCCTTTATTTCTCTTTACATTCAATTAATATTCTACAATAAATAGAAGAAAAAAAACATTTTAATTTCAATCAATTTTCGTTAAATTGTTGCTTACATAATGAAATAACGTCTTTTTTTTAAATAGAAAACTGAGTTATTTTGTTTGTTTGTCGGCTTTTAAAGAATGTCTAAATATAAAATGACGTTTTTTTTTTTTTTTTAGTTATAAGAGAGAAAAAAAAGAAAAAAAAATGAGTTATATATTCACAAATGAACATAAATATGAAAAAAATTACTATTTCAAAACATTTCTTCTTTCTTTCTTTCTTTTATCAGTTATTATCTTACTTATTAATGTCTAAAATCTAATTAATATGCGCATTACAGCTACACATTCATATTGATGAAACGGTGTGAAATATTCACGTTTATTATGAGCCCTAAACTCATATTTGTAAAATTGGGAGAAAAAGAAAGAATAAGATATTTTTTTGTTAAAGTTGGATAATTAACACATTTGAATATCTTCTGAGTGATCAACTTTGACTTCTTCCTCATAAGTCAAACCGTACAATGCTTGTAAAGCAGCTTTCGCCGTTATCTTTTTTGCGTCCCTCTTGTTTTTAGCTGTTGGGGAAAAAAAAATCAAATTATTATGTACTATTATTTCTATACGAAATTAAACAAACTCATCATATTTTTATTTATCTTGTTGTAATTTTGTTTATTTTAATTCAGTTTTTTTTTAATTTGCATTAAAAAATTAGCTTACAACTTTCATATAATAAAAGATTTCAATAAAAAAAGGTTTTTAACTATTTAGATTAAAATTTTAAAGAATAGATAAATTTTTGTAAATAAATTATATAATTTACCCTATCAATTTCCCCTTATTTATAATAAATTAATTGTTTATATAAAGTCCAAATAATTTTTTTTATTTTATTAGAATTTTTTTTTTTTTTTTGACAAATTGTCATTTTTTGAATTAGCATTTGATAGAATTTTTACTTAACAAAATTTTTATTTGGCAGAATTTTTATTTTATAGTAATTTTCTTTACATGACTTTTTATTTAAAAGAATTTTTATTTAACAGAATTCTTATTCAATTGAATTTTATGTGATTCAAATTTTTAATTGATAAAATTTTTAACACGCTAAATTTTCATTTATTCGAAATTACAAAATATCCGAACAAACAATCGACAGAAATATTTCGGCGCAATTGTTAAAATTACTTGATAATTTCTAATTGATCAAATTTAAAAATTGCACCATAATCTTTCTGTCGATTATTTGTTTGGTCGTTTGTAATTTCGGATTTAGAATTATTAATATTAAAAATAAAAATATAATATCAGATATTGAAAAAATAAAAAATAATCTTACCTGTTCCTGTATATTCGACTCCATCGATTTCCACTCCCAATGTAAACATTGTATTGGGTGGATTTCCAACGCGAGTAACTTCAACGTAAGTTAAACCAGGTCTCATTTGATTCAATAGCATAACAGGATGTACACATGTTGCATTATTTGGCAATTCTTTTTGAATTGTTGGTTTTGTCTCCTTCTTTACTTTTCCTGCTGGTACACCTGGCCTTGGAACGGGTACAACAGTGCCTTGATTTTGCCATTCAACAAAAAGTTTATATAATGCAAAACTCGCTAAACAACTCCATGGTACCTCTTCTGGTTCATCGGAATTAACATCCATTTTTTCAATGACACTAACATCATTATTCTCATCTTTTTGCACTGATGTTTCAACGGGCGTTGTTTGTCCATCTGATTCAGCGTCAATTTTTGCTTTTATCGCAGCGGCTGACATTTTTTCCAATAGAAGACACTTGAGTGCATTCTCAGCTGCATTTTGACGTGCAAGTGGCTTTGAGAGTCCTTGACCGACGTAAGTTTTTCCATCGATCTGCAGATGAAAAAAAAAAAAAAAATTACAAAAAAATTAAAAATAGAAATTATAGAAATTATTTTCTTCATAATATGAATCTAATTATTGTAATTAAAAAAAAAAATAAATAAAATCTATTTACCTCGGCGTGCGCAAGGAATAAAGAGCTGGCCATTGACGATTGAGTTTCTGGGAATATAAATTGTACTCCAGTTTTCATTTCATTGAGTACCATAATTGCGTTCTTAGGTTGAATTGTTCGTCGTAGACGTTGATTCAAACGAAGTCTCTTCAATTTGCGATTGACTTTCACTGAAACGATAAAAATTGAAGAAAAAAAATGTTTTTTTTTAAAACAAAAATCTATAAATATAATTTACTATTTATTTTTAAGGACAATTATTTTTCTTTCTTTTCTTTATTCAGCATTTCTATTCACATTGACTTCTCGATTGCTAGACGCTCAACGTTATTTCTAACGGAGCATCTTATGCATATCAATTGTCTTCAAATTTGCGCAGTGAAATTTCATCATAATGAAAAAAAGATGTAAATTCAAAAAAAATTCAAAGTAAACTACAACTTTTAAAGGATTTTTCTCCATAGAAGATATTCAACAATGAAAAAGTTAATTTATCACTGTACAAAATAATTAAAACCGTGATTATACGTCTTTTACTTCCATTTTTTTTTCTATATATTTAAAATTTTAACTTTATTAAAATCGAAATTATGTTTAGATCTAGCATGTTGATATGTATATTCTTCTTTTTAGATAATTACGAGAGATTCTCCAATGTAAACACTATTACAGTGAAAAAAAAATGGGATTTGATAAATTGTATTTATCTGTTCTTCTCTTAATATTTTATCTTTTTAATTGATATTATAATTTTATTTTTGTAATATTATTATCGATAGAGAAATATATTGAGATATTAAATTTCTTAAAGATATTATTAAAAAAAAGGTTTTCTAATTGTTCTACATTATGGTAAAGAAATTGTTATTTTATTATTTATTTTATCGATTTTTTTTCATTATTGCAGTCTATAAATTTATTTTACCTAGAAGTAATTTTTTTTTTTTATCAATATTAAATATAGAGGATATTCGTTGAAGGCCTCGGATTGACTTTAAAGCGCAAAAAAAGTTGATTTTTTTTATTTTAATAAAATTTAATTACTTAATAAATATTTTACTTTAAATAACTAATTTTATTATAATTAAATTCATTTTATTTAATTACTTAATAAAAATAATTCTATAAGAATATTATCAAGAAAATTTATTTCGAATATTTCAGAATCGAACTAAGACAAAATTTTCACAATTTTAATTAATAAGTAGGACAAATTTAAGTTAAATTTCAAACAATAATTAAATTCTACACAATTTAAAATAATTTATCAAATAATTTTAGATAAAATTTTTTAAAAGTAATTGAATTTTCAAAGATTTACAATTTAGTCTTTGAAAATAATTGAACTTCAAGTGATTTTTAATTGAAATTTTTGGTGATTTCTGTTGATATAATTTTAAATAAATAAATAAATAAAGAATTTAGATATTACAAATTTAAAGACAATAATTGAATTTCAAAAGTTTTTAATTGAAAAATTCTTTTAGATAATTTAATTTTCAATGAATATATTATATAAAAATCATTAAAAATAATTGAATTTTGCAATAGTAACAGTTGAAATTTTTAAAAATAAACGATTCTGAAGTACGCATCGTTTATGGTAAACGGTTTTTAAAGAAATAATTTTTTAGAATAAAAAATTCTATAATATTTTGCCTGAAAAATATTTCTTGTAATTTTTATAAATTAACAAATTATATAAAAAATATATAATTTTTTTAGATAAACAATTTTATAATTTTCCGTGTTAAATAAAAATTTATTTCTAATCCTTGATCATAAACATTGCGTACTTCAGCATTGTAGAAATAATTGAATTTTAAAAGATTTTGTTAAATTTCAGACAATAATTAAATTTTACAGAAAAAAATTGAATTTGAAAAGTTTTTAATATTGAAAAATACTTTTAAATAATTGAATTTTTGAAGAATATTATAAAAATCATTGAAAATAATTGAATTTTGGAAGAGTTGTAGTTGAAATTATTAAATCTCAGAAAGCTTTAGATGAAAAATTTTAGAAGATTTTAAATTGAAATTTTTGAAAATAATTGAGTGATTTTGAATTGAAATTATTGGTAATTTTATTTACTGAATTTTTTTTTTAATTTTAAACAATTATTGTTGAATTTCATTAAAATTATTGAAAATAATTAATTTAGAGAAGAATTTTAGTAAAAAATTTGTTAAATAATTAAAATAAAGAAGATCTAAAAATGATCTGCATTGCATACTAAAACAAGGAGGGGGGGTGGGGTCCTTTATGTTTATTTCATAAAAATTTTGCTTCCTCACTGTGTGAAGCAAAAAATTTGCTTCCTCGTGGAGGAAGCTATGAATTTCTCTAATTTAATTGATTGATTTAAAACATTTCCAGTTAAAAACTGATTCAAATTTATTAAATTTTTTTGAAAAATTAAGAAAATTTTAATTCATTTTGGGTGTAACATATACTTTATATACGTACGAATCGATTCGTTTCAGTGCAAGGAATTCAATTATTTTATGTATTAACTAGAATTTAAAAAAACGCAAATTTTTTTTTAACTAAAACATGAATTTTTGATTTTTTAATTTTTATTAATTCTTAAAATTTAAATCAAATCAACATTTTTTAGCTAAAATGTAAAATTGGTGATTTTTTTAACTTTCATTAATTCTTTTAATTTCAATCAAATCTATACTTTATATATACCAATCGATTTGTCTTGATGTAAAGAAGACGATTATATTATATATTACCTTAAATTTTTCTATTTAAATTTTTTTTCAATTAAAAAAAATTTTTTGGAAAAAAGACGATAAATTTTTTTTTTGGTATTTTTAAAAATTCTATCGTCATTTTTGAGAGATTAATGTGATAAATAAGCCTACCAAATTTTATCAAAATCCATTAAAACCTGTTAAAGATATCGTGTTCATAAAAACGATCCACATATACATCCGGACAATTGATCAGGATCTCATATAACATGTTTCTATATAGAGAAAAATTTGTTTTCACAATTTCTAAAAATTTTATAAACGAAAGGACTACAAAAGCTTCCTCCACGAGGAAGCAAAAGACGTATATTTAAAAAAAAAAATGTAAAAAAAAGTCGAAAATGTCGCATCTTATTAAAATAAGTCGGAAAAAAGTCGAATAATCCGAGTCCAGTAAATTTAATATCCATGAAAATTAAAGGGATAAATAAATAATACAATTCATTATACTCTTAAATGATACTTACAACCAGGAGTCTTGCGCCTCCATCTTGGTTGATCAGTCACCTCCATTCCCTCCTCATTTTCTCCATCTTCGTTCTTAACATCACCACCAATTTGTGGAGCAGGAGGTGCTTGAATTGGCTGAGCCTGCTGTTGAACTGGAGGCGTTTGAGGTGGTTGAGCAGCACCAGTTGGAGCTGGTGATTGCTTCAAAATTGGCTTCAATCGTTGAGCTTGTGGAGTTCCAGGAGTAGCAGCAGCAGCGGCTTGTTGCTGCTGTTGTTGTTGTTGCTTCAATTGCTGCTGAAGTTGCTGATGTTGAAGCTGTTGATTAGGCTTGGGTGTTTGTGGTTGTTGTTGCTGCTGCTGCTGTTGTTGTTGTTGTTGCTGCTGCTGCATTCGAGCCTGATTTGCCTGCTGCTGAAGCTGCGTTGGCGGCTGCTGCTGCTGTTGTTGTTGTTGACCCTTAAACTGCTGCACATTTCCGGCTTTAAAGTTGCCCTGCTGATTCACCCGTGTTGTTTGACTTGTTTGGTAATTCCCTTGCTGAGAGAACTATAAAACATAGGGTGGGAACGCCGCTACACAAGGAACCTCGACGGTTGTGCAATCCCACCAAGGCCCAGCATCACGCTTTTTCAACGCTTTTGCCAACGAGACGTTGCCCCCATAGATTACACCAGCCTCATTCCTTTCATTAAACACCGACGTTTTCCAACTACTCGTAACAAATCAGTTTTATTTTTCCTTTTCTTTATCAAATCATTCATTTGATGAAATAAAATTTCAAACAACGACATATTCTGCTCTTGCGAGATAATTTTATTGTGACAATTATTAAACAATTGTCTATCGATCTCAATTCATTTAAATTAAATTTCATTTTAAAATTTGTTTTTTTTTTTTTAATGAAATTTAAAATTGTTGGCGTTAATTTTTTTTTGAAATTTTTCAAGAGAAAGAAAACAAGGCAGAAATGTGTGTTGTTATTCTGATTTTGAAAAATACGATTTTTGGAAAACGAAATTATCAAGGAAATGGCGTGTGGCAAAATTGAATGCTATGAGGGCAACTAGCGAACTTGCCCCTGGCGGTACGCACCTCCTCAGTATTGTTGTATAGCTACTAGTGCCTGCATTGCAGGTAAGGGAAACAGGGACCACTAATTAGTACATGCAAATAGAATTTAACCCTTTCTCTCGCTTTTTTTGTATTTTTTTTTTTTTTTTTTTTTTATAATCAAACTGGAAACCTTCAGTAAATTGGGAATATCCTCTGTTCCCAATGTTGGCTCTAAATAGTATCATCTACGTACTTTCGACAGATGTAGTGATACAAATTTCAAGAGTCTTCTTTGATAACTCACAGTTGCATTGACCATTACTATCAGAAAACAGTATTTTTAAATCTCTCGATGAAACTATATTTTGCAATTTTAAAAATTATTTTATGAAAATAAAAAAAAAATAATTTTTTTTCAGATAAATATATTAAAACTATTTGTTTTGAAATAAGATATTTTAAATTACCATTTTATTTTTTAGTGTAAATTTATTTTAAACTTAATTTAAAAAACAAATTTTTTATTAGTTACAAAAAAATTTTTAAATTGGTAAAATTTTGCTTGAAAATAAATTTAAAAATAAATTTTTCTTTAATTTTATTTTCTAATCAATTTTTGTTAAATTCATCTAATTTTTCTTTCTGTAAATAATTAATTTTTTAAAATTGCAAAATTCAACTTCACATTTCGTTACTTTTAAAAAAAAATTACAAAGCTTCAATTTCGATTTGCCTCTAATTATAAAATTTTTCTTTTAATAATTGTAAAAATATTCTGCACTTTTTAAAATTGAACTAAAAAAAAATTGAAAACTTTATTTTTCATTTTAAATCGTGTATATTCTCGTATTTGATAGCTTTGATAAAGATAAATTTTTAAAAGTAAGAATATAAACGAGCATTCTGTTTCTGGCAACAGTACAAACAGTCGAAGCTTATGAATGACTTCTGAAATTCTAAAAATGATGCTTAAAGGATTATTCATGTGTGATTGGTTTTACTTTTTTTTTTTTAAATAGATTTTTTCGTAAATGGATAATTAATATTACTATTTGTGAATATTGTGTTCATCTCTAGACAAAGTGTGATAGTTCTTCCTTTAACGAAAAGAAAACAAGATACAAAAAATAGAATTATTACAAAAATGAAAAAAAAATGATTTATTTATTAATAAAAAGAGAAATTAAATGAAATTTTGACAATTATTATTATTTTTTTTTTTTAAGAAAACACACAAAAATCATAAAATTATAATGGTTTTTAAAAGCACTGAAAAAAATATTCAGGCCTATTAACGATGCGTATGCGTATTATAACCAAAACTAAACTTTATCACTAATACGTTAAGAGCTGGAAAAATCATATTCTTCTGTTTAATAAAAAAAGAGACAAAAATAACAAATTTTTAAGAAATAAAAAAATACAATTGAAAAATTATTTTTCTTTTATTCTTATAAATAAAAACATTAAGTTTATGATTATCAAACAATTTTTTTTTTTTTAAATAAATTGAAAAGAACTAAATAAAATTTAATTAAAGAGAAGTTATTTGATTCTAACCACAGGTCTCGGATTTATATTAAAAAAAAAAAAAAAAACTCGCGTTACAAAAATATTTTTACATCCAAAAAAATTATAATGTGCAACTATTTATTTTTTTATTTTTTTTGTAAATCGTTTATCATAAACGTTGTGAACTTAACCGATTTACATTATCTTTAGATAAGCAATAAAATAATTAAAATTATCTTTAAATATTTAATCAAATAATGAAAATGATTTTTAAATATTAAATTAAATAATTAAAATGATTTTTGAATATTAAATTAAATAATTAAAAATATTTTTTTAAATATTAAATTAAATTGGAATCATTTTTAAAATTTTTTCTGTAAAATCGAAATTCTCATTTTTTTTTTTTTTTTAATATCAAAAACATTTGAAAAAAATCAGTTTCCGAGCCCTGTAATCATGATTTAAATCATGCCAGTCCTAAATACGTTTTAATTTTTCAAATGGACTTTTTCTTTAAAGACCAATTAAAATCAAATAAGAGTTTAATTTTTGGACAAAATAGACATACCCATTGCTAATAAACTTAAAGATTTCCCCAGTGCATTATCTTAAAAGGCAGATATAATATTTAGAGCCATATTTCACTTTCCTTAAAAATTTGAAAAACAATGGAATAATAATTTTTCTTTTCGTATAAAATGAACGGATATTACTTTTTTTTTTTTAAATTTTTGTCGAATTTGCATTTTATCCTGCAAGATGAATTTTAATCCATTGAATTTTTTTTTTTTCTTAATGAATATAATGTAAAATATCCTTAGAAACTAAGAAAAAAAAAGCAGTAAATTAAAATTAATAATCCACTACTTTCTTTAAGCATCGTTACTGTTTGGTTTCGAAGAGTTTTTTTTTTCTTTTTCTTTCTTTTTCTTATGCGGGTAAATATTAGAAAAATTTTGTCCCTTTGACTTGGCTTTTTATTTTTTGCAATGTACTTTACTCCAAAAAAATTTGGGGAAAATAATTAACACTCCAGGGATACCAAACAAGCAATTTAATTTTAAATCAAAATTAGTTTTCAATATTGAATTTTTTCAATATTGAAAAATTTTTTGATCATTTAAAGATAACATTGAACTGTGGGATTTTGTTTTTAAATACCACTGCTAAAATGTTATCATTATTTTTTTTCTATTAATATCAATATAAATATATAGAAATATTTATGCAAAATAAACATAAATATATATGTATATATATTAGACATAAAATAATATTATTCTATTTAATGGGAAAAAAAAAAAATGACAAAATTTCTCTTACCGAATTCGCATTTTGGTTCTGTTGATTTTGGAAATTCCCCTGCGAATTTGGGGTATTCTGCTGCCGTTGCTGGCCTGCTAAAGAACGAAATTTGAGATAAAAAAATTAAAAAAAACAAATATTCTTTTTTTTCAAAATCGATCGATAAAAATTGAAAAATTGACAATTTTTTTAATATTCCATTTTTAATTTCAAAAATTAAAAAAGGTTTTTAAAAATTTAATTAATGAATTGTAATTAAATTAATTTATTATTATTATTATTATATTAATTATAAATGATTACAAAAATATCTTATGTTTAATTTAATTTACCTAATTTTCTTTTCTTGTTCATATTTCGAAAAAAAAGGCAAATGAAATTCCGAATAAAATAACTTTTTATTCAATTTTCATTTTTAAAACAACAAATAATATATTAAATTAGCTATTACGAAAGAGAATTAAATTTCAATCAATATTTGGCATCCACCCTTCGCAATTGGCGTGACTTGGAAAAAAAAAAAAAAACTAAAGTATTGATTTTCCACAATTTTCCCTTCGGACTAACCCACTTTCATTTAATGGGCAAAAAAAAAAGAAAAAAAGTTTAAAAAACATTCTATCCCCACAGCTTTTTCATACATTTTAATAGCGTCATTGATAATTTTGAAAATTTTTCCCAACGCTAACATTAAAGGGCTATACAAAAAGAAATTTTGATAAATTTTTTCATTAATAAAATTTCCAATTCAATGAAATATATATATTTTTTTTTTCCTTTGAAAAATTCTAAAAAATTAATTTTAAACAAATATGCGACAATTTAAAAAGCGACTTAAAGTAAAGTATTTTTTCTTTAAGCTTGAACTGAAGTTTCTTTCGCCATCTTGAATTGCCGGCGTTATTGATTTTTTTTTTTTTTTTTTTCTGAGATTTTATAACAAAGTAAAAATCCCACTATTAATAAATTGCCGCGAATCATCGATTATTAACTTGTCGCAATAATAAAGAAAAAAAAAATTTTTTTTATAACACTGAATGATATTTAAAAGAAATATTCTTACCATTATTGAAATTTTGATTGCTCTGTCTGCTTCTTGTATACATTTTGCTTGGTGTCGACAGTTTAAAGCCGTTTGCCGTAGCGAAATTCACTTGTAACAATATAATAAAAATAAACACGCTAGTGTTTATATAATCTTTTGTAAAATTTTATGAAAAATGCAATCAAATTTAAATTTGAAAGTTTAAAGTTCCAATGACTTTGGAATTAAAAGGATATTGAAAAAAATCACCAACAGGATTTTAATGGAAGGAGAACAACGCTGTAGTATGCGAATAAGCTATGATGAAAGAGGAGAGGAGGAGGAGAGAAATATTTGACGGAAACCGGAAATTTCGTCATACACTTCAACGAAGATTAACGAAAATCAACGAAAGTAGTGTCGAAATTAAACGAATAGTTACGAAGTAAGAATTTAATAATTACGAAGATGAAATTTCCAGGGAAATATTGCGATAAACATAACCTATAAAAATTGAAAATCAATTACATTAACAATTTCTTTAATTATTAAGATTCTAAACCCTATATTTATGATTAATAATGATAAAAAAAAAAAACAATTCCGATTCAACGGAAACTTAGATTTATTTCTCATTCTTCCTTTCTACTTCCTAAAATTTCCAACATGATCAAAATGTAAAGTAAAATAATGAAAAAAAAGATTAAATTATTTAAAACTATATTTTATTCATAGGGCAAAAATTAAATTCTACTTTTTCTATTAAATTGTGATATATATTTATTTAAAAAAAATTTGAATAATCCAATTGAGAATTGTTGAATGGAAAATTATTACTTCTGTTGTGAAAGTTTCAAAAATTTCTCATTTGGCGGAAAATTTGAAAAAAAAGTTATCGACATAAATATTTATAATAAAATATAAATATTAAGTAAAATAAATAATAATTATTATATTTAAATGTTAGGATTATTAAATAATTGATAAATTGAAAAAACAGTTCACTATAGGTTTATTTATTTAATTAGCACCAACTAATATACCAATGAAACTATCTTCCAACAATAAATATATCATATAATTTATAAAAAAAAAAAAAAAAAGATAATTAACATTATTATAACAACGCGATGTTTACAAACACGAAAATTTGTTCTCAATTCTTTCCCTCATTATATAAAATTATCAATAAATAAATTACAAACGTAATTACCATGTTCTTTATAGAATATTCTCATGTGAAGTCTTTTATCTAAAACAAATTGTGAAAAACCCAAATTTTAAACACTTTAAGAAATTTTTTTCATTAATTTTTTTTTTTTTTTTAAATAAAAGAATGAATAAATTTCTAAATTATTCTAATTAGTTCTAATTAATTTACGAAAAAAAACTCACCTCAAAATATATTGGAATTTTATGCTCTATTTAATTTTTATAAATTGTTGCTAAAAAGCAGATGATAAAATTAATAAAAATATATCCGACATTTAGATATATTTTCAAGATATTCCGTGTTTTTATGTATATTATTATTATTATTATTATTATTATTATTATTATTATTATTATATTTAAAGAATAGAAAATGTCTGAAATAAATAAGATTATCATTGATCTTGCAGCAAAAAAAGTGTCTATGACAATAAATTAAATTGAATTAAAATATTTTTAAAAGGAATAATTGTATTTATCAGTAGTGTTTGTTTTTTTAAGAACTTGTTGAAGAAATTGACTAGTTTCTAATCCAAATTCGTCAAGTGGCAATCGAGACATTGCTGCTATCCTATAAATAATTAGTAAATATTCAATACCGAAACAATGGAAAATATAAATTAATTATATCTAGATTTATTTTTATTTCAATTATTTATGAAGAATAAAAAATATTATTGCTGATCCACAATCCAAAAAAAAAATTGAAGATCTTTTAATATTATTGTAGAAAATTTTCAAAAAAAAAAAAAAAACATACCTTCCTCCTGATATGTTTATTAAGAACTTCCAATATGAAGATCTTAAATTTTGTGGTTCAACTATTGCTGCGTGAAAGAGAACAGCAGTGCTAAAACAGTACAAAAATATAGCGAACCATTTAACTTCAGGTACTTTTCCTTTTTCTACTCCATCGTTCCATAGAATCTGTAAAAAAAATATATATATCATATTGAAACTTATGAAAATTTCCAATTTACTATAGAATTTCTATTTAATAATATAGCGAAATTGATTTTTCTTTAAAACGAATTTTCATTTTAATAAATTTAAAAAAATCAATTTTTTATTTGATTCATTGATTTTTTGACCTTAAAATAACATTTAGGTGAATTTTAAATTAATCGAACATTCATTAAAGAAAATATTTCATTTAGTTGAAAATTTACTAATAACAATTTTTTTTTAATAATTTATGATTTGTCAATTTAGAAATATCTCAAATAAAGAGAATAGAAGATTCTACCAATTTTATTTTTGAACAAGAAATAAAAGAAAAATTTGTATTTTGAATCGAAAAATTAAAGAATTCTAAATTAAATATAAACTTTAAATTTATATTATTCTTTAGAAATTATAAACAAAACATTCTTGTAACAATAAAAATAATTTCAATTCATTAAAAATACAATTATTTGGTAAAATTTAATACATTTTTTTAAAACAAATAATTGTCAAAATTCAATTATTTAACAAATTCATTTACATTGCATTTCTAAAATTCAAAGAATTTAATTATATTTAAAAACTAAATTATATATTGTCAAAATTAAATTACTTTATAATTTAGAATTATTTTTTAATCTATTTTTTTTTTGTAAATTACATTATTTTCATATTTAATTATTTTGTTATTTGAATTATATAAGGAGATTCTTTGCGCTACTTCGATCGTACTTTTCAATAATTTTATCTATATTTTTAAATTTTACTTATTTAAAAATTACATTTTTTTGATAATTTAATGATTTTTAAATTCAATTATTTATTAAAATTCAATTGTTTCAAGTTTCATTTGTTTTTAAAATCTCAATTCTTTAAAATTTAATGATTGTAATGGTTAAATACAATTACTTTACAATTTAATTATTTTTCAATAAACTTTTTTGGTAAATTCCATTATTTTCACATTTAATTATTTTTTTGTGAATTCAATTGGAAATTCTTCGTTCGACATCGATCGTATTTTTGAATTTATTTCATAAATTAGATTTATTACTATAATTTACGCAATATTGTTTATTCTTATGATTAAGATATTATATCTTCAATCATTTCTAAACAAAATATTTTATTATTAAATTATAGATAAGCTATATAATTATAGATAATATTATTAATTACAGATAATTATAGTATATTTTATAATATCTAATTATAGATATAATTTAATTATTTTATTTATTGAAATTTATTTATGTTTTCGCAATCTAAATCGCGATGTTGTAAAATTTTTTTCACCTTTTTTTTCAATGTCAAATAATAACAAAAATAATTAAATTTACAGAATAATTTAGTATGAAAATAACTGAAATTTATGTAAAAAATTAATTTAAAAAACATATATATTTAAATTTAAAGATATAATTAAATTTAAAAAATTTGTTAAACTTTTTTTCTAAAAATATATTGTATTTTTAATGTAACAAACTTTGCTTTAAATTAAAAAAAAAAAAAATTACCTGTAATGCTTTCCACATAACATAAAGAGCGGCCGTGATATCTGGATAAATGACAAAACTAATGCTTGCAATTAATGCTGCAGGAATAGCATGACTTGGTGAATCGTAACCAAAAGATCTTCTCAACAAACATGACATCAACTGAAATTATTATTTTCATTTTGTTAATTAATATATTTTTATTTAAAACAATTTTTTAAAAATGTAATTTTTAAAAAAAAATTTTTGTAAAAATGTATTTTTTTCTATAAAATAATTTTTTCTTCATTAAAAATATTATGATAAATATATTATTTTTTTTTAAAACTATTTTTATGTTACGTTAGTTAAAAAAAAAATACAGTAAATATTTACCCTAAAAATGCCTGAGAATCCACTAAGAAATATGGGTAATTTTAAATTTTCCCTCTTGAAAACAATGTTCTTCAATAATTTTGGCCTTCGCATTAATTGTCCAAGTTTGAAAACTAATTTAAGTGCTAATTGAGCGCCTAATCCATAACTAAATAATTTCATACTCCCCTGTTATTAAAATTGGAAAATTATCATATTTTTAATTAAAATTAAAATCAATATTTTCACATGAATATTATTTCCAAAGGTATATTACATACCGTTAGAATATAATGTACACAACTGTTGGAATGTGGACAGGATATATGCTTACTTTGTGACTTAATTTTTTCTATTAGACATTTATATACATTAAGAGCTTTCATTAGAATGCTAAAAAACCCATGATTTTGTACTCTCGATATTTTCTTTATATTTTCATTAGATGAACTTTTTTTCAATTCATCATTCATTTCTATTTGATTAATTTCTAATTGTTGTTTTTCTCTAAAAAATTTCTCATCCTCATATTGTCCGACTAAAATTCTATTTTTGATAAAAAAAAAAAAGAAAAACCCCCGTTAAATTAGTATATTTTAATTTATATTAATTTTTAGACATTTATAATAAATACAGAAAGAATAATAGAAACGATTTTTTAAATGTTTGTTAAATTTTTGATTTTTTTTTTTTTTTTTTGAAAATTTTGTTTGAAATTAAATAAAGGAAAGTTTATAATAAATTTAACAAACAAAAAAACTAAATACTTTAATTAATTTTACAATTTTTGTTTCTTTTAATCAGAAAATAAATTTGAGAAATATAAATAATAGATGTGTACATACCTAATTATCCTAAATACTGAATCCTGTTTGATTTCTTTGCTACGATAGTAATAAAGTAAAACTGTCATACTCATGGCAAATATATAAACTTGACCATAAGAAATTGGTGAAATATATCCTCTCCAAACAGCCATTCTGAACAATGTTTCTGTAGCCTAAAAATATTTATATGAAATAAAAATTATAATTATTAAGAAATAATTCTTCATTCAATTAAATTCTATTCCTTAAATCCTCAAAGTTTTTATAATTGTATAAAAATTTAAAATTTCTTGTCTCAATTTAATGATTTTTTATAAATTATTTTCAAAAATAAATCGATTTATTTAATTTTTACAATTATTTACATAATTTTATAAATATTATCAATATTATTAATTATGTATATATTCTTTTTTTAATTAAAATTTAAATTAAATTTTTTCTTTCAGAACTTAAAAAGGATTTTTTTTTGAATAATTATATTTTTTTAAAATGTAAATAAACCTACTATATTGGAAACATAAAGACTCAATAACGGTCTCCTAGAAGGACGTTCTAAAATAATTGCAGCAAAACTAGATAAAAATGATGGAATAAATGACACCGTCAATACATTAAAGTCACCTAGAATCCGTCTGAAATATTAAAATCATTATTACACAAGTTTTTTTTTTGATTAATTTTACATTGTATTTCATTAACATCAGGATATTTCAGTTTTATAATTATTGAATAAATAATAAAAATAATTTTATCTTTAACATAAATTAAAGAATTATAAATTAAAAGTAATCAATTTACTTTTATTTGTCAAAATAAAATAATTTATAATTTTAATTTAATTTAATTTAATTTAATTTATATTTATATATATTTATAATTTATATTATATTTATATTTAATTTAATTTATTTTTAGTTTTTCTCCTAATTAACAATTTTATGTTTTTAAAATAAACAAAATGTCCCTCTTTTAACATGCACATAAATTATATATAAAAATTAATTAAATTACGAATAATACATACAAAATTACTATGATTGTGTCATAATTATTTAATTAACAAAAATTATATAGAGAAAATAAAACTTTTAGAATACGTCTAAATTAATTATTATTCAAATTTATTTTATTTTTTATTTTTTTGTAAATGTTAAACTTTCACATATCAGACAATTTTTTTTATTAAATCACTGAATTAATTTACATCTAATTATAAATTTAAAAATAAAATGCAATTGAATATCGACGAATTTGTGAAAAGTTTTAAAAAGTAAATTTTTATTTTTAAACAATAAAACAATATAATATACAAAACCGCAACAAAACCAACTTTGAATACAATGGTTGTTTTAAAATAATAATAATTATTATTATTACATAATAATAATATTAATAATAATATTAATAATAATAATAATTTTGCATCCGTGGAGTAATAAATAATTAATATGTATATTTCTAATTTTCACGTTATCATTTATTTATACACAGAGAAAAATCAGTTTGATTTTATATATAAATAGTGATTTTTTTAGTTAAGGCAGCTCATAATTAGTTAATACAGTTAATTAGTTAATTTAGCTAAGTTAATTTTTAAATTTAATAAACTTGTAAAACTATTAGTTCGATTGTTAATGGTAACAACAATGAAAACCCAAGAAAAAAACCTATCGAAAAAGTGATGATAAGAAAAACATAAATTAAAACCAATAGTTACAATTGGCGGTGTAAATCTTGATAAATCAATTCTAAAAGAAATTTTAAAATATAAATATTAAAATTATTTTAGAAATAAATATTTTTGATATAAAGTCAATGTTTAATGATTTTTTTATAATCTTTAAAATTACAAAAAAATTAGTTTTGCTAAATATTTTTTTGTTTTTTCTATAAATATTTCATTGCAAATGGAAATTTTTAATTTATGTTTTTTTTTCAAAAAAATTTAATTAATTGATAATTAATAAAAATTAATTATGTAGGTATAATCAAAAAGAAAATTAAATTAACTGAAAATTATTAATTATATTTTAAAAAGTATTGAGCAATTTAAAAAATAATAAAAAATTTTGAAAAAATAAAATCTAAAAAAAACTTTGTAATGTTTTAAACTTTAAATTTATAAATTAAAAATTTAAAACAAATTGAAATTTTTTTTAAAAAAGCAAACAATTTATTTTTATATCAAAAAGAATTTTTTTTGTTTTTTTTTTAATACAAAATGTAAACAGATAAAAAAAACATAACAATTTAATAATTAATAATAAAAATAAATTAATAATACCTAATAAATTTATAAATAATAATGAATAATGATAAAAAAATAATAATTATAAGTTAAAATGTTATAATTATCTGTAATAATGATTATATTAAAAAAAATCATATATAATATAATAAATTTATAAATAATAATAAAAATTATATTATAATAATTGAAAATTTTTTTCCTATAAATATCAAATAAGAAATATACTGGTGCTGCACACAATAAACAATATTTTTTTTTTAAACTATCACTTAATTAATGACGATGAATAAAAATATCCGTCGCGTTAACCATAAAATATTACAAAATCAAGAATTGTCAAAAGTTTAGAAAAACAAAAAGGACAAAAAAATGACTAACTTCAAGTGTGGACGGAATGAATAAATGAATGAATACGGAAATTATTATATAAAATAATAATAATAATACGGAAATTATTATATATAATAATAATAATAGTAAACAAAAAAATGAATATTTACCTCAAAGTACAGATAAACATAGAAAACGTAAATGCACTACATGATAAAAAGGCCGTGGATTGTAAAATACTCTTCAATGTAATTTTAATATCCTTTTTTGAAGGTACTTTTCCTTTTAATAAGAGTGTGATCTAAAAACCAAAAGATATTTTAAATTTATTATTACCTTAACGGTAATGCCTAATAAAATTCCAGTAACTTAAACAAAAATAAATATTAATTAAAAATTGTTTATCAGTTAAATTTTAACATCGGTAAAGTTCATAACGTTTATAATCAATAATATTTTTAAAAAAAATATATATATATACATTTTTTACGTAAAAAAATAATATTTTTGTCCTAGAAATTTTTCTTTTATTTATTTCTTTCATAAGTATTAAATAATTATTTGCGTCAATTAAATGGTATTTGTTTCAAATACAAAAATTATTGATTCAAATAAAAATTATTTGGTTCAAAAGAAAATATTTATTTAATAATTAGTCAAGTTAAGCTATGATTTGATTTTTTTTTTTTTTTTTTCATTGATAATAATAGAAAAAATTATTATCATTATTAGAATCACATTTTGTACTTGTATATACATTATACTTACAAAATAAACAGTAGCGTAAATTCGAAAACTCTCTTGAAGAGCATGAAGACCTAGACCAGCTGTTGCACTAATACATGAATCTTGCCAAGGATGTACATAATCTTTACAAGAAGCTGCGATATTAAATTTACTCAACTTTGCAGGCATTTTACAAAATATAATTAACAACGTCAAAACAAAAATAAAAAATTGACAAATCTTATTCCCCACAAAGATTTATTATTAACTCGTTACTAATTTATAAACTTTAATAATTCCACTTTTTTTTCACTATATTTCGTCACTTACTTAATAAAACATTTTTATCGAAGTGCAAAGTGCAATTTATCAATATCGTAAATTGACATTATATAATTTTTTTTTTTTTACTAAGATCCTAATATGAATAAAATTTATTATTCATTTGAAGAAAATAAATAATCTAATTTTAGGTTATAAAACTTATTTATGATGATAATAACAGAGTAAGAATCTAAAAAATTGAAATGAAAAAATTTGTCAACACGGAATGTTTTTACAGAACTGTCATTATCTTCTTCACGTTGTCTTTATATCTCCATATATGTATTGTTTATTAAGTTATTATTGTTTGTATGTGAATTCATTTTACAAGATGGCGAATTTCAACCAATCAGTGATTAGAGTGAAATTAGTCAATAAAGAATAACGAAAATTCATTGGTTAATTGAGTGAATATTTCACTTGGGATTTAATTATAATAACCAATAGTAGGTTTTTAAAATATATGTATTTTAAAAATAATATTGTATTTTCACATGGATTATATACACAAACGCAAGTTTAATTTGTTGTGTCGAAAAAGTTCACAGGAATAAGTTATTTTGTTGATTCATGATTTTATTTAAATAAGAAGAAAAGAAATTATGTCGTTTTTAATAAAAACAGCGTTTCAAGAAGTTGCAAATTTTATAAAACCAGCAACTAATCTACAAGGTTTGTTTCATTTTGAGGTTATGATTATATTATAATTTTTCGGTATATTATAGAAAATTTACATTAACAAAACATTTTTTTTTGTGTTATATTAATTAGGATAATTGTAATTTCACTTTTTTTTATATTACATTTACAGTAACGGTTCGACATAAAGCGCGAAAAGTAATGGCAAACGCAAATCCTGGAGGAAATGCTGTTGCAAAACATAGAGGAATTAAAAGACAGGATGGATCTTATGCTTATTCTGGAACTATATTGGCAACGCAAAGAAAAACAAGATTTCATCCTGGTCTAAACGTAACAAATTTTTCTCTATTATTTTTTTAAAATACTCTTTCTTTTTACGATTCGATTAATTTGCAGATGTTATATTTGAAAAATCATTAAATTTACAAATGTTTTTTTTTTTACTATTTTCATTGATTTAAGCTCGGGAATGTTGAAAAAATAATTTATTAGTTAAATAAATAATTTTTTTTCAACACTCGTGAGCTTATATTAATTTAGAGGACACAAAATAGAATCCAAAATCAATTTTATCCAAATTTTAATTCATTCAAATTTCTCAATTTAATTAAATTTTATTCGATTTAAATTTCAATTGAATCTTTTTTTAATTTAACTTTAAATCAATTCTAATTTTTATTATTTTATTGATCAAAACCAATTAATAAATTAAAATTCCTAATTAATTATTAAATCATTAATACTTTGTAATTTTTGATAATTAAATTTTGAATAAATTGAAACTTAAATCAATCACAATTTGGATAAATTAAAATTCTGATATTTTAAAGTTTAATAAATTAAAATTTAGATAAATGAAAAATCGGATAAATTAAATGTTAAATAAATTAAAATTTTGATCAATTAAAATTCGTATAATTTGAAACTTAAAATAATTGAAAATAGAATAATTTTAAAGTTAAATCAATTAAAATTTGAATGAATTTAAATTCAGATAATTTGAAACTTAAATCATTTGAAATTTGAATAATTAAATTAATCAAAAATTTGTATGAATTTTAAATTCGGATAATTTGAAACTTAAATGAATTAAAATTTGGTTTAATTAAAATTTTTGATAATTTGAAATTTAATTCCATTGATGTTTGGATAATTTGAAACTTAAATTAATGAAAATTTGGGTAATTTGAAACTTAAATTAATTAAATATTCAAATTGAAATTCAGATAATATAAAATTTAAATAAATTAAAATTCGGATAATTTAAAAAGTGAAATTAAAGAAGTTAAAAATTTTCATAAATTGAAATTCTGATAATTTGAAAATTAAATGAATTAAAATTAGAATAATTAAAAACTTAAAGAAATTGAATTTTTGGATAATTTTAAACTTTTAAATTAATTAAAATTCTGATAATAAAAAACTTAAATCAATAAAAAAATGCAGATAATTTGAAACTGAAATCGATTAATCTTTGCATAAATTTTGAAATTTTGTTAATTTTATAAATTTCGTTCGATTAAATTTGCATTTGATTATAATTTTAATTAATAAATTTATTTTTGACAGCAAAAAAAAAAAAAATTAGAAATGATTAAAAGTTGTATTACTTGAAATTTGTATCAATTAAAATTTTAAATTGAATAAAATTTAATTTAATTTAAATTCAAAAGAAATAAAAATTTGAATAGATTAAAATTTTTGATATATTAGATTTGATTTATTAAATAATAAAATAATTAAGAAAAATTTATTACTTTTATTTAGGTTGGAATAGCCCATAATGGAACATTATTTGCTATGGAACCTGGAAGAGTTGTAATAACATGTGAAGAAATTGATCCTGATTTTAAAAATTCTTTTGTAAGAAAAAATTATACAGGTCGTGAGGGTCATTTAATTTATAAAAAACATTTTAATATCATTCCCCATAAACAACACGATCGTTTTGTAATTAAAGATACAATTTAATTATTTATCATTATTATTTGTAAAAAGTAAAAATAGATTATAAATTTTAATAAAGTTTAAAAACAAAAAAATCTTATTTAAAATGCATTTGATTCGGCCCATTGAAAAGATTGATATTCAATTTTATCATTTTCTTCAGAAAAACTTGCAAAAACTTGAGTTTTTCTAACACTCGATCCTATTCGACAAATACTAACAAGTTCATTAACAGACAATACATCCGTTTTTTCTTTACAATGAATTATAAATTGTGAATGAAACATAATTGGATCACCTGAAACAATTTTAGAAATAAATTTCAAAATTAATAAATAACAAAAGAGACATTTAAAATATATGAGAAAAATAAAGATATTTTTTCTACCTGGATATGCGAGAAAATCACTTCCAAATTTAACACCACTGGTAATGTAAAAATTTTTTTCCCATAAATCTTTAAATACATTATAACGAAGTTTTTCTTCTTGTGTATTTGGATAATTCCAATCAACATCTTTAGCGTCTTCTTCTGTTGCCCATGGATATTCTATAAATGAATTTTAGAATTTCTTTTTTCCATTTTCATGAAAATTAGGAAATATTAATTTTTTTTTAAATAAAAATAAACAATAACCTGTATGTGTTTGAATAAGAGCATCTTCTTTTTTTAATTTTGGTAATTTTGCCATTTCTTTATCGAATAATTTTTGCCTATCAATTTCAATGGTTTCTAATTTCTTTTTAGTTTCCTCATCCAAAGGTTTTCTCATTTTTTTCTTTGATGTTTCTACTCCTAAAATTTTTCGCCGTTTACCTTCGACAATTTTATCCATCATGCATATGACCTATTGTAAAATAAAATAAAATTTAATAACGCCTTATTGGAGAAATGGTTTTTTTTATCTCTTTAATTAAATTTTATATAGAACTTTTTTATTAAATTTTAGATTTAGAAATTTTGGTTTTGAAATTAAGTAATTAGAAATTTGAATTTACATAAAATTGAATTCTAAAAGAAATCATTTGAATTATTTAATTAATTATTATAAAAAACCTGTTTTTCTTTTTCTTTTCTAAGGCATACTTCCTGCTCCAAAAATAATTTTTCCCTAAATTCTAAAAATAATTTTTCTAAATCATCACTTGGTTTTTGTTTCATACAAGGATAATGAACTAAACGTGCAACTCCTTTGTCCATTAATAATTTTGCTTCCTCAGGAAGTAACGAGAGAGGAAGACCGGACAAAATATTTTGCCTCGGTAACTTTGGTAAACATCCTATTAAATCGCCAATTATTCTATAATCTTGTCGTAATTTTAACCAATCTAAAGAAAAGAAAAAAAAATCACTAATAGTTTAATTCCTATTTTGAATTATTTCATAAACTTCAAAACATGTTTGAATTTGTTATCAATTTAAAATATAAAAAAATATTTGCAATCCTAACCTACAAATTTTTTCATTTTTTTTTATTTAAAAAAAGATACATCTAGTAAAATTAGGATTAAAAAAATATATTTTAATAAAAACTAAAACATTACTAACATAATATTCGAAAATTTAAGTTTTATATTCATTTGTTTAAAGTTTATTATTTACCATTTGCATTCCATACGAGAATATTGTCGTTTGAAAAAGCCAATTTAATGGGATTTGACATATTATTCTAATATTTAAAATTACAAAATTTTCTATACCACTGTAAAAGATTAAATAAAAACTAAATAACTTTTAACACAACAATTTATTTAAAAATGTTTGTTTACTTTCTGATCATGATTTTAAAATTGTTTTAAAATTTTAATATTCGATCTTTTCTGCGCATGTCATGATTTTTATTTTTTATCTTAAGGTTGTGAAGCGAGCTTAAACCATAGGGAATATTCCAAATGTTGCATTTCTGTACTTGGCCGATTTCGGACATTTCATTTATTTGTCCAACGTACACTTTTTTAACGTTGGCTACACTGAAGTTCGGGAAGTTTGTTTGTACTTTTTGTTTATGTTATAAAAATCAGTTAAAATTTTAGTATTATTATTCTTACGGTGTTTTTTTCAAATTCAAATGAAATGAAAAATAATCAAAAATTTTTCTGTTTTTTCATTTCCTGTTTTTAAAAATTGCTTCTTACAAGAATCAAAATAAATTGAATCAATTTTTCGAAGCACAAAAAAATTGATTTTTCCCTCCATTTTTTTTAAAAAAGAGAAAATCTATCACTTCGTTAATTTACAAAAATAATAATGGAAGAACAAATTTTAAAACTTCAAAATTATTATAAATATAATAATTAATTTAAATAAATTAAAGAAAAAAAATATTAACATTCTTTAATATGATTCAAAAATAAAATCCAAAAACTATTTCCGATTTTGTAAATGAATTTTATTAAAGCATAAAAAATAAAAATATTACAATCTCACAGAGACCATTAAATCAATCATTTATATCGCGACATTTAAAATTATTTATCAAATCAAAAAGAATATTTAACGTGACAAACAATTTTTTGGAATATTTTCAAAAATAAACAGAAAAAAATATATATTAGCATCGTAGAATTTTTTTCTTTTTTTCTTCTTTTTCTTTTTTTTTTTTTTTGCTAAACAAACAAATAAAAAATACAGGGTTTCCACAAGAATAAAAACAAATTTTATTGAGGCATTATTGGTTAAAAATTTTTCTAAATTGAATTTTGAATTTTAAATTTAAATTAATTAAAATTTTGAAAAATTGAAATTCGGATAATTTGTTTTGTTAATTTTATAAGTTTTTATCGATTGAATTTGCAGTTAATAAATATTTTTTAATTAATAAATTTGTTTTGATCAATAAAAATTAGAATTAATTGAAAATTGTATCACTTGAAATTTGTATTGATTAAAATTTGAATGGAAAATAATTTAAATTAAATTGAAATTTCGATAAAATAAAATTTAAACAGATTTAAATTTTGGAAACTAATTTAAATTTAGATTTATTGAAATTTGTCCGAAAAATTTTCTAATAAATTTATTCAATTTCCCAAATTTTCTGAGACAAAAATGTTTTTTTCTGACTTCCCTGACAAAAAAATAAAATAAAAATTTCCCTGACTTGTGGCTACCCTGATTTAAAATATCAACAAACAAAAAAATTGTGAAAGTAACATGAAAGATGACATTTTTTATAAATCATCTATTTCAATTTCCTCCGTTGAATTATCATCGTCAGAATAATCTATGAATTCATCAACAACAAATGTAGGATCATCATCGTCGTCACTGTCATCAACCTCATCGTCTTCATCGTCGTCGTCGCCCAAATTCATTAAAATACCTTGATTCACTCGATTAAAACAACTGGAATTGGGATTACGATAATGTTGATATGGATCACGTGGATCCAATCTTGTACTGCATAGCCAACAGAAAAATGTATTACAATGTCCACAAGCCATTTTATTACATCCATCAGATTTCTGGAAAAAAAATTAGAAAATAATCCATTAAATTCGTAGATTTTTAATAATTACGAAAATTAGAATTTAGTTACAGAATAAAAATTAAAAAAAAGAATAGGATTACTTTATAATATTACATAAGATTATTTTTCCATTTGTTGGAATAATTTTTAATAAAAATTAAAATTGATTCGAAAATTTGCGAGTTTCAAACCAAAAAAAAAAAATTAACATATTTTTACCTCAATAGCAACTTTACAGTGGGGGCAATTTTTACTATTATTAGTTATCCAATTTTCCGACATGGTATTATCAATCATAAGTTGCAATTGCTTTTTCCCGTATCGTTTCTCCAATTGAAGTTTACCCTCCGGTGAAGCATTTTTGTATTCTTTCATTAAACTTTGCTTGTCAGCTGCAACAAAAAATAAAGAAAATTTTTACATTTTCAAAATTCTAAATCAAAAGTTTCAAAAATCTATTTCATAATTTAAAGTAATCATTGATTAAACAGAAAATTGTTTAATTTTTTTTTTGTAATTGAAAATTTTTGCATTATTATATTTTTATAAATACTTGTATTTTCAATTATACTGAATATATTTAAAATCTAAAAGATGAATGAGAATTATATTTGACAGAAATTATTTAAAGATAAACGTAAAAAAAAAATGATAATGTATACCTGAATTCATTTTACAGGGTTCAATTCCATGATAGACCATTTTACAAAATAGACAAAAGGCATATTGACAGGATGGACATGTGGCGAATACTTCGTTGACTTCACGGCTCACAGGATATTGGCAGTGACGTCGTGGACAATAAACAATGTCTGACATTGTACTTAATGTTGCACTGAGTAAAATTGAATCATATTTGCTAAACAATTCAGGACTCACTAAATCCTTTATCTAATAAAGTAAGAAAATTACAATTTTTAAATAAGTTAATTTTTTGAAACTAAATTAATTTCTAAATATAAATTTTACTATACTAATAAGGTAAAAAATTAAAAATTATAAATACAAAACAATTTTTTTTTATAAGCTTTTTTTATCTTAATGATATTTCACGGCGCATGATTATCCAATAAAAATCATTAATTAGAATTTTCATTTTAAACAATTTTATTAGAAATAATTAATTTTTAGAAAAATTTTCATTTTTTTAATTAGCATTTGACAAAATTTCTTTTTATACGAATTTTTACTTAACAAAATTTTTAGCTACCGAATTTTTATTTTATAGTCATTTAATTTACATGACTTTATGTAAAAGAATTTTAGTTTATGCGAATTTTAATTTAACAGAATTCTCATTTAATCGAATTTTAGATGAATTAAATTTTTAAATGACAAAAATTTCAAATTTGTCCGAATTTTTATTTTTACGTATTTTTAATTGATAGAATTTTGAAGACGCCGATTTTTCACTTGTCCGAAATTAGAAATGACCAAACAAAAGAATCTCAACAGTAAGATATCGGGTGCAATTTTTAAAATTGACCAATCGCGATTTTCTTGATAATTTCTAATTTGGTCAATTTAAAAAATTGTAAATTGTAAAATAAAAATTCGGAGTGTCTTTAAAATTCTATCAATTAAAAATTTGTATAAAAATAAAAATTCAGACAAATTAAAATTTGATAAATTGGAATTTCTGTTATTTAAAAATTCAAATCACATAAAATTCGATTCAATGAAAATTCTATTAAATTAAAATTCTTTTATAAATAAAAAATCATGTAGAGAAAATAACTGTAAAATAAAAATTCTGCCATAAACAAAAATTCGATAGCTAAAAATTTTATTATGTAAAAATTTGTATTAAAAGAAAATCTGTTAAATTTTCATTAGAAAATTTGAAAAATTCGTTTAAAAAATCATTATTTCGAATAAAATATTTTAAAATAAAAATTCTAATCAATAATTTTTATGGGAAATTTATGCGCCACGAAATTTCTTACAAAATTTATTAATCAATAAATTATATTTAAAAAAAAAAACATTTTCTAGATATAAAATTTTGTAATTTACAAAATTTGAAAATATTTTTTATAAAATTTGATATTTATTTTTCTTTCCGTGTATTAATTTTACTTTTATTTGCTTCTTTTTTTTTAAATATTCGCAAAATGAAAAAAATTTTAATTTTTGAAAATTAAAAAAAAATCTAAAATAAATAATAAAACTCACTTGACCGGGTGTTGCTTCCGATGTGCATTTATCTTCAGGACAAGATATATCCTGAACTGCACCATCCTTGATTCTAACTTCCAAATATCCAACAATACAATCTTTACAAAATACATGTGAACAAGGAATAAATTGTGTACAATCAATTCCCAATTTATCGGAAAAACAAATTTTACATGTATAAAAATTTCTTTTAAATTCTATTTCATTTCGCATTTCATTATAATCAATTAACATTTGGACTGGATTACTACTAACTGGTCGATCAAACACTGCTCTTTTATCAAATGAATTTTTATTATTTTTTTGTCTCTTATTTTTTTTCTTTGAAAAATGTTGATGATGATGATTCTTTGTATTTGTCATCTCATTTCGATGTCGAACATCAACACTTGATTTTTTCAGAATATTAGATGCACACATTGTTAATTCAGGTTGTATTTGATTTTCTAATGCTATTTTGTACCGTGTATAAGTTTGATTGATATTTAAATTTTCTTTAAGATTTAAAAATTCCAATGTCTCATTTTGAAGGAATGCAAACCATGTGAAAAGTATTTCAACACCCTCTGTTTCTTTCCATAATTGATCTAATTTACGACAAAGTCTCGATAAAAGTGGTGGTCTTAGCCATGATGATATTAATGTGAAATTTGGAGGTGATAATGATGGATAATTATTTGGTAATGTCACTAAAACAGTTATTGGTGGAAGATGTGAAATTTGAACTTTCGTTGATTCTTCATCAATTTGACGAATGTCTTTATAGGAAAAATAAAAATCTCCCGATAGATTTAAAAATATTTTTAAAGTACATTCATATTCATTGTTTTCATGTTTATAAGAAAATTCTTCACTATTATAAATACTTTCCAATGCTGTGAGTTCATCTTTTTGCTTTTCATTATCCATTAGACTGGAAATAATAAATTTTATTTTTCCAAAAATATTCTCCAATGTTCTAGAAAAATTTTATTTTCTTTTTCCATTGCGCAATAATTAAATGTTATTTAAAATAAAATAGAATAATTAATAATAACAACATTTAAATTTTATATATATTTTGCAAATAAAAACTGACAAGGCCAATGATGTAACATTGAAAAAATAAAATTATATATCTTAATATTAAAATATTGTCATAATAAATTTATTATTTCTTATCAAAAATCATGTTTCAAAGAAAAATACTAGAATAAAACAATAATAAATAATATACATAAATTTTCTATAGAAAAGAAAATTTATATATTAATATATATTTTTTTTTAGGTTATGTTTGCACAGGAGGAAAGAGAATATTTATGTAACAAATTAAACAAACAAATTTTAAATATAAATTTCTTTGCAATTTGTAGAAAGATATTTAAATAAGTAAAATATAATTAAAAAATTGACAAACCTTTTAGAAAAATACTATTTTTATTTTGGTGTTTTAACGGTTAAGAATCTTTAAAACGTTGTGACGGTGATGTCAATGTCAGTGACGTATCTACAATTTTACGTTTGTATATTTATATATACGTGAATCGAATACGTGTGTGTAGGAAATATTAGTCAGCTGTCAATATTATACAAACGTGTATAAATATTTTTTCGTTAATATTCGCTAAAATTTTAACAAATCAATTGAGTCATTAAATACGCGAGTGATTAACTACAATAATGAATGATTAGATTAATTATATATATATTAAAAGTATACATACAATAGGAAAAATTATATTCTGCTGATATGAGAGAGATAAAGACTGCAATCTTCATCACTCTACAATATTGAATGTCAATTTTTTTTTTTTTTTTTATTTTTGTCTGCACTTGAATCATATATAATGCAGATATAAAATTTAGTTAATTACTTCTGATTTCATAATATTCTGGAAATGCGTCTAATTATTTGTCGTTAAAAATACATAATAGTACAATTTTATTTCTCATTTTTTTTTTGCAAAATTTCGTTTTTAAATCTAATGAAGAGAATATGAGATGAAGTGAAATTCAAATGTTTTATTTTAAACTCTACTAACATTTTTATCAGGTAATTCCTTTAAAATTGAATAATAACCGCTTCGATGATAAAACAAAAAAATTAGGTTATGTTTCACGAAACAAAAAAATTATTTTGGATCACTTTTTTAATATTATTAATTGTGTTCGACTGCAGTACCTTTTATTGCGTTCTTTGAATAATTATAATTTTCAAAAGATTTTCTTTTAAATTCCCGAATTTGATAAAAAAAAGATAATTAAGATATAAGAACAAAAGAAAGTATAAATAATAAAATTCTTGAAATTTTTTTAATTTACAATAATAAATTTAATATTTATTAAAGTTCTAAACGTCTAAATGAATTAAAAAAAAATTGTGATTATTACTTTTTTTAACTTCAAATATTACTTTCTGTACTCAAAAAATAAATTAATAATTTATTAAATTAAATTGTAATTTTTTTATTTTTCATTGCTGTAGTAGTTTAAAAAAAAAAAAATATTTCGTTCATTTGAATATTCAGAATTTTAAGGTACATATTTTTCTTTTTAGCCTGAAGGTGTAAAATTTTGGTTGATTTTAATTAATAATTTGAAGAAAACAAAAAAAAAAAAAAAAAAATGCCGAACACATACTTGTATGCAATTAATAATGAAGGACGAGTTTTTGGTTTATCGACAAGTGGAAATATGTGGAGAGAATTTATGTATTTGGGCTTGGAATTTAAACAATTATCGGCGGTGCCACATTTTATGTGGGCTATTGGCGGTGATCGACAAGTTTACGTTCACGTTCATGGTTTAGATTTTCCCATAAGAATCAAAGAGGAAACTTACGAAAATGAGGTTCATTTATTGCAAATATTAATTTTTTTTTTTTTAAATATTCGAAAGAGAAAAAATTTTTTAAATTACTCAAGGGAGAAAAAAAGAACAAAGATAATCAAATTTTCATTCTATGAACAAAAAATATTAAATAGTAAATTAAGAAATGTTTATTCTTTTTTTGATATTTTATAAAATTTCATTATTGAATTATTAATATTTAACTGTGAAAAAATTTAATTTTTAATTTTTCGTTTTCTAATTAGAATTTATTTTATGATTTTGTTTAATTTTTATTGTTTGGAAATCAGTTTTTTGTTTTTTTTTTTTTTTTTTGAAGAAAAAAAATAGTATTTCTTTATAAAATTCGTTAATTCTTTTTAGCGTTGGCTGCCTTTGGAGGGATTCAGTTGCCGATTATTACCAACTGATAGGTTCAATTTTTCAAATCATGATGGAACTGTCGATCGTAGTCGTGATAAAGTTAAATTGCCATCAATGGCTTGGCAATGGGAAGGAGATTGGCAAATTGAAACAACTTTGGAGGGACAGCCTCTTGATCATGATGTAATTAAAAATTCACATTTTTGCAAAAAAAAAAAAAAATCCCTTTCTTAAATTTCAATTGATCCGAATTTCAATTTGTTTAAATTTCCATTGATTTAAATTTCAATTTATCCAAAATTCAATTTACCCAAAATTCTCAACTATTATTGCTTCAAACTTCGATGAAAAATTTCAATTAATCAAATTTTAAATACAAGATGCAAATTAGTTATTTTACACGTTAATTTGTCTTAACTATCGGTTTTTTTATCACCTTTTTCATTATTTAAAAAACAATTTTAATTAGGTTTAATGTTAAAAACAAATTAAATTAAAAAAACATTAGAAAAAAAAATCTACATTGATTTTTTTGGAAACTTTGATATTTCCTGATTAAATATTTACATACTTTTTAATTGTTCATGTGAAACTTAACAATTGTTAACTGTTTTTTTCTCTATTTTTTTTTTTAATAAAGGGTTGGACGTATGCCATTGACTTTCCGGCGAAATATTTTCCAAAGAAAAATTGGAAATCTTGCGTGAGAAGACGAAAATGGGTTCGTTATCGAAGATACAGTGCAATGAATTCTTGGTGTGCTATTGCACCTCTTCATAAAGATCCGACGAAGGTGATTATGAATTTTTGTCAAAAAAACAGGTTAATCACAAGTCAAGGAGAAAAGAACGGAAAATTAAATAATCTAAATCTAAAAGAATTCAGAAATTTTTTAAAACAAAATAATGCGTAAAGTTTGAAACGAATAGATCGATCTCTATGTAAAGATTAAAAATTCTAAAAGTAATTGGAATTTTTCTTTTTTGAAAAAATTTTCATTTAACCATAACTTTGAAAATTGTCATTTTTAAATCGTTTTTCTTGGTAGAAAATGTATTAGCTTAAAAAAATGAATCTATTGATGATGTATTTTTAATAGAATATTTATAAAATTAATTGCAATTTTTTGTTTTCGAAAAAATAATTTAATAAAAATAAACTATTTTTATTAAATTTGTCCAGGAGCCATTCATTGATGTAGCTATTGGAGGTAATCAAATTCCTGGAGGAAATTCAGGAGAATTGGTCGTTTGGGCAGTAACTGCACACGGAAGGGTGATAGAAATTATTTTATTAAAAAATAAATTTTTTAAATTTAACAAAAGAAATAAATAATAGAATTGTTTTTTTTTATAAATGTTTGGAATTTGCCTTTGATTTCATGTAACATTTAAAGAAATTTTTTTAAATTTTCATTCATCAGGTAATGTTTCGAGTTGGTGTTAGTACAACATCACCTGAAGGTTTACGTTGGAGTGCAATTAAATTGCCAGCTGGTTATGAAGTATCACAAATGAGTGTTGGACCATCGGGTTTAGTTTGGGCAGTATTACAAAGTGGAAAATCAATTGTTCGAACGGGAATAACACGCGAAAATCCAATGGGTAAGTTTTCCTAATATTAAAAAAAAAAAAAAAAAAAAAATCATTAAAAATAATAAATAATACTCTCAAGAAAATTTAATTTCGCGAAAGATTTTTTTCACGAAAAAGATTAAAAATTTAATATTACAATGTTTATTTAACATTTTTTTCTTTTTTTAATTTTAGAAAGAAAAGTCATATTTTGAAATGATATTTATTTGCAGGAGACGATTGGACGGAAGTGGAAGCACCGGAAAAAGAACGTTTGATTCAAGTTAGTGTTGGTTTGGATTCAGTTTGGGGAGTGACTCACAATGGAAATGTTTGGTTTCGAAAAGGAATTAAAGGCGAAATGAGTGGAATATGCGAACAATTAGCCACTGGAACTGGATGGGTCGAAATGGCTAGTAGAATGGCTTTAATTTCAGTTGCTCCAAACGATCAGGTGAGAGTTTTTTTTTTCATTTAGTAAAATTGCTATTAAATTAAAAATAGAAATAGCAAACAAATAAAGTAAAAATTATCATTTAATAATGAAAATTGCTTGCAATATTGTATTATTAATTAATATTCCTTAAAATTAACTTAAGTGATTACGTGAGAAATGTCATTTGATTAAATTTCTCGAAATAAGAAAATAGGGATTTATCAATTTTTGAAAACTTCTCAATTATTATCGTATTTTGTTTTAAAGGTTTGGGCGATTGGAATGGACGATCGATGTCTATATTATCGAAGTGGAATTACACGCTCGGAATTAACTGGCAAAAAATGGAAAATAATTAACGTACCTCTTCAATTGAGCCGAGCTAGTAGTAATGCAAGTTTAACTTCGAGCAATAGACACAGTGTATGCGGAACTCCACAGCAACAGAGACATCAAAGTTTTGGCTCTCTGGTCAGTAAAAATCAATTTTTTATTTTATATATTATTATCGATATTTAAATTAGAAAACGTAATTTATAGAATTTCTATTAACTGGGGAAATAGAAAATTTTTTTTCTCTAAATGGAAATTTGATTAATAATAAAAGTTTTTAAACTACAATTTTTGATTTTAAATTAATTAAAAATAGTCTATTTAAAACTTGTACTTATAGCGAATTTCTATTCAACAAAATTTTTATTTATCATAATTTTATACTTAACTAATTTTTTTTTTTTATAATAAATTCAGTTGTTCATTGAATTTTTCTTAAAAGAATTTCATATCAGAGAGAAACTTTTATTTAATCGAATTTTCATTGAACAAAAGTTAATAAATAAGAAAGGTAATTTTATGAAATTTTTTTTGAATTTTGAAAGATAAAAATTTGATCTTACAGCAAAATCGTCCACTAAGCACAAGTGATTCGTCTTCAGTTATTCGCGATTGGGAAGAACAATCACGATCAGCTCCAAATGCGTCGTCTGTGAGAATTTGGCATAAATCGAAAAATGGCACGCCAACGAGTTTAGAATTAAAACAATCATCATTTCAAGAAATGTATCGAAAAGAAGAAAGTAGACGGTATGTAAATAATTTCAATGATTTTTATAAAATTTCAAAAATTCCCTTCTCTTAATCATTTTATTTATAAATTTCGACTAAAGTCTTAATTGGCTGAATAATTTAAGAACAAACAAATATTGTTTTTTAATCGTAGATCCGGCAATTCATTAGACACTGCCGATGTAACAGAAGCAAGTGTAGCGAATATTACAATTTCCAATGAATCTTTAGCTAAAAGTGGCGAATCGATTGTCGTTTCTGGAAAAGGAATGAGTAGTACTGTCAAGGTTCGTTAATTGATAAGAATTTATAATTTTATTTTAATTATTTTTTTATATTTTTTTTGTTTGATTTAGTGATTATTCATACAATTTCTTTTTAATTTAAATATATATTAATTTTAATATTTGCAATCAAAAACGTTGAAAATAAAAAAAGAAATATTTTAGATAAATCCCGCTGCTTGGAGTCCTGTTCATTCGGTTGGTTCAATGGTTGGTGTTGAGGCACATCCAGAAACCGATGGAAGTGTTTTTGATCCAGATTTTACTGGCGATTCGGGAATTTTTGGCGAGGATGAAAGTACCGCTGGAATGTATTGGGCCGAGTGCGATGTTCTTTGGTATAAAGTTGAGGCTGGTGCTTGTTTCGTTGATCTTAGCAATCCTCCAAAATGGTAATTAATCATATATTTAATTAATTTTTCACTATAAATATTGATGTAATTGATTTTGGAATTTTAATAGCTTTATAATAATAATAATAGTAAAATTGCTTAAATAAATCAAACGTTAGGTATTTAAATATTCTTTCAACTAGTTATAATAGTTTTGATGAAATATATAAAGATTTTTAAACAAATTTTTTAAAAAGTCGTGTTTTCAAAATTTTATATTTCCAAAAGTTAAATAATTTGGATAAAATGTCAATTGAATATTCGGTAATAAGTTAAAAGATGTTTTTTTTTGTTTTTTAATTTAAATCATTGCACCCCTGCTAAATTATTGTATTTATTTGTGGAAATAAATAATATTTTTTAAAATTCGTGTTTGAAAAATGAAAGATAATTTTCCTTTTTAAAAGGATCGCAGATGGAAATGGTACAGCCCAAGGTGAGACAGCGGAACCATGGAGAATTTATATATTAAAGGAATTGAAAGAGCGATTAAAAACTGTTGAATTCGATTGTACGCAATTTGAAAAGGCCGTTGAAAAGTAAGATTATTATATTTTTATTAATTCTTTATATGGAAAAAAAACAAACAAATTTACTTTCAACTATTCGCATATTTTCAGGTGAATAAAAAATAATTTTTATTTATTTCTTTTACACTGCATAACATTTTTCCATCAATTTAATTATTATTTAATAACATATTATTATTAATAATATTAAGTAATTATTAAATAATATTTAACGTGAGAAAATCATTCTATTTTCATTAAATTATTTTGATAAATAAATAGTAATTAATTTTTTTTCTAGATCTTCATGGGTGAAAAATGGAGAAGCAAAATACAAATTGAAAAATGGAGCATCCTTTGAAGATTGTGTGATTGAATTAGAATGGATCAGTAGTGACAGCGGATCTTTGGATTCTGGAACTTTAACTGTATTAAATCCTGATGGCGCAACGACTGTGGTAAAGTGTTTTAAAAATTATACATAACTAAAACTATTTTTTTTAAATTAGGATAAAAATTTTTCAAATTATTTAAAATTTATATTCTTTTAAAATAAAAAACAAAATCAAAATGTATTGTTATTTATTTTTTTGTTTATATTTCAGGTTCAATTTCCAATTTCCGAGATAGTATCTGTAGCTGGCTGTAGTGAACCGGGAAATCCACGAATTGCTCTTCATACACCGCGTTTAAAATGTTCAAAAGTTTTGAGATTACAATTTGCTAGTGACACTGAAATGGAAGATTGGATGTCGCATCTTACTTCAGGTAATTTGAAAAATTAATAATAATTAATAAAATTAAAAATTATAAAAATGAATATATTTGACGAAACATTTTATTACATTTTTTTGAAAATTATTTTACTTACTTTTTTACTATTTAATTTTTTTTTATAAAATTATATTATCTTTATTAAATTTGTCAATTATATCGTTAGTAATTGATAATAATTTATTATTAGTTATTACATACGTTCTAGGTACTAAATATTATAATTAAATTTTATAAATTATTAGTTCTATTTTTTCAACTATTTTTATCTTCTTTTTCTATATCATAAATATTGAAAATAAAATATTTTTTAAAATATGTTGAATATTTCAAACCATTAAAAATTTTTTTTTTTATTTCAAATTGTTGCTTTAATTTTGACATATTTTTTTTTTCAATTTTTGATTTCCAGTTTCTTGTCAAATGAATAATGTTTATGGAAAACCTGGTCCTAATTCTATATGGGCATCAACCGCCTTAGGAGATGTTTTCGTTTATGATCCTGCGATAGCGGAGGTAAAAAAAATTTTTCATTAATTTTTACTTTAATTTTTAATATCTGATCATAAAATCAAAATTCATATTTAAATTAAATTTCCTTCAAACTATTTTATCGTGAGTTACAAATTAAAGTCCAAAAAAAAAAAAATGAATTCATAATTTTCCTCTCTTTTTTTATTGAATAACAAAGTTAATTTATTAAATGTTTAAACAAAAAATGTTTCAGGGCAATCAACAAGAAGATGGATTATTTGTTCAGGAATTGGACGCAGCGGGAAAAAGTCTTCCATACGAAAGCATTCTTCAAAATGGTTTTGGTCCTGGTAGTAGTTTAGAAATTTCCGTCTGCGTTCATGACGATGCCGATCGGTAATAATTAATATTTTTTTAATTAAAAGCAATTTTAAGAATATTAAACAAGAGGACATTTTTTTCTATTATCGCTCTTTTTATTTCTTACTATTTTTAATTATTTTAGTTATAAAAAAAATGGTTAATTAAAATTAATAAAAAATAATTTAATTGATTAATTAGTTAATTTTTTTAAAAATTAATATCATAACTTTTTTTCAGATTGTCATTTAATCTCGTTTGCTATTCGGCAATGAATTCAAAGCAAAAAAATTCATCGGAAACAAATGATCTTGCATTCCATTTTAATCCACGTTTACGTGAATCAATTATTGTGAGAAACACATATCAAAATGGACAATGGGGCGATGAGGAACGTGAAGGAGACAGTCTTTTGAAATCGGGTTGTGATTTTAGTTTGAAAATTATTTGCGAACAGCGTGGCTATAAAGTGTTGATTGACAATGAACAATTTACATTTTACAATCATAGAATACCACCGCAAAATATAACACATTTGAGATTGAAAGGTCTTATGACTTTATACAGTGTCGTTTACAAATCAACTGCCGTAAGTAAAAAAAAAAAATTTATTTTCTTTATTATTTTTCAAATCCATTATTCTAATTTTTTCACTAATTTAATTATTAAACAATAAATAAATTAATTCTAGATAAGAATCAATAATTTTTTTAAACTGCTAAGAATTATTCTGTTTTTTTGAAATATAATGGTCTGACCCTAAATAATAATCTATTAAAATAACTATCTATTATAATATTTAATAATTGAATAAATACAAAAATGATAAAATCGAGAAAGTGGAATAATTAGTCTGAAGAAAATAAAAATACAAATCTAATTAAAATTCATTTTTGAAATAAATTTTTTCTTTTTTGTTTGCAGATGATTATTGAGCCAATAACAATGTTTTGGCGTCAAATTGGAGGACATTTGAAAAAAGTTGAAACTTGTCAATCGGGAATCACTTGGGGTATTGGTTACGATAATACTGGCTGGGCTTACACTGGAGGTTGGGGAGGAAATTTTTTGAAAAGTAAATTTTTCATTCTTATTATACAAGTTTTTAATTTTATAAAAATTATTTAGAGAGTAAAAAAAAATAAAATACATAATTTACTTATCGTTACATTTGAAAAACGGTAAATGATTTTTTTATTGTACATTAATTATTGTCTCTTTATAGGTTTAGGTACAGGTAATAATGGAATAAATTCAATGGTGGACACGCATAATTATTATGTTTACGAAAATCAAAGATGGAATCCCGTAACTGGTTACACTTCCCATGGTTTGCCAACTGATCGTTATATGTGGAGTGACGTTACTGGAAGACATAAACGTACTCGTGAGCACACAAAATTGTTGTCAATGCATTGGCAATGGGTGAGAAATAAAAATTTATATTTTTTAATACATTAAAATTAAATTAGAAGTTAAATTCAAATATATTAAATTAGAATAATTTTATTATAATTTTATTCAAAAGTTGTTGATGAATTTTAGATAATTCTCCCACATTGTATCTGGAAATGTTTCATTGAAATCAATTCATTTATTTAAGAAAAAACACAAATTTGTTTGTAGCGGTTCACTGAATTGGCTCAAATTTTTTTTTTATGGTTTCTACCTCTAAAAATACTAAACCAACCAAAATTTTAAGCCTCTATTTTGTAAAGAACTCTCACAATCGACAATTTAGTTAGAAAAATACCTTTTTTTGGAATGGAGAGAAAATTTTATTATTTTCAAAAGTTTTAATTAATTTCTTTGATTATTTACTGATTTTAATCAAATAAAGTTTTAAATAAATAAATAAATTATTGTAGAAACTTTTTTGGAAAAGTCTTTATTGGGACAAGTGTGCGCGACAATCATTTTAATTTTTATTATTATTATTATTATTATTATTATTATTATTATTATTATTATTATTATTATTATTATTATTATTATAAAATGTAAAATACATTTTTTTTGAAAGGTTTCCGATTGGATAATTGATTTTCATACGCCTGGAGGAGTTGATCGTGATGGATGGCAATATGCAACTGATTTTCCATCTCAATATCATGGGAAAAAGCAATTTACAGATTTAGTGAGAAGACGAAGATGGTTTAGAAGATGTCAATTGTCAACAAGTGGTCCTTGGCAGGAATTGGGAAATACCAAATTGCTCGACGTTTCCTTACAGGTAAATTATTTTGATTTATTATTCATTGTCAAGGCAAAACCATTTTATTTAATACTATATATTTTTTACAAAAAAATTTCATTTCTATTTGAACTGATTTCTTTTTGACTTTTTAAAAAAAATTTCTATACTTAATCGATTTTTTATGGCAGATTTTAGTTTGTTTGAATTTGAAATTTTTTTTTAAATTAAACAAATGATTCTTTGGTTTATTGAATTTTTAAATAAAAAGAATTTTCAATATTGTCAAATTTTTTTTATTTATGTAACAGAATTTCTATTTACATTGTTCAATTTTTAAATGGGAGAATTTTTTTTTCTTTTTTAATTTTTAAAACATTAAAATTTCTTTTGAACTACATTTGAAATTCAGTTTTTAAAATTTTTTTTAAATTAGGTTAAAGTTATTAGTTTTTTTTTTTGTAATTTTAACATTTTTTTCCCAAAATTTCAGACAATGGAGGATTCTGAATGTGAATCTCTAATTCATGTTTGGGCTGTGGCAACAAATGGCGAAGCATTATTTCGACATGGAGTTTCAGAATCCTGTCCAATGGTAAATTTTAATATTATTTTAGAATTATTTAAAAAAAATTTTTTTAAATTCTTTTATTTTACATTTTATTTTTAATTATATGTGTAGTTATTAATTAATTTTATTTAATTTTAAAAAATTGATTTATTTTACATTTTATTTTTAATTATAGATAGTTACCAATTAATTGTATTTAATTTCAAAAAATGTTTATAGGAGAAAAAAGAAATAATTTGATGATTTATTAGTTAAATTTTTTCAATTATTTTAATTTTTCAGGGCGTTTCGTGGGAACACATTCCAAGTGATCAAGCATTAATCGGCATTTCGTGTGGACCAAATGGACAAGTTTGGGCAGTCGCGAAAAATGGATCCTGTTATTGGAGGTTTGGCATCAATAACACCAAGCCCACTGGTACATTTAAACACTTTAAAAATAATAAATTTATTTAATTATTATTATTATTAGTTTTTATTTCTTTTTGTTTTCTAATGTAATATTGTCTAGTTTAAAATACTTAATTAATTACTTAATGAAGCATGTAATATTATTTAATTTTTTTTTTTAAATTCCTAAATAACGAAAATTTAATTTATTTCTAAAAATTTTAGGTGACGCATGGCAAAATGTTGAACCACCTGCTGGCGCGCATATTAAACAAATTTCTGTTGGATTCAATGTCGTTTGGGCTTTAGACACCAATGGAAAATTGTCCGTTCGTCGTGAAATTCAAGCTAAAGTTTTCCCCGAAGGCACATATTGGCAAACATTGCCATCAATGCCTAATGATCCAATTCATATTGGTAAGAAAAATAAATAAAAATTTATTAAGTTTTATTATTCTCTCATTAAAAAAAAAGACTTGATTTCAAAAAATAAAAATAATTTTAAATATTTTTTCTGACAATAAAATTTGTTTCATTTAATTTCTATGTGAATTTTATTTTTAAATAATAAATTTTTATTTCTTTATTCATTTATAATTTTTTTGATATTTGCATAAAAGAATTTCTAGATTTTATTTTTAGACAATACAATTTTTATTTGTTTATTTATTTTTCGGTATTTACATGTAAAAACAAAAAAAAAAATTAATTTTCTAGATCTTTCGGTTGTGACTGCAAAGCAAGGATTTCGTCATATTTCCATTTCAAAGGAATCAGGACAAGTGTGGGCTATTTCAGGAGCAGGAATTGTTTGCCGAAGAATTGGAATTACCGATGAAAATCCAGCTGGAAATGGATGGTCAACTGGCATTGGGGTAAGTTATATATTCACAATTATAACTAAAAATAATTTTTTTTTTTAATTGTAACTTTATTGAAAAAAAAAAAAATTTCTACTATTTTTATGAAGAATACAATATTTTTTTATATCGTATATATGTTTTTTGTTAAAAAAGAAAATTTTTAAATAACTTTATAAATTTTTGTTTGTAATTTTATATTTTATATATCGAATTTTTGAGAAAAATAAGAATTTTTCTACATAATTATGGGTCTATGCATTATATTTCATCTAAAGTCGTTTTTGACTATTTTTAGAAAAATCTTATTATTTCTAATTGATATCCGTATAAATTTATTTTTGACAATTATTTAGAATTTTTTTTTATTTATTTATTTATCTTGAAATTATTAAAAATATTCTAATTAACGAATAATTAAATCAAATCAGCAAAAGTTTGAATTGAAAATTTCAAAAATAATTATAATTTTAGTGGCATTTTTAGAAATTTGATATTTTTCCAGTACTTTTTATAAAATTCCCAGACCCGTGTCAACCCTGAATTATTAATGAAGAAATTGACATTATCTATTATTTATTACTAAATTTTTACAACTAGTATCAGATTAAACTTCTTCCCGTGTAACTCATCATTAAAATTCAAATTTCAAGGTAAATAAACAAAATTTTTATTAAATAATTGTCAAAAATTAATTGTACCAATATCAAAAATTATTATTGGAAATTATAAGATTTTTCTTAAAATAGACCACAATTACTTCATGGTGAATATATAATGGACTTGTAATTAAAAAAAAGAAAAATAATAATATTATTAAAAATTTGTTTAGGCAAACTGGCAACACATAAGCGTTGGAGGACTCTCTCATAAATTGAAATAAATACCTTCCCTCTCAATCTTTTATCGCTTTTATGTGTCAAATTAGTCTCAGTTAAAATTTGTTTAAAAATGAAAAACGTTGTAAACCGAATGTAAATAATACTTTCAAGAAACTCAAAAAGACAGTACTATATATAATATAAGAAAATTGATTCGAAAATTATTGTATTACAATATTCGTTTACGAGAATTCGTAATCTAGTCAATTTTTTGTTTTTACCTTTTATTTTTTTTTATTTCTACTTCTATGTTTTTTTTTAGTTTCACTTTGTTATCAATTAATTACTGTAATTTTAAATGTTTTATTTACATATCAGTTTTTTTTTTATTTTTTTTTTTTAATCTCCGGCCTAAAGTAATTTTTTTCTTGAGTAAATTTTTGTTTAATATAATTTTTTATATAATATATATATTATATTTTTCTAATTAACAAAGACTGTTTAATTTTTGTGATCACTTGAAAAATGACATTTTAGTATTTTTCTTTTTACAACTATATACATTTTTTTTTACCGAATATAGATTATATATATTACAGCAGAGAGTAATTGAGAGTAAGCACGTAATGCAAATCGCGCTTTTCTATTAAAGTCTGCCCCCTCGCGGTCAAAATATCGAAGCTTAGGTGGTTAGCTATATATATTCCTTAAATCGGTGAGGCTACACACATACGCATAATGTAATGGCTAAGCCGAATGACGTTCGGAATTGATCGGGCGGGCTCGTGTATCTTTGCGTGAATTAGAGAAACTAACTGAAAACGAACCGTGCGGGCCTCATCCAATGTTTTGACTTTTTTTCAGATAAAGTATATGAGCCGGTTTTTGAAACAATTCACTAATCGACAATATTTTTAAGGTTAAATTTAGAAATTTTAATTTAAATTAGTAATTAAAATACAATTTTAATTTATTATTTAAATTTCATTTTAAATTTTTATAAAATTTAGAATTCTAAATGTTCTCTCTTCGAATGCATAGTTGAATAAGTACGAAATTCGTTTTCAATAAATCTTATCATAATTATTTTAAATTTTTAATTAAAATATGTTTTTCTTAAACGTATGGGTGATTTCACGTGAGATTTCAGTCGACCCTTTAAATTCAGCCAAATATAATTTTTTCGTGTTCTGTAGTGAAAAAAAGATACTTTCTTTATGCAAATTTTCGAGTTATTTTTCAAAATTTCAGTTTTGTAAATGTAGACAAAAAACTGGATTTTTTCAATTTTTGCCAAGAGAAGAAAAGTTCCAGTTTATCTTTTACTTTTCAATAATGTTAACGAAATTATATTTTCATTTTTTATTAAAAAATAAAAAAATTTTATAAACAAATTAAGTTTTTTTAAATTGGAATATGATTTTTAAAAAGAAATTTTAAACATACCTAAAAATACTAAGAAATACTGGAAATAACTAAGATTATAGGTTTAAATAAACATTTAAACACTGCGCGCAGCATTGTGCACATTTCTGAAAAGTAAAAAAAATTGTTAAATTATTGTTAAAAAATTTTCTTTCATTTTTCATAGTGAAATAAAATTACAGGTTTCAAAAAAAAATTTTTTAAATAATTTTTAACAATTTATCAATTTTTTTTACTATTCAAAAATGTGCACAATGCTGCAAGTGGTGTTTTTTTTTAAATACATAAAAATATAAAACTTATTGGCTGACTAAATTTTTTCACTAAATCTTCTTCTTATTACCAGGTATGTTTTAAAAAAATCACATACAAATTAAAAAAAAATTAATTTGTTTATAAAAAATTGTTACTTTTTTAATAAAAAATGAAAAACAAATTTTTTTGATAACACTATTGAAAAGTAAAAAAAACTGACATAATTTTTATAAATATTATCTTTATTTATTTAATTTAGTTAAACATAAATAATAATGTGAAACTAAACACCATAGAATATTCTATACAAATTAATAATGTATTAAATTGTGGGTAATTTTAATAGGTATTGACAACAATGTTTACAATTTAAATTTTAAGAATATTCTCATTTTATTTAAAATTAAATCATTTTTTACTTGGACAAGCCCAAAGAAAAAATAATTAATTAATTTACAAAAACAATTTTTCTGATTTAAAAACCTATAAAATATTTTTTAAAATTGATTATTTTATTTATTTATTTTAAGTTAAAACATTTAATCTCTTGACAAAATGTTTTTAAATTTAATATTTTAAAAAATGTAAGCTACTTATAATGTGTAAGCATTTACAAATCGAAAATTTAAAAGTATAATATAAAAAAAATTATATTTTTTTATAAACTATTAAATAGACATAAAAAATTGATTCAATTTTAAATAAAATGAGAACATTCTTAAGAATTAAATTATAAACATTGTTGTCAGTATTAGGTAAAATTTTTAAATTCTAAAATTTTATTATAATATTACAAAAAATATTTTTCAAAAATTTTAACGGCAAAATAATAAAAAGAATTTAATTTTTCTTTTAATATGACTTTGACAAAAGCACATTATTTCACATTACTAATCTATGATTTAACTGAATTAAATAAATAAAGATAATATTGTAATATCGAAATTTTTTTTACTTATTATAAAATAATTATGATATAAGATTTATTGAAAACGAATTTCGTACTTATTCAACTATGCATTCGAAGAGAGAACATTTAGAATTCTAAATTTTATAAAAATTTAAAATGAAATTTAAATAATAAATTAAAATTGTATTTTAATTACTAATTTAAATTAAAATTTCTAAATTTAACCTTAAAAATATTGTCGATTAGTGAATTGTTTCAAAAACCGGCTCATATACTTTATCTGAAAAAAAGTCAAAACATTGGATGAGGCCCGCACGGTTCGTTTTCAGTTAGTTTCTCTAATTCACGCAAAGATACACGAGCCCGCCCGATCAATTCCGAACGTCATTCGGCTTAGCCATTACATTATGCGTATGTGTGTAGCCTCACCGATTTAAGGAATATATATAGCTAACCACCTAAGCTTCGATATTTTGACCGCGAGGGGGCAGACTTTAATAGAAAAGCGCGATTTGCATTACGTGCTTACTCTCAATTCCTCTCTGATTACAGTGAAATTATATAGAAAAATGTACTTTTAAAAATTTCAGTCTTATTCTAGATTATAAATTTAAACAATGTAATTTAAATAGTGTATACTTAATAATGAAATTAATTATTATTTATTGTAGCGTTCTTTTAATAATAAAGATTTTTAAATAATTTTTTCTATTTTTATCATAATAATTATAATAATATAATATTTATATATTATGTGTAAACATTTATTTTTTTATGTAAATGAGTTTTATGGATATTACTAATCGACGATTTCTTAATCTAATAATAATAATAATAGTATAAAATATCGACTTTTATATACGATCAACGTAAAATAATTTCATTTCCATTGAGTTGATATCGACGGACGTAGTTATCAATTTATGAAAATAAGTAAAAATAAAAATAAAATCGTATTTCTCTCACATTGTATAAAAATAAAAATTGTTGTAAAATTTTTTTATGCTTAGAAATTATTATTTTTCTTTTATTTAAGATCATTCATCTGTGGTTATTTTTCCTTTTTTTTAAATCATTTTTTTAAAAATTGGCAACAAATGAAAAATGTAATTTACTTATTTATTTATTCTATTATTCATTTATAATTTATTAAATTTAGATACAAATATTTTTATATAAAGTTTAAAAATAAAATTAAAGTAAAAAATTAATAAAATTGTTTTTTAAAATTTTGTTTGTCACTTTTTTTTACTATCGCAGATGAAGTATCTTAATAATAAAAAAAAAATTATTGTAAATTATGTCGACAAGAAGCATTTTTAGTTTCGGTTTTTTTTTTCCTCATATAAATAAATACATTACCGACTTGTCCAAAGATATTCAACGGTGGAAGACTAGATTCTCCGTTATGCGCTGTAACTTTTTTTTTTTTTTTTTTTTTGACTAATTTTTTTCAAGTCAAATTTTATTGTTACAGAGCTGTTTTTCTTAAAAATGTGTTATTTCCCGTATCACGTTACACGATTTTTCAGACAATCGTCGATTTTCCAATTTCTCCATTTTTCCTTGTTCACTATTTTTCACTCCGTAGAAAAAGTAAATGCACAAACCTGCAATAAAACAAATAATTTTTTCTTAGTATTTAAAAAAAAAAAAAAATTGTTATAAACTTCTGAGAAATATTTTTGAAATACATTCAATATTTATATTTGTTAAATAAATTTTCATCTTCTTACCAATAACGAGCCAAACTAGAAATCTTATCCAAGTATTGACATCTAATTGAATCATTAAATATAAATTAATAAATATACTGATACATGGAATTAAAGGGACCAATGGTACCTGAAAAATTGAAAGAAAATTAAATATTAAAAATTAATCAAGATTTTGAATATAATTGTTAAAGAAGAAAAAAAAAAGAAATTATACCTTAAATGGAAGATCATCTTTTTGAACTGGTTGTCTACTAATTGCGGCAATTGTAAGTATTATTATTAAAATAACTATAGCTAATATCACAGACATAGTCAAATTTCCTTGAATTATTTCATCGCCTTTATATTGAAATAAAATACCACCAATGAACACCATAATACCTGAAATAATGTTCAAATAATAAAAAAAAAAAAAAGGAAAAATATCGCAAAAATTTAAAAACCTTCTAAAGAAGGTTATTTTATTATTTATTAATTTTTGATTGTTTGCATTTTATTTTTTTTAAACAAATTTTAATACTTACAAAATAAAAGAACACCCCATTTTGCTACAGTAGTGGAAAATGTCGTTGGTTCCTTTACATTTTGAAAGTTAAAAATTTTCGAAAAAGAATGCATTAACGTTGGAACATGTGAATCCTCAATTTTTAAATTGTAGTCATCCTTTTGATACCTGAAACATTAATTATATTTTTATAATATTTAAAGTAGAAAATTTTTCTAATTTTAGAAATAAACATTTTTTTTTTCCTCGTAAGAACAATTATTTTAATAGATTTTAAAATATACTAAAAAAAGAAAGAGTCACGTTTTTTTTTCTTCATATTATTTATAAAAAAAAGACAACGAATTAAAATTTTTGAAATGCAATTTTTCAAATACCTTAAAATTAAAACTGATATTGCAACTATTGTGTAAGCGAGGAGAGTTCCAATTGACATCATGTCAACTAATTGTTGAAGATTAAAAACCAAAGTCATTAGACCTAGAAATAATTTATTTTATTTATTATTATTATTATTATCTATTCCATGTACAATTTTAGTAATTATTATTAATAATTAATTTTATCATTTTCAAATATTAAAACTTTTCATTTTAATTTAGATTTTTAAAATTATTTATTATTATTAATATTCCATACCTTCAGATGTTATGGTTCGAATATTTTTATTTATTTTTAACTATTAAAAAATAATTATAATTATTATAATTAAAAATAAATTAAAAATTCGAACCGTAACACACATGAATAATGGATTAAAATTTTTAATTTATAAATAAATTTTTGAAAAAAAAAAATTTCTAAAATATAAAAAGTAAAAAAAGAAATTGTACATAAAAAAAATCTCACCAGTTAGAAGACCAGAAATAATGGTACCAAAAATTGGGGTCATTGTTTTTGGATGAATTTTAGCGAGAAATTTAAAAATAACACCATCACTTCCCATTGCATATAGAACACGTGGAAGAGGAAACATTGCTCCAAGAAGACTTGTGAATAATGCAAAAACAGCTCCAATATTCACAACCCATTTAATTGTCGTCCAACCAACTTTTTCAAATACATAAGGAAATGGAGCATTTTCGTCCTTAAAAGAAACTTTTATTTTTAATTTATATTCAAACAAAATTAAAAACAATACAATTAAATTGTGAAAATACATAAAAACTTAAAGAATTTTATTTAATTAAAAAAAAACAATTTTCTTTTTTTCTAGAATTTATAGAATTATTATTAATATTTATTTATTTAATTGATTAAATGTTTTTTTAATTTCTCACTTACCTGATCATAATATGGCCACATCATTGTGAGAACAGCCGCAATACTAAAGTAAGCAGCAAATATTATGCAAAGTGAAAAAATAATAGCCAATGGTATATTTCGTTTTGGATTTTTTGCTTCTTCTCCAGTTGTTGCAATACCATCGAAACCGACAAATCCAAAAAAACATTTTGCCGCTCCCACCATAATTCCACTAACTCCAAATGGAATGAAACCACCGTTTCCCGAATTTTTAACATCCGGCGGTATATTTTCCTTCTCAATAAACCAATTCTTAATATCGGCTACAATAAACAATCAAAAAAAAAAAAAAAAAAGAAAGAAAAGTTTACATATTAATTTATTGTTTCATATTTTATTTATTTACTTTATAAATAATTTAATTGTTGAAAAAATAAGAAGAAATTGATGGATAAGGGAAATTAATAAGGGGAAATTTTAAAACTTAAAAATTGTACAATTAAGAAATAAATTTTATCTTATCTTATATAGAAAATTTGTCCTCTTTATGGAAAAGTAAAAAAAAAAATAATTTTCTTATTAGATAGAAAAACAAATTATTATTTTTTTTCTTTTTCTTTTTTGACTCACCTTTCATTGATCCAGCGACGACAATTATCAGAATAGTAATTACATTGATGGATGTGAAAATATTATTTAAAATAGAAGATTCACGAACGCCAATACTGAGGAGAATAGTCAGCAAAAGAACCATGGCAAAAGCAAAAAAATCCGGATAATCAGAGAGAAATGAAATATTTATTGGCATCCAATTTCGAAGATTAAGTGCCATTTTATTTCCAGTTAAAATATCTAAATAGCTGCTGAGTCCTCTTGCTATACTGGCAGTGCCTGCAAAAAAAAAAAAAAAAATTAATCAAACAAAAAATGTTTATTAATTATTTATAACAGTGTTGAATATTTTTTGTGAATCAACTTCCCGGATTTTCTTTATATCTATTTAAGGGATGACAATTTATTTTAAAATTAATCTAAATTATGAAAAATTGGAGAAAAAATTACAGTAACACGAATTTTTTTTTTTTAAATAGAATTTGGAATTCAGGAAAAAATAAAATTTGAATTTCTCCCAAAAATTTGTTACTATTTTATTTATTTTGTTTACAACAATTTTTTTTAAAGTTTTTTTTCTATTTTTAATTTTCTAAAAAATTGTATGGATTTTCAAAAAAAAAATGAACTTTTTGAAAAAGTTAAAAACTTACCTATCACATATTCTAAAATTAAATTCCAGCCAATGACAAAGGCTATGAATTCTCCGACTGTCACGTAACTATAAACATAAGCTGAACCAGCTTTTGGTACTCTGCACGCGAATTCCGAATAGCACATTGCTGAAAAAAGAAAAAATAGAAATTGAAAAGAAAGGCAGGGATCACAGTAGCTTTTCTCTTGAAAATAAATACCAAAAGCTAATTAATTAAATTTGTTAACCAACAATTGAGAAATTAATAATTTCAAATTTGGGTAAATTGAATTTTGGAAAAACTCAAAATTTACATCAATCATATTTGGATAAATTAAAAATTCAAGTAATTTGAAATTTACAAATCAATTAAAATTTGGAAAAATTAAAATTCGATTAATTTTAAATTTGAATCAATTAAAATTTTAATAAATTAAAATTTGGGTAATTTGAAATTTGAGTAATTTGAAAGTTAAATTAATTACAATTTGGAAAAATTAAAATTCGAATAATTTGAAACTTAAATCAATTGAAATTTGAATTATTAAATCAATCAAAAATTTGTATGAATTGAAATTTTGATAAATTAAAATTCGGCTATTTTGAAATTGAATTCGATTAAAAATATTCCTTTATACAATTTTTAATTCAATATTTACTTATTATTTATATTTATTTATTTAAATATTTATTTGAATTCAATAAACCAAATTTAAAATTTTGACACTGAAAAAAAAACATTTTTATTACTTTTTGCGAGAAAAAAAAAGGTGAAAAGTAATTTTTGTTTGCTTCCTAAAAAGTGATGCTTCTTGTTACATTGAATCATAAAAAATTTATAATAATGAAAAAAAATTTTATTTGGTAATAAAATCATAAATCAAAAGCTTAGGATTGACAATTAAAAATTAAATTTAATAATTGTGTCATTATGTACCTATCATAAAGAATTTAAAAGAATTAAAATTACCAAAAAATGAAAAGAAAAAAAAAAAAAAAAAATGGTTAATTATATTATTTAAAATATACCAGATAATGCAGATGCAATTGCAGCGATGAGAAATGATAAACAAACAGCTGGACCGGCATTTTCTTTTGCGACACTTCCAGCAAGAACATAAACCCCAAGACCTAATGTTGATCCAACACCTAATGCGGTAAGATCAAAGAGTCCCAAAACTCGAGCTAATTCCTCTTTTTTTTCTGTCGTCACTTGAATCGGTCTCCGTCTCGATAAAGCTTTCCAAAGTCTTGAACTCATTATCTTCTATTTTTAATTCTTAAAGTTCTATAATTATTACCTGAGAAAAAAAAAAGAAAAATTAAATGATTTACAATTTTTTTTTTTTTTATTACTTTTTACGATAATTAATTAGGAAAAATTACACAATAATCTTTCAAAAAAAAAGAATTATATTACAATTTTTTCTTTTTATGTTTGACGAGACGAATTTTATTTCTCATTATTTTTAAATTTAATTTATTTAATTAATACGTTAATAAATAAAAAATAGTTAATACTGATTAATTAGATATTAAATATATATATATATATATATATATATATATATATATATATATATATATATATTTAAATTTAATTAATTTAAATATATTTATATTTAATAAAATTAAATATGTAAACTAATGTGTATATTATATATAGAATCTATAAAATTTAATTTCTTTTCTGACGTCAGTTAATGACGTGTATTATCTATGACTTTAAAAACATTTGAAGAATTTTGAAAACAAATCACGATTACAATGGTTACATATCATAATCTTTTATCTCCTAAATTTCTTTACATTGTCCAATGAATCATAAGTGATTCTCAAAGTTAATAACTATCCAATATAAAACATGATTAGCATTTTCCTTTTTTTTTAAATTTAATTTCATATAAAATTTGTATATTCATTTATAATTTAATTTCAAATTAAAAATTTTAAATAAACAATAAAAATTATAAAAAAAATAATAAAAAAATTTTCAAATCGAAAGAAATATTCAAATTTTCTTTTCCTATGTAATTAAAAAATATATATTTAAAAAAAATATAAAAATAAATAGACAAATATTTTTATGAGGAAAAACTTAAGAATGAAAATTGAATTTTTTTTTTTACTATTGTTGAACTAAAAAATAGAATTTAATTCTTCTGTATAATAGTGAATATATTTCTTTAACTGTCAATTTAATGTTAGAAAAATAGAAAATACATTTAATGTTTTCTTAGAAAAAGAAACATAATTAATTGTGCAATAATGTAATTGATTTGCACCATTTTTCTATACGCGAGTCTCGAGTGTCTTTGAATTTTCTGTTTCAAGAGAAAAATACTAAATTTAGCAATAGTGAGAGGATAAAAAAATGACTTAAATTTTCAAGAAAAAAAAAAATTATATAATAAAAATTTAGTTTTTTCTCTCTAGTGAAATTTATTTTAAATAGTATTTTTATTATCTCAATAAAATTAAATTCTCATTAATTAATTAACTTCCTTGAAACTAATTTATTGTAAAAATAATAAGTTTTTTATAATTAATTATTTCCCCCGTGGTATATAATCGAAAGATTATAATCACGGTTAAAAAAAAGTTTTCTTTACTACTTATAAATGGTTATTTATAATGTTATGTAAGTAAATAAATATTTAAAAAATATATTTTTTTTCAAAAAATCACTAAAACATAAAAATATAACAAAATTTTTCAAATATATTTTTCATGAAACAAAAAATTAAAATTTATTTTAAAAAATAATAAACAATTTCTAAAAAGAAAAAATAAACAAAATTTTAAATTACAAAAAAAAAAAAATTTTATTTATTCAAAAAGGAAAAAAGTGTAGGAAAAATTTCTACAAAACTTGATTTTTTAAGGCAATTGCACTGCAAGGCTAAAATAAATATGTAAATATATATAAAATTTGAATACAATTTTTTGAATTATAATTTACAATTTATATTTTACATATTATATGTGTAAGCAAGAATGGCGTAAACTATATAAGCGCAAGGACGAATTTTCCGCAAGTCTGACATTTCAATAAAATAAAAACTTATGTATAAGAGAACAGAAATTATATAAACATAAATATATGAATATTATAGACATATATATCTACACGAATGTTATTCAATTTTTTTATTGCAATTCTTAATTTCTTTATAAATAAAATTTCCACGAATACATGTAACACTTGTCAAAATATAAAATTCTTCAATTTTATATATATACCTACAATAATCATTAAACATTCCTCCAATGTGTCTCATAATAATTTTCTTTGTCTTATAAGTTCAAAAATTTATAATTTATTTTCATTTTATGAATTATAATTAAATAATAAATATTAATTATTAATATTTTTATTAATATTATTATTTTGTTAAAAAAAATATATAATGTAGGTACGTAAAATTTTCTTTTCCTCTAAGAAATATTATTATTATTAACTTTCCAGACACAAATATAAATGTTTTCAGAAATCAGTTAATAAAAAAATAATTTATTAATATTTCATAATCAAAGCTCATAATGCAAATGAAGTTAAGAAAAACTAGAATCGAGGTCTTTGAACCAACTTAGAGAAAGGTAAAAGCAAATAATATTCCTCTTTTTCATATGAAAATGCAAATTCAAAATAAAAATATTATATATTTTGATCCTATTATATTGAGGTTCAAGATTTTTTCTCAATTTTTAATAATTTGCATTTTCTATTACTTTACCTTCACTATTTAATAAGAAAAAGTTAATTGTATTTTTTTTATTTTTATTCTCTTTTTATTTTTTAATACGCCTTGAAAAAATTTCGAAATAATTTTTTTTTTATCTTATATTTGTTTTTTTATTTATTTAGTATATTTTTTTTACTGTTTTTCAAAAATTAATTCTTGTATATTTAGTAAAAACTAAATATTGTATTTAATTGATTTCAAAAAAAAAAAAAAAAAATTTAGATCTATGAAGTTTATTCAAGCGGATCTCCCCACGTGATGTGCGGAGTTCGAAGCGGATAATAATTACTGAATTACCTTGTGCTGGGTGAATTTGTCCGGGATATCGAGGTTACTTGACCTCATTAATATGTGATTCTCGTCTAGTTTCAATGACACAAAAAAAGTTTCTCCGAGGGATGCGATTTGTACCTTAAACAAAAAAAAAAAAAACGTAAAAAATAAATTATTTAAAAAACAAATTTTTTTAATTAAAATTCTAAATTAATTTTTCATTTTTTTTTTTCTTATGAATTTCGTGAATTGAAAATTGGAAATAAAAAGAGAAATTTCAATTTTCTAAATAAGTATACAAAAATATTTTTTTAAAAAAATACTTTTTATAAAAAAAAAAAAAATGTTAAAAACGATTTCGTGACATTTACGATATTACAATTGCTGTATTAGAGTTCTTTTTTCCTTATTTTTTAAAATCGTGCAAAAATAATATATTCAATTTTTGGTTTTCAATAATTAAAATAAATTTATATGCGTTTTCCAACTTTTTCAAAAATTGGGAAAATATTTAATTCCAAATTTTTCGTAAGAAAATTTTGTCTAGATACAAATCTTGTATAATAATAATAAAAGACCAACTGAATTTACACACGAAGTACATAATTATTATAATAATAGATATTTAATAGAAATTTAACAACTATTTTAGTAATTTCAAAGATTCACTGTTCTTGATTATCGTTTTACATAATATATTAAATATACATATATATATATATTATACAAATTATATTATAATATATAACATAGTAATTTATAATAAATTAGAAGAAAATATATTAAAAAAAGCTTTCTTTACAAAAAAATGCAAAATTTAATAATTACAATAATATATTAATAAAATTATTGTTTTTAAAAATAAGAAATATTTTTTAAAATTATTTTGAAAAATAGAACACTCGAAAAATTAAAAAATAATAAATAAATATTCATAGAGGAAATATGTTCCTAATTGAAAATGTATAATAATAATAAGCAAAGGGGACATTAAACTAGGAAATGAAGAAATGACATTGGTTGTAAGAATTTTTTTCTAAGGCGATAAAGATTCATTTTACGAGTTTGTAATACAAATTCAGTGATTGTTATACGTCAAGGTGATCCAGCAAAGGCGAAAAAAAAAACAACTTGAGAATTTAAAATATGGACAAAATTTATATAAAATTATTAAAATTTAAATTGTCAAAATTCGTCTCTTGCTCTAAACGCACAAGGCTTCGACCTAATTTACTCATAGAAGGTGAAATTGTCAAAATCTCGTCTATATTTGCGATTCAAGGCTCATCGCGAAATTTAATTACGTCTATTATTATCATCATTATTATTATTCTTATTGTTGTTATTGTTGTCATTTTTATTTTGATATTTTATTATTTTTTATATATTATTATTATTTATTATTATTTATTATATAATAATAACAACAATAATAATAATGAAAATTATTATTTTTATTATTATTATTGTTATTATTTCTATAAAATTATTTTCATTGACTGATTTGTATTTCAATTTTCAATAGTAATGAGAATAATTCTATATGGGATTGATATAATGAAAAAAAATAATCATTATGAAAAAAATATAATTATTTTAGTTAATATTTTTATTTAAAAAGAAATAAATTATTGTCCCTTAAAGAAAAAAACTACCTTTTATTGCTACAAGCTGATGATAAATATTTAAGTATTTCAAAAAACGATAAATATTGACATTTATTTTAGTTATTGCCTTTGATAAGATATTAATAATTTTTTTTTTTGTCAATGAAATAGTCGAACTAATTTGATTTAAAATTTTTTAAAAAATCTTTTTTGCATTATAAAGATATAATTACAAAAAAAAATATTTTCAATTTTGACAATAAAAATGAATAAATATTATTAATTACCTAATAATTATTTTACTCAATAAAAAAAAAAGATTTAGTTAAAATTTTGATATATTTTAAAAATATATAATTAATTTTTATAATAATATTTTATAATCGACAAATTTAATTGTTATTAAAAAATAAAATTTTTAACAAAGAAAAGAATATTTATCGAAGAATATATTGAATTTTTTTTTTAAATATACATTTTTTAAATGCAACGAAAAATTGGCAATTTAACGGAACTCATTATTACACTTCTTAAACAAGCATTAACTTTAATGTTACTTTTTTTTGCAAATTGACGCTTACGCATGCAATGCACAAAAACCTCAATTGAATGCTTTTATGTGGGTTTTACTGTTCGTTAGAATAACAATATGAACAATGTCAAGTTCGTATTTTATTTTTTTTTTAACGTACAAAAACATTAAAATCAATTGTTTAAATTATCTTTCGAAATGCTTAAAATTTACGAACGGTTTTGTTCTTCCATTATATATTATTATTATTATTTTAGCTAAGCTTGTACAAATAAAAAAAAAATGAGATAAAACTTGTATCAACGTCTTTAAATAAGGATAATTTTTCAAAATATCATGCACAATTTTCCAAAAAAAAGCAAACAAAAAATTTAATTTAAAAAAAATTAATATATTTAATATTTTTTTTTAAGACTTATTAGTATTCTTTAATAATTATAATAAATTACTATTATACAACAGAATTTGTTTTATTTTATTTTTATTATTTTCCTCTTCTTTTTTTATTTTTAATTTTAAAAAAACTGCTTTTTATTACTAAAATATATATTTATTAATTTTTTCATAATTAAAAATTATATTTACTAAATTTTATTTTTTATTTGAATAATTGAAAATAATTTAGAAAAAAAACCACCCCATCAAGAAAAAAATATAATTCGATTTATAATATATCAAATTATGTATAATATAAAAAGAAAAAAAAATTTGTTAATTTCTATTTAAACACATGTCGAACGTGAGAATTAGAAGTAACTTTTTTATAGGTGACATTCAAAGAACAAATACCGTAATTAATTTTGTCGTGAAACGTGCGTTTATAACTATATAGCTTATATTTGAGCTAATCTTTTCGACCTATTAAAATTCTCAGTAAATTACTTTTTCAAAATATTAATTATTAAATCATTATTTAGAATAATAGTAATTCTAGTTAAAGCATTACAAAATCATTATATTTTAGAAAATTCAATGATCTTCTACCTGAGAAATTGCTTTTTCTTTTAAAAGTATCCAAATAATTTCGTTCATTCACAGTTGGGTATTCATTAAAAAAAAAAAAAGAAATTTTTTTTTTCAAATACAATAATTGCAATAATGAAATTTTTTTGATTTTATAAAAATTATTATTATTGTTATTGTATTCTAATTTTCTAAAAAAAATAAAAAAAAGGACTAAAAATGATTAATTTTTTATCTAAATTTGTAATTTTTAAAATTAATTTAATAAAAATTAAAAACTATATAGTAATAAATAGAAGGTACTAAATTAATAAATATTAAAAAATCGAAAAATTTAAATCGATAATATTTTTTACATAAAAAAATAAGAGTGAAAAAAAATTGTTTTTTCCTTTTAAAAAACATAGGTTTTTAAAATTCGAAATTAAAAAAAAAATTAATTTTTAAATTAAAAGTTTTAATTTATTTATGTAACAAGTAAACGGGCTTAGAAAAATGGAAATTTTAAATTTAATGAAAGGTATAAAAAATAATTAAATTTTTTAAATTAAAAAATGTTAATAAGTGTACTTTGTTAAATAAATAAATATCAATAAAACTGTCCAAAGTGTTTGAAATAAATTTAAAAAATTAAAAATCATGTCTCAAAATTGAAATTAACTGTAGTTACAAAAAAAAAAAATTTAAATACTATTAACAACAATAGTTTCATAATTTTTCTTATAATAGAAAAGAATTCATAACAAAAATTTTATTTTAGCAACGACAAATTCCAATTGCAATGAAAATTTCCATCTTTTTTTTTTACATGTAAAAGAAATTTTTTTTCTCGCAAATATAAAAATTAAAAATATTATCAATAATGTAAAATTAATAATATTTCTAATACTGAACAATTTTTAAAATATTTTTAATAATTTAATTTAATATTAATTTTAAAAATTAATATTTTTAATATAATGTAAATTTAAAAATATTTTTAATAATAAAAAATTTATAATATTTTCAATAACGTAAAATTAATAATATTTCTAAATTAATTGTAAATAATTTGTAAAATTTTTGAAAATTTACTTACAATAAATTGTGTTATAGTCAAGATGAAGAATAATATTAATATAGTTGTTTCTCACAAAATCAATTGACGATAAACGATGTCATTCATAAGGTGCGTGTGTAATTATAAATGATTATTTTCTTCTTTTTTCAGAAAAATGGAAAAAAAAAGATATTGTAAACTTGCGATGAAAATTTTGACAGGATATATATAACATTTGTTGAACCACCACTCACGACAAAATCTGCCGGTATACTGATATCGTGTGTCATAACATTACAAGGCATACACCTGACTTTAATGCTAATAAATACCGATCACCTCCTCCCACTTCTTCCTTTTGGGTGAATGCGCCAGGATTTAATCATCAGGGAACATAATTCGAAATTGTTCATAAATTCTATTTCTCCAAAAAAAAAAAAAATGGTAGACAATTTTTCTCTGTTTTAATAAAAAAAAATTTTTATTCACTTTTTCCTCATCTCTTTTTTTTTCTCTCTCTCTCTCCCTTTTAAAATCACGAAATTCAAGTTTTAATCTCTGATTCCTGAAAAGAAAAACTAATTATTCTTCTTGTATCGCTTTTTATTTTTTTTTGCACAAAATTACAAAAATTAAAAAATACTTCTTTTTATTTTATTTATAAAAAAAAAGAAGAAAAAATTGCGCAATTTTAATTGCATTATTCTTAGAATTCTAGGATTTTTCTTCTCTACAAAAACAATTTCCTTCTCTTAATTATTAATTTAATCATTTCGATCAATCGAAAGCAAAATCAATTTATAATTGCAAATTTCAATTTACTTTCTCATTTATGGTGAGAATGTAAAAAAATAAAATTTTATTAATATTTTATTACCTTCAAGTTGAATGAAGAATAATTTTTTTTTTTAAATTAATAATTAAAAGGATGTTTTCAATTTTTTCTTAATTATTAATGAAAAAAGAATTACCGTTTCTTATGTTTAAATAACAAAAAAACAAGAAAACTTTTCTATTTCCTAATTATTATTAATGAAGATTTGATTATTATTAAAATTTCGCTATGCCGTTGATGAATTTGCCAATTGAGTCACATAAGTTTGTGGATTTGTTGCACAACCAGGACACATGTGAAGTGACTCGTGAACAAATATCTCGCAGTCTATGCAAAATGTTTGTTGGCATCTTTCGCAAAAGTATACCTGAAACAATTAAATTTCTATCTATTATGTATATATATATCTAACTATAGTGAGAGAGAATGAAAAATCATTTTTATCAATTCATAAATATAAACTGATATCAAAGTTTAATCATTCATTGATAAACATAAAGTGACGTTGATTAAAAATCAAACTAAAATCTCACGTCATGATCAAGAAAATCACAACATTGAATAATAATAAATGTAATATTATTATTCATTAACTATTTGTTATTAATATTTTTATTCTTATATTAGTTTTTTTTCAAATTTTTGTTATAGCTCTTTACGTTGCTATAAATTCCTATAAACAATTAAAAATTTTTTTTGGTGTATTAAATATATATATATAATTTTTCATTAATTACCTTTTTGTCGAGGGTACCAAATTCTTTTTGACAACTAAAACAATGGGAAGTTTTGCCTTCGTTTAATATTTCCTGGTAGCGTTGAACGGGAAATAAATAATGATACGATCTTGCGAGATGTGGCGCTGAAACCAATGTAAGTCCACAAGCTCGACATTCAACAGGTAATTCACAATGTTTGCTGAGACACTGAGGACAAAGATATCCTGTGTTTAAAATCTTGTCCGATTCATCCATATCGTCTGCATGACTGAAAAATAAACAAGTTTTCTACTTATCTATCAATGTTTAAATAAAAAATTGTCAATATAATAAAAATAATAATATTTGCTTTTAAAAAACAATGTATGAATAAATCTTTTAGATTTCAAAATTGAAAATTAAAAAATTAGTTACTATTTTTAAACAAATTTTCATTCATTAAACTTCATTTTAAAAATTTTTTATATTTTAAAAGAAGTTTTAATATATTTTGTTCACATTTAATAATTTTCTTTAAGAGAAGGAACCAGTTAAATTTTTTAACCTTTCAAAATTTAAGTTGTTTAATTTTTTTTTTTTTTTTTTTTTTTTTTTATTCACATTTAATTTAATTTGAATATTTGAGAAATGATGCGAAAAATTGAATTCTTACCACATGCAAACAGCCATGGAAACTTCGGCAGTTGACGATTGGAGGGCATGATGAGGAAATCCCATTTTTACAAGAGCGGCGTCTAATCGTGTTGCTGCTGGCGGTGGATCAATGTGAACATTTAATTGTTCCAAAAAATGTTTATCATCTAAAACAACATTGTGAACACCGCCAGTCATTGACACCATTCGTTTACAAATGTGTAATTCCGCCGCAAGACCAATTATACTACATCTCACATTTTCCGCCTTCATATTCTGTAAAATTTATATTTCACAATTTTAATTAATTTATTTATTTATTTACATGTATACGAGCTTACAAGAAGAAAAAACAAGCCCTTTTCTACCAAAGTATTAAACTAAAGAAATTCTCATAAAAATATAACATAAACATTTTTTTTTAAATCTAAATAAAAAAAAATAAGTAAGTTTATTTTTGTTTATTAATAAACAAAAAGAATTACGTTATTATTGATATCAACAAAAATTTTTACGTATAAAGATATTGTAAATTTACTTGATGTAAAATTAAAAAAATCTAAGTTGATGCAGTGTAAGTTTGCCTCTTTGTGGAAAATCTATCGTAAAGTAGATTTCATAGCAAAGTTTGAACTACGAAAGTTTGTTTTAAACAAAAATCGATTTAATTTTTTATTAATTGACAAATTCTCTTTTTATATAATATTAATAATTATTGAATATAAATTTATCTACTTAATTTATGAATCTAAATTCACTGGTTAAAATTCTATAATTAAACTTACAATAAATATCAATAAATTAGATATAGTCGTTGAGGTCTAATTTAAAGAAAATTGAAACTTTCATAAATTATTTTATACAATATCTAGGGAATGAAATTGTTCTATCTTTATTAAATAATTATTTAAAGATCTACAATTTTCCAAAAAATTTCCTTATAGTATTATATAAATTCTGCAATTTGGTATAGAGAATCTACAAAAATTAAACTAATAATCAACGCAAAACTTTTGGTACTCATTGATTTCGGTTCGATTTAAATGTTTTAATTAATTAAATTTCTGAAAGTATCATTGTAAGCAAACCAGAAAATTAAAAAAAAAGGATCGAGAAAAAGGTTTTCACCTAATAATAAAAAAAAGAAAATAATTGAAAATTATTACCCGTATAGTATACAAAAAGGAACAATTTTAGAAAAAAAATTTAAGAAAATTGTTCCTCTTCGTATCACTTATATTATTTGACATACAATACATATTTTTTAAACATTTGTTTTTATACCAAAGGAGGAATAATTTTCTTAAATTTTTTTTCCAAACTTGTTCCTTTTTGTATCACTTATATTATTTGTCATACAACACATATTATTAAATATTTTTTTTATACCAAATAAGTTCGTTTCGAGTACGGAACCCTCGATTTTAGTGCGAGTGTAACTCGCACTTGTTCGATTTTATTTTCAATTAAAATAAACATTTTCTTTAAAAAAAAAAAATGTGAAAAGAATATCGAATTAAAAAAGGAAGAATAGGAGGAAGAGAAAAAAAGTAGAAAAAAATAAATAGAATAGAGAAACACTTAAGGGGACATTACAGTTCAAAATGGAGAAAAAGAAGGCTTTTTTAGGATGTATTTCTAAAAAAAAATCATGACATTTATTCAGAAATTTTTGTTTAAATTTTCCACTTGTAGTCCAAGATGGCGGCGATGTACAACATTTTCAAAAAATGTTCATTTTTTCTTGGGGGGGATCGATTCCAAGATTTCTACAACAGATAGAGACATAAAATAAAAAGCATTTTCTTCCTTAGATATTTCTCTATAGATGGAACCTCAAAAAAGTGGAATTTTCGTTCTTTTCTTTTTTTTATGGTAAGTTTTTCTCAAAACTTGAAAAAAAAATACATGTTTTTATTCAGCATTTCTGTTATAGAAAAAAAGGTAAAAAGAAATTTTCCAGTTTTTGAGATTCCATCCATAGAGAAATATCTATCGAAGAAAATGCTTTTTATTTTATGTCTCTATATGTTGTAGAAATCTCGGAATCGATCCCCCCCCCCCCCCAAGAAAAAATGAACATTTTTTGAAAATGTTGTACATCGCCGCCATCTTGGACTACAAGTGAAAAAAAAATAATTTTTTCATATTCTTGAATAAGTTATTTATAACATGTAAACAAAAATTTCTGAATAAATGTCATGATTTTTTTTTTGAAATACATCCTAAAAAAGCCTTCTTTTTCCCATTTTGAACTGGAATGTCCCCTTAAAAAACTTATGGGAAAAATACACTTTTTTCAAAAAAATTTTCTTTTTCGAAAAAAATTTAATTAAAACAATTTTTTATCATATTTTTTAAATTAATTTCTATAATATACACATAAAAATACGTAAAAATAAATAAATTTTAAGCCCTTTAGATAAAATTTTCTTCCTTTTTGGGAGAAAATTCATGATTTTTTCTATTATTATCAGTTCTTTCCTGACAGTACTAGGACCATCAACTCTAATCGTCCTCGTTAAATTTTTTTTGTAATCTACACGTCAAAATATATAAATTTGAATTACTTTAGATAAAATTTTCTTAGTTTTTGGTCGAAAAATACATTTCTTTCCCTAAAATTATCATTTTTCTTTAAAAATTTGATAAAAATTAATCATTAACTCCAATCGAGCTCACATCTTTTTCCCTGTATTTTTCACGTAAAAATACTTTTATACACCAAATATGAACTGTCTGGGTTGAATATTGTGTGCGGTAGGGGGATTAAACGCTTTTTTTCGAAATGTTTGATTTTTCCGTGACAACGCTATGTTAATCAATTCCAATCATGCTCGCTATATTTTTCCTGTAATCTACACGCAAAAATACACATGTGTACTAAATTTCAGCCCTCCAGATAAATTTGTGTGGCCGCTAGGGGGGAGGGTGTACACGATTTAAAAAAAAACGATATTAATATAGTTCCGAACCGAGTACGGAACTCTAAAAAAAAAAAGAAAATAATTGAAAATTATTACCCGTATAGTATCACCGATATCGCCTGGATCACATGTAGTGAGAGATCCCATTATTATAAGAATTTCCCTCGTCGCATGAGTTGGTAGCAATTTTAAAGATTTTAATGCGAGTTCTATGGAATTTTGTAGTGAAGGTTCACCAGTGCACGAAGCAGTTTTTAAAGATCGCAATTCCTAAAGAAAAAAGAAATATTAATTACATTTTAAAAAATTAAAATATATCAATTATTATATGTGAGTAGATGAAAATTGCATACTTTAAGATGTTTCTTTGGATTTCCCGTTAAATCACTTAATTTTTCAGCTCGTTTATTTTTTGTTACTATTATGCCAATTTGACTGATTGGATTCTGATAGAAAAATTCCTCGATAAAACCTTCCATAAGCTGAAATTATAAACAAAGAATTGAATTGTTTTTTTTTATCTTTTTTTCTTCTTTTTATTAAAGTTCAATTAAATTTTCTAATACCTTTAAGGTACAAATCATTCGTGTTGGATGTAAATCTTCATTTGTCATTTTTTCCGAGCAATCAAGAACAACGTACAAATGTCTCATCATTCCCAATCTAGAATCACCTTTTTTATCCAATTGCCGTTTTCTCTTGGCTTTAAGGATAATATCCGCCACCGAATAGTCCAATGTACCATATTCATCTTCTCTAATTGCTTCCCTAAAATATTTTATAAAAAATAATGAATGATAATTAATAATAATTAATTAATAATAATTAATTAATAATAATTAATTAATAATAATTAATGAAAAATTCCCCCTAAATTAATTAATACACATAAAAAAAATAAAACAATATCTTTATTTTAAGAAAATTGTGATTTAATAAATAAAAAATACAAACTTTTGTTAGGGAATAAAATGCTTTTTGCATTATTTTTACAAAAATACGTATTTGCTATATTATTTAATCAATTTAAAAAAAAAGAACTTCAAAAATTTTTATCATCATTAACGTAATAATAAAAGCTGAACGTTAGAAATCAAATTGTAAATAAAAATTAATCATAATTACTTTAATAGATAATAAATAATTAAAGTTTTGTTTAATTTGAAAGAAAAACAAAATATATTTACCAAGTTTTTTCGTAACCGGTCTCCCACCGATATTCCTTTTCATCTTCTTCTTCCGTCATTGTGTTGACTATTTTTTTTTTACACACCTAACTTTTGTATTTAATCTTTAACTGAAAAATATTTGAAAAAAGTTTTATAATAATTTTCTACCCGATTAATCTAAATACATTGTTTTTAGAATAATAAATTAAAATTTAGAAAATAGGTTATGTAACTTTGTTTTTGAGTGCGACTTTCTTACTAAAGATATTATATATATAAAAGAGATTATATTCGAAATTTATAAGAAAATCAAAAATAAAATTTCAAAAAACTCACACCTATTATTTAAAATTAACATTAATATATTTATACAGTTATTTATTTGAGAAAAAAATAAAAATATATAATAATAAAACGTCAACCACCACAAATGTCATATATATATACTAACCTAACCTGTTCAATGCGCTGTGCGCATACACGATAACAAATGCCCTCATTGGCTATATTTTACCCCGCGTAATTTTTGACATTTAAACTTTAATATCTTTTTTAAATTTATAAAAAATATACATAAATAATTATTCTAATTTAAAAGTATTTTATATAATATATAGATAAATATATGTATGTATGTTAAGTTATTAATTTTGAATATAGCTTTAATAATGCAAAAAAATAACTACAAATCCTGTTCCTTGCATTGCGCATGCGTAACAATAATTGCGCCAATTATTTGAAATCTTTTCAAAATTAAATTTCAAATTATTTTATAAAAATAAAAATTATTATAATTTTTCACGTATTTAAAAAATAAAAATATTCAAGTTTTTGAATCATTGAAAAAGAAACAAAAAAAAACCAAATATTCTTACATTACTGGATTATCAACAAAAAGAACTTGAAGTTACTAATATTTTTAAAAGATTAACGTAAATACAACTTTAAAAATAAAATATACAATTATTTTTTCGCATAATATAAAAAATTAAGCATATCTTAAAAAAATTAATAGAAAAAAAAAATTTATATATTGCAAATGATCTTACGCTAAATTAAAATAATTCATGTAAATTGAAATTTTCTATTTATTTTTTACGATAGATATAATTTATAATTTATTTATTCTGGTGTAAATATGTATAGATAAAGAATACGAATAAAAGTAAATTTTTTTTTCTTTTTTTTACAAAGCCCGCTATTATTACATACGATACAAATCACAAGGTTCAATACACCACGGTATAGCACAATTAATATGTGTCAGTATCAATGTTTGGTAATTAGCCTCACTATTATTTTATAAGAGAATCACGACGTGATTATAAACTAAACTTAAATAGATAAAATTTATTTACAAGCACAGCTTTTATTTCGCGTCGTTGTTTTATGTTTTCTTTTTTTTTTTTAGTGTTTTTCTATAATATAGACAAAAACAATTTTTTTTTCGTCAATTATTTAATACATTTAAAACGTGCATGTGATTTTTTTTTACATAGTAAAATGACACGCTTTGTTTATTTTTTTTCATAAATTACACAACTAGAAATAATAAAAAAATAGAATCAAATTTACAACACTTAATAATATTATTTTCATAATAAATCTAATTCTTTAATTAATTAACACGAAATATTATTATTTTTTTAAAAACTCAAAAATTATTCTATTAAAAAAAAAGGTGAAATAGTTTCACATTATTCGACATTAATTAATTTCATTATTTAATATCATTTCATTTTAATATATTTTTTTTGTAAATTTAATTTTCTCTTATATTTATTCAATTTTCGCTTATTCACAAAATTTTTTAATAATTTCTTTTTCTTTTAAATTGAAAATTCTTTTAATTTATAAATTTATTTTTCAAATATATAAATTAAAAATGTATATTTTGAATTTAAAAAATCATTCTCTCTTATTTTTTTTTTTTTTTATAAATAATGTAAATTTTTAGGAAATTCGGCTAAAACATAATTTAACGACGCACATTGGACAGTATTTAAATTTAAAAATATACATCTTTTCTAAATATCTTATATACAATATTATAGGAAAAAAGACTCATTAGAAAAAAAAATATTTGCTCCTATTCTGTATTTGAACGAAATCGTCGAAATTTTATTTAATGAGCTTCTGTTTTTTCAGAAAAAAAAATCAATGAGTCTCAAAGAGTCTTACAAAATGGCATCTATTGAAAATATTTTGAGTAAACCCTGAAATTTTCCTCAATATACACAATAATGATGATAATAATAATAATAATAATTTCTCTCAACAAAAATTACAGGACATTTGGTTGGTCTGGAATGAGGGACGCAAAAAATGAACTGAAAAATGACCAAGTAAATGCTAAAGCACCAGGTCTTTCAGTTTCATTTTCTTCATTAATTAGATTTGTTCTCTCATTTGTTTCGGCTCTTATTTCTTGGCCGTTATCTTGTTGAACACCAGGTTGTTGCTCATCATTTTGTGGATTATTATTTTCCGGCCGTGGATTATTCTCCTCAGGTCGAGCATTATTATTCTCTGGCATTAGAACTGGTTGGACTCGAAAGAAACCACTTGAATATCTTTGAAAAAATGTAAAGAAAAAAAATTTATTTCTCTTCCTAATTTTTGATAAATAAATCAAGGAGGTTGATTTCAAAAGAAAAAAATTATCAATTTATTTAATATAATCCATTAAATTTATTCAAGGATGAATAAATTTACAAAATATGATAAGGAATTTTGTTAATAAAACTTTTATTATTTTCTTCTCATTGTCATTTTTTTAAATTTAAAATCGGCAAATTTAAAAGTTAAATCAATTAAAATTTGAAAAATTTTAAACTTTAATCAAACAAAATTTGAATAAATTGAAATTCGAATAATTTGAAAATTAAATCAATTAATATTTGGAGAATTTGAAACTTAAATCGATTAATATTTAGATAGATTGAAATTTTGTTAATTTTATAAGTTTCGATTGATGAAATTTGCATTTGATTGGAATTTTAATTAATAAATAAAAATTAAAGTTAATACAAATTAAAAAAAAATTGATTAAAATATATGGATTACTTGATATTTAAATTTAAAAAATATCTTTTTAATAATCATAATAAAATCAATTCTTCCAAATTAAACAAATTTTACTCGGAAGAATTGATATTATCATATTTATCTTTTTGTTGATAATTTCTTTTTCCTTTTCAATTTAATAATTTATTTAAGATAATAGAAGTTTATATAGTCACAAATTTACGTTACTTTTTAATTTTTATTTAAAAAAAAAAAAATATGCCTTCTCTAATTTTATTCAGTATATGATTAAAATTTGAATAAATAAACCTTTAGTAATAATTTATCAAAAAAAAAAAAAAAAAAATTTCAAGAAAAATGCAAAAATACTTACAAATACATAGCAAATCCAAGAAAGGCAACAATGAGAAATCTTATTGGTGACGAATAAAAATAGACGATGGCCAATAAAACAACTATCCTCGAGAGCATATAAAATAAATCAAGCCAATCTCGATTTAAAGCTGCTGCAGCATCATCGCCTGCTCCTGCATCGGCATTATCTTGTGGCACTTGTCTTGGCTGTTCAACTTCCTCATTTTGATTAACATTATTCCCATTAGTATTGTTATTACCTAAATTATTTGAATTTAAATTCATTCTTTGAATATATGGTATACTGTTTGGCACTTGAACACCTTGAGCAGCCATTCTGAAGAAAAGAAAAAAAAAACCCCCCAAAATTAATTTTTCAACCTGAGCTGATAAAAAATTATGATTTCATTATTTAAAAGTCGATTTTTTTTTTATTTAAATCAAAAAAAAAAAAAAACTTACAATTGCATGTACTGCGTTAAATAATGAGTGTAAGCTTGTTGCATCCAGGCAATTTGTTGACTATTTAATTGTCCGTAAAATGATTGCATTGGAAATGTTTGAGCAGTTGGTTGTGTATTCACAGTTCCTTGGCCAACAGAATCAAAACGATTTTGTTCTAAATTTCGTTCAGAATTCAATGTATTTTTACTTTCATTTGATTTGTCAATTTTATTTTCAAAACCCATTTTATCAGTTGGACAAACTAAATGTACAGTGAATGGTTGATCTTCAGTGTCCTCATAATGTCGCAAAACATCTTTTAAACATGCCGAATCATTTAAAAGTTGTCCCGAATATATTAATTTCTGATCTTTCGTTTCCTGCAAAAAAATCAAATAAATTTACTTATTTTACATCTTTAATTTTTTTTTTTATATACTCATTTCATTTAATTCGAAATTTTTTGTGCATAGATATTTAGTTTTGTTTTTTATTACACGATGTGAATAAAATACAAATCTTTAAATTATTTAATTATAATAATAAATTATAATTGTTAGCAACTAAAAAAAAATCGTCTCAGATAAGAAAAATCGTTACTCTTTTTTAATTGACGAAAATAATTAGAAGATTTAATAATAAAAAAAAAAAAAAAAAAAAAAAAAAAAATAGAAAAGACATTTTCAAGCAGTAAAAATATTTTTTGCAGTCATTTGTGTTTTTTCAACTAATAAAAATAATTATGTTCTATAGAATCGTAAAATGATTTCGAATTTTAATATCTTAATAATAAAAAAAAATTACAAAAAGCTATTAAAATAAAAACATTTGAAAACATGCAAAATTCTATCATAAAACTACATAGTTTTTCATTAAAAATACTCAATTTAAAATATTATTTTATTTCATCATTTTTTAATCAACTCTAATTTTGTAATAAAAAAGAATGTATTTTTATAACAATTAAATTTTATTGTTTGACGTCAATGAAACTCAAATAAAAAAAAAAACAGACAAAATAAATAATGTGAAATCTATATTGAAAAAAAATAAACTTACAGGTTTACTTGGATAAACTTCAGCTAAATAATCTTTAAGTTTTCGAATAGTCCAACCAAGTTCGCAAATTATAATTTGATCCTCAATCTGCTGATTTGGAGCCTTTATTATTAATCTGACACCAGCACTTTCCATTTTTGAAATATTTTTCTTTTAAAAAATGTGTTTTACAAATATTAAAAACCGATTACGTATATATATATATATAAATATAACAGGAAATTGATAAGAAAACTCGACTATTTCATCGAGGCTATTATAATATTAATTCACTTGTCTTTTACACACAAAAAAACTTGAAAAATACTGTAATTCACATACACACACACAGAGACACTTTATAGAGGAATCCTTATATATTGACAGCTTGAAAATTTTTGTAATAAATAAGAGAAATTTTCTTTTCCTTGTTTATTTATTACAATTACCGCAATAATGAATAAAACACCGACTGACAATGAACAAAATTTGTCGTGTATATCCCCCCCTAATGTGATTTTATCAAAGTATTAAGACTCATGTATTTATATACATAATGCGACATCACGGAAAAACATATTTGTCGACTCGCCATTGGCTGAAGATAGATACACACACACACACACGAGACTGAAATTGTATATATATATATATATATATATATATATATATATATATATATATATATATATATATATATATAAGTATATAGTTTTGAGAGATCTCAATATTATTTGTCATAAAAAAAAGAATACTTCTATTGTTAATTATTAATATTTTATGGACACATGAGAATATTTGTCAACTTTTCAGTGATAATTAATTATTTAATTGAAATTTAATTACAATTAGACACGTGTTAGACAAGTGCAAAAAAAATAAATATTACTCTAAAAAATTGCACAACAATTTAAGGATCAGCTGCGAGAATCGGTTTTCCGAATCTTGACTTCCGTGTACCGAGAATTCCCGAAGTTGTCCCAGGGCTGTATTTTATCATTGAAATTAGGGTCTTTTGAGATAATTATTAAATATTAATTTTCTAGTTTATTATTTATTATTACATAATAAACGGGTATAAGAAAAGAAGACGACTTTTTTTTAAGTAGTATTAAATAAACTATTCCTTAATAACTAAAAGAAACTAAAATACACAAACTAAAAAAAATTAAAATTAATAAATAAACATACATATAAAATATTACAATTATTTTCAACTCATTCTTTTGTGTTTTTTTATTTTATATGTCAAATTTGTTTTCTTGTTAGGTTAAAGGTGCATACACACTTCAGTTCAATAGTTTACGATATATCGAAAATCGATCTTGTGAGTTTGTCATGTTGGTAGAAGTGAAAAAATTTAGTTTTTCACTTTTTCGTAATGTTGGGTTGGCATTACTCCTCATTGGGCTTTGTCAGAAAGTAGAAGAACCATTTTACATTTGAGAAAATTTAATTTTGTATTATTTAGTCGTACCTTAGTGTTAATTATATTTCATTGTAATTAAATTCAGATTTGCCTAAATTATCTATAAACGATTATTAGTTTATTGTCAGACATGAAGAAAACTAGTATATTTGGTATATTTCGATCAAATTTTTTTCGGACACGGAATCTAAAAAGTTATTAGCATCACAATGTTAAATAAAAAATACAGGTAAATGAATAATTCCAATTGTCATAATATTTCATTTTTATTTTATTAATAATCAATATGAAGATTAGAGGAAAAATGAAACAATAATAATAATAATAAATAAATATATTATTTTCATATGTTGGTAGAAGTGAGATGTTTTTTTTTCTTGTTATTTTGGGTTGGCAGCATTACTCATATTGCAAATGGCGCCGTCAGAGAATAGAAGATCCATTTTGTGTTCGACAAAATTTATAGTATTTTTTTAATCTAACGATAATTATACATATTTTTTTTTGGTAATTAAGTACAGTTTTATATATAAATAATTGAAAATGCATCAAAGTTTCGTAGCATTTGCGAAGAAAAATAGGAAATTAAGGTTAAACTTTTTCGACAAAAAATATAACCTAAAAATTTTGGCATTATAACTTGTTGTGACTTATTACATATATATATATATATATTGTGACTTCACATATTACAGCCGCTGGGTGGCAAAACAAAATTTTTATTACATATTCGAATTTTTTACAAAAATGTTAAATATTAATATTAAATTAAAATCAATCATAAAAAAGAAGGTTATTACAATAAAAAGAACGCTGCGTCTATTCGTCCGACTAGACGGACAAAATAATTTTTGATAATTTTGTCCGTCTACGTAAATTTTAAGGAAACCTTGGAGGAAGGGGGGGTCGGAAATGCCCGAAAGTATTCTGCGGACAAAGTCGGGTGGATATAGACGGACGTTTAGACGTTTTTTAATGTCCGTCTAGCTGGACGTTTAGACACTTTGTAAAAAGAAACAGTTAAAAAAAATTTCTTATTATTTTGGTAGAAATGTAATAATAGTTGGTATTTTTTTTTGTTTTGGTTGGTGTCACTGCTCACTCTATAGTGAACATTGTAGAAAACGCGGTTAAAAGTTATACAGAATATTTTTTGTGAATAACAGAAAAATCTAATAATTTTATACATTAGAAAAATACATTTCAATAATGTAAAACTTTGGTGGTAAATATTAGAAATTTGAATATTTTGTCAAATTTTATGATAATTTGGAATTTGTATTATTTGTATAAATATTAAATTATTTTATTTCGATGAAAAGTTTGTTGTTTTTCTTTTAAATTATTTTTTATTTTTCTAATTTTCTATTCATACATATATATAATAATTAAAATTCAAATTTGTTCTAATAATTTATTTATTTAATCACAAAATATGTATGTACAATAATTAATTATAATATCATTTTTAAAAAATAAAGTTTTCTGAATTTTTATTTATTGGATTTTTGTTTATTTGTCTTTACAGAATTTTCAGACTTGGAGAAGAATTTGATGAAATTTTTATCCACAGATGTGATGAGAATTAATTACAACGCAACTTCATAATAAATCTTCGAATAAGTGAGTTTCTCTTGTTTCTTTTTTTTTGTGAAAATATTTATTAGTTTTAAGTTTTTTCTGCTTTTGTTAAAGAAAATTATTATTTTACTATATTAATTTTTAATCGTTTACAAAATTTATAATTTTAACAATTTTTAATGAACATTTACATTAAATCCATACGAATGATTGTTCAGTATTATGAAAAAAGTTTACAAAAAAAATTACCGATAAAAAAATAATAAAAATTGTGAAAGAAGATTAATTTTTAAGGAATAATTGATAAAATTTAAACCAAATATAATTGGTTTGGTTTAGGGGTAAAATTTTTTTTTTAGGGTTCCGTACCCGAAGGGGGAACCCTATTAATCAGACTAGTGAAGCAAGGCATGTACCCCCCCCCCCCCTAGCGGCCATACGAATTTATCTAGAGGGCTGAAATTTGGTATACATATGTATTCTGGCGTGTAGATTACAGGAAAAATATAGTGAGCACAATTGGAGTTGATGTTCATATTGTTTTTAAGGAAAACTCATATTTTTAGAAAAAATCATGGATTTTTCGAATAAAAAAAGAAGAAAATTTTATCCTAAGGGATTCAAATTTATACTTTTTTACGTATTTTTACGTGCGTAGATTACAAAAAAAATATAGCGAGAACGATTGGAGTTAATTATCATAGTGTTTTCAAGGAAAAACTGATAATTTTCAATAAAAATTATAATTTTTCCCCAAAAAACGAAGAATATTTTATCTAAAGAGTTTCAAATTTATATACTTTTACGTATTTTTGCGTGTAGATTACAAATAAAATATAGCGAGAACTCCAATTGTGCTTGCTATATTTTTTTGTAGTGTTTTGCCATTCTTTATAATTTGCCATTTTTGCCATTTTCTTTTTTTTACCATTTGCTATTTTTTTTTATCTTTTGACATCTTTTATTTGTTGATATTTTTATTATTTGGTGAAATCTAAAAAAATCATAAAATTGAAAATGTAAAATGATAAAAAAATTTAAAAATTTTTAAAAACTTATGATATGTAGGGTAAGTGTACCAATTACGGCGCGTTCACAAAAAATAACTATTATTTCTATTATATTTAATATACTTGTTGCAAAATGATTTAAAAAAATTATTTTAATCTTTTTTTGATACAATTACTTATAAAGTTGCACATTTAAACAATTATTAATTTAATTATTTGAGATCAAATTTTTTTCCGCGCTGCAATTGAAACATTTTTAAGATTTCCGTTGGCTCCAATTTCGGCGGGCAAAGTATCTTTAAAATACATGTAATTTAGGTCACCGAAATTGATACACGGAAACTGATACAAACGCGCCGCAATAGAAAATTACGGTATCAGTTTTAATTTCTCATATTTGTTTAAATAATCGATTTTTATAAAGTTAAATTTTTTTTTTAATATCTAAATAACATAAGCTTTTAGTTTAATAAGTCTTAAATTGAGTTTATACAATAGAAATGTCGAATTTTCTATTTCAAAAGTGTTTTGACTCGAATCGCGCCGCAATTAGTACATTTACCCTATTTCCATGCTCACATTACAGGAAAAATTAAGAAAAATTGGAATTTTTCCATCGGCCTTCACACTTTAAACCCCTCAAATTTTAGGATTAGGGGTACGGAACCCTCGGTTTTAATGTGAGTGTAACTCGCACTTGTCCGATTTTTTTTTAATTTTTGCAGAACCTGAAATCATATTTCATTATGAAAAATGAAAAAAAGTATTAATTTTTAACAATCTTACAATTTTTTTATTTTTCAGAAATTGAATTTTTTGAAAAAATTGAATTTTTTCAAAATCCATACGATTGATTGTTCAGATTCATGAAAAAAGTGTATAAAAAAATCAGCAATGAAAAATAATAAAAATTGCGACAGAAGTTTAAATTTTTAGTTTTTGAAAATTTCGAGTTTTATTTAAAAAATTATTAATGAATTAATTGTTTTTCAATTTCTCATAGTATATTGCAGTTTTAAATATTCAATATTAACAGAAAAAAAATTGACAACCTTAAACAATTTCGAAAGATTGAAAATTCAGCCTTCCCATCCCCTTAATAACACAAATATTGTTAATTAATTAAAATTTACAAAAAGAATCGGACATTATAAGAAAAGATTTAATTTTTATAAAATTAACTCAAAAAATAATGAAATTATTTTTATCTAGAAAATTTTATTTTAAGTTTTTATGTAAAATAATGTTTTTTCTCAATTTATAGATGTTCAATACGTGAAGGATGGGTGTTTGTTGCGGAGCTGCTCCTGGAGGAGATCTTGCATAGCTGAGTCGCAGTTCAAAGTATGTTGATCATACATTTTTTTATCTTAAAATATTTTGAAAAAAAGTAAAATAAAATATGTGACATGGACAGTTAAAAGGGACCTTTTGTCCGAAAAAATCGATTTTTTATTGATTGGTGTTTCTGATAGAGAAAACTTTTTTCTATCAGAATCACCAATCAATAAAAAATTAATTTTTTCTGACAAAAGATCCCTTTTAACTGTCCAGGTCACATATTGATAGATTTTATTATTAATAAAATTAATTGGATTGAATAATTAGAAATAACAATAACTAATGTTAACAAAAAAATTGAAAATTATAAACAAGTTTTCAGTACCGTCAAAAATAATTTCCAATATTTTTCAGAAATATCAATAAATAGAATAAAATAAAAAAAAGTAGTTAAAATTTATTGTCCTATTATTTATAATTGATGAAAAAATATCAAATGTTTCATATTTATAAATATTAATAATTTAAAAGTAATAATAGTTATTATAGAACAATGTGATAATTGATAATATTTAGGATTTTAAAAATTTCATTTTACACAAATGTAATATCAAGAATTATTATTTTTTTTTCAGGCGGATGGTCCAGAAGAAGGAAGATTTTTTTCTCTCTAAAAAGATGATATGCTGTCATCGTTTTTTAGACACTATGCAGAAATCCCCCCATATAGGTGAGTTTTTTTTTTCTTCAATATAGTTAATTTTATATATTGTACAAATACAGGATGGCCATCGCGAACCTTGAAATTATGAAAATCACGAAAACGACGTGTATTTAGATACGTCTTGAAAAAACCGTGAATTCGCTTGAAATTTTTAATTAACACTTGAAATTTTATTAAAAATTCATATTTTCACTTTCTTTTAAATTTAAATTTGTGATAAATTGTCCTAAATTTTTTTTTTTTTACCGCAAAAGTAAAACGTTTCTTGAAAAAATGAAAAACTAAGAATTTTTGAAAACAAATTTTATAATTGATTGATTAAAAAAATTAAAAATTATTCTAAACAGTATACTAAGAATACTCCAAAAATACTTTACTTGACATTTTTATGAAATATTACTATTTCTCAAAATAATTTACAATTTCTTATTTGAAACCAGGTAGGACAAATTTTTAACCTTCAAAATTTTCAAATTAGAATTTTGAAAAAGTAAAAATTATGCTACATAATTTTGCTGAATAACATTTTCTCAAAAATTTATTATAACATATATTTTTTGATAATTTGCAATCTTTAAAATCTTTCACAATATTTTTGGTAAAATTTTTGATTTTTTCAAAAAATAATTTAATTTAAAAATTAAAAATTTTTTAAATTAAAATTTTTTTTTAAATCGGGAAAAACCCTCTAATTTTGTTCGCAAATTTTAGTGGCCACCCTGAAATTTAAAAATTATAATTGACTTAAAATTGAATTAAAATAAAAATTCTAAATTAATTTTAAATTTAGTTTTTAAAATTTTTTATTTGAAACATTTTTGGATTAAAAATTTTTCAATGATTTTATTATATATATATATATATATAATATAATTTATTAATTATTATATATTATAAAATAGATTTTCATCCATCAATAGTATGTATCTTGTTTAATAATTAACTCAGCATTTAATATGGTGTTTTGAGAAAATAATAATGTATAATTAAATTTTTCAAAAAATTTTTTTTCAGGTTTATTTCAATTTTCCAAAAATATCTAAAGAGACAAGGAAGGATGTGGAAGAAGAAAAGTGGTCCCAGCAAACAGCTTTTTTTTTATAAAATTTTTTTTTTTATTATTTTTTTTATAAAATTTTTTTTTGTGCTCCCAACCTTTCGCAGAAGTGCGAGCAAGAGAGAGGGATCTTTGGGAGTTGACCTGAAGCGCTCGTGTTGTTGGCGATGTCACTATTGCCCCGACGTGGGATTCGCCGATCGGCGAGTCGTTTTTTATTTTACCCCTTCCCAGTTTAAAACTTTTCTTTTTTAAGTTTAATTAAAATAGATTTGTATTATTTGCAAATGAAATTATTAAGATATTCTTAATTTTTAAATTTTAGAATTTTCTTGACTTTATATTTACTTTATATTTTCTCAATATATCATATTGATTTAAAATATTAAAAATTAAAGAAAAAAAAAAAAAGAAAACAGGGAAGGAATTCTGACAACATAGTGACACCATTGACAAAAATTATTATTTTCTAGTATTTTTTAGCGGTAATATAAAAAAAAACATGTGATATTTTCGGAAATTTAACACCTCAAAATTTCTAACACTCACTCTAAAGCATTACATGTTTTTTGGATTACTACCTTGATACTATTTAAATTAATATTATTGTCAATGTTTTTTTTTAATTGTTTATATATGAGGAGTAATTTTTCAAAAATTAATAAATCCATTTTTGAAATTTTTTTTAACATGATTTTTATTAATATACACTGAAAAAAAAATTTTTATTTGATTCAAATAATCGGTTACTTGACTATTATATCAAATATATATTTATTTGTATCACATAATTTATTATTTGAGATGATATTTGTTTCAAATACAGTTTATTTAATTAAAATAACAATTATTTGGTTCAAGTAAATATTTATTTGATAATAGTCAAGTAAGCGATTATTTGAAACAAATAAATTTTTTTTTCAGTGTAATATGTTGACTTATGAATAGAAATTATGTTTGGAAAAAAATTTTTAAATGGATTTATCAGGTTTGGAAAAAATGTTTATCATACAGTATATATTATTTATTAACTGTATTTTCAATATTTTTAATGTTTTTTAATTTTTCTTATTGAGTCAAAGTAATTCTCTTTCTATAAAAAAAAGTAATTTAAACTAAAATTTGATTAATTTACATTAAATAATTTAATTAATTAATTTTGATAATAATTTTTCATAGTAAATTTTTTATTTAATTTTCAAAAGTTAATGCACGTTAAATTAAAAATTAAAATTTTTTGACAATCTTTTAATGATGGACTAATTAAATGTTTTCTTTTCAGAAAAGATCGCTCAGGTGACGGTTGCGTCCCGGGGCGTTAACCCTAGTGTAGGTTATTTTGTACCTGGGCGGTATTATTTTCGTTTCAATTATATCGGTATAGGTAGGAAATTCGGGAAAAGTAGTAAAAAGCAAATTTTTCGTTTTAAATATAGCTGTAGGCAGGAAAATCGGGAAAATTAGGCAAAAATTTTTTTCGTTTTAAATATAGCTGTAGGTAGGGAAATCGGGTAAAAAAATGTAAGTAAAAAACAAGTAACTGGAGTACCAGTGAAAGTTTACTTTATTTTATTTCTATCTTTTATTTTTTTTGTCACTATGTTGTCTTACATTTCAATGTTTTTTTAAATGTTTTGTAAATATTTTGTTTAATTGATAATTATTTTCAGTCGAATCAACGTGGTGAGCAATAATATTTCTTTTCAATATTATGATAATTATTTATATTTTTTCAGGAATACGTAAATTATTATATCTTTAATTTATTAATATATAATTATATGTATTTATTATATTATATTTATCATATATATGAAAATTGTATTACACTGAAAAAAACTTATTTGATTCAAATAATTAGTTACTTGACTATTATCAAATAAATATTTACTTGAACCAAATAAATTTTATTTGTATTAAATAAATTGTATTTGAAGAAATAATTTATGTATTTTTGATACAAATAAAAATTTATATGATTCATATAATAATTATTTAATACAAATAAATATTTATTTGATAATAGTCAAGTAACCGATTATTTGAATGAAATAAATTTTTTTTCAGTAATTAATTAATTAGATTTATTTTTCTGGATACTTTTAGTATAAATTGATATTTAAATTAAACAACATTTTAATTATTTGAGAATTTCGAGAATACTTGGGATTTTAAATTGAATTTAAATTAGAAATTTTTTTTATTTAATCTGTTATACTATTGCAAATTTTTCCGATTTTTTTTGTGTAGTAAATTTTATTTTTCAGCATTGCGATTGTTTAAATCGCAGCTGTTTTATTTTTTTTTTTTTACTGTTAGTGTTATTGTAAATAAATTTTAGACACTTATACATATTTTAAAATTAGATTTTAAATATTTTGAAAAATACAATAGTATGAAGTAATAAATTAACTTTAAGTTTATTATATATTATAATTATAATTTATTCATAATTTATACTCCATACCATTATCTATGTTTTTCAGAAATATTAAAAATTTAATTTTAAATTCTCTGCGAAAAAATCGGTTCGGATAATCAAGGTTCATTCCCAACCCTGATTTTACCTAAAGAAATGGTGGTATGGTAGAGATTAATGTTATCATCTTCGAAATAGTTTCATAGATTTTCGATAAGATGTCACTGTACATCATTTGAAAAAAAATAAAAAAGCTTCACTGTTTTTTGTCTCTCTCTCTCTCTATTATACGTTACCAAAACCAACGCGTTCCATTTTCAGTGATTTCCAGCCATTATAATTTTTATTTCTCAGAGTGAAGCACGTTTCACGCGTTCGAGGAAGATTTAATTGTTAATTCTAAAGATATTAACTGAAAACTAATAAAAAAGGTAAGTAGATATTCTGCTTTTTTATTTAAATCTTTATTATAGTATATTTTAAATAATTATTTTAAATGATAATGGTATTTTATAAAAGCCGGCGACGCCACTTGTTTTTCTATTTAATAGTAAATTGTCTATGAAAAAGTTTTTAACGTTATTTAATGATTTCTTCAAATGATCGGAGGATTATTGAAAAGAAATAAATTTATAATGAATTTCACAATATAGAATACGAAAGATAAGGCAATTTATAATATATTACTGAATTTTGAAATAAATCTAATTTACGAATATTTTCAATAAATCGGAAAAATATAATTTACATCGTAAAAATAATAGAAAATAAATAACTAATGAATTATATTGTTTTATTTTTGTTGTATAATAAGTATGTAGTAGCTGTTTTTTAATGATAAAAATTTAAAAATATACTCTTGGCCGTATTGATAAACAGTAACCGGCGAATTATAGAGACGTGTATATGAAGCGATAAGGGCGTTGGTTTTTTTTAGCTATATATTGTCTAAGTAGATGACAATCAGAAGATAAATAAGAATCATTTACACAAACTTAATATAAAAGAATTTTATGTACATTATACATGCAAAATTATGTCTTCAAAATAACAAAATTTTTATTAACAATTTTTATATTTAAAAAAGAAATAATTAATTATTTATTCAGGCCTCGGATTATACGACTTTTTCGACTTATTTTAATAAAATACGACTTTTTTGACTTTTCATTACATTTTTTTAGAAAATTTTTAAACAACAAAATACGTTTTTTAGTATTCAATGCAAATTCAGGGTGTCTACTAGTCCTGGAATTTGAAAAAAAATGTCTTGGAATGTTCTTGAAAGTCCTGGAATTTTAATTTTTGTCCTTGGATTTTTTATATTTTGCTTATAAATTTTCAAAAATTTATAATTTTGTCAATCAAGTTAAAAAAAACTAATTAAATAAGTAAAATGAAAATTTACTTAAGTTACGTAATGTAATATTTATTAAAATTGTTGTTTTAATTAAATTTCTGACAACAGAATAGTTAAACTAAAAATTATTTTATTCCTTAAGGTATTTGTCGCGATGATGTCGTGTTCGAAAATCTTTAAAAAATTTTTTTCATTTAAAGCTTCAGAATTATGAAAAATATTATTTCCTATTAACAAATTTTATACAGTGTTGACCAATTTTAAAATATCTCTACTCTTTCTTTTTAAAATTCGTATGCAATGTTGTATTATTTTTGACAACAATATCACTTACGGTGTATTTGTTATATAAATGGTTCAACTTGTATTTTCAATAACTTCTAAAGTAAACGGTAGTTATTGTTTATTTTTATTGTAGATAATTGTTTCCTCAAAATGTCCCGTACTCTCTAAATCTGAATAAGTGAAATTTCATTTAAAATGTGTCAAAAGTCTTCCACGTAGAAAAATAAGTGTATATGCACTTTTAAATAAGTGGTTTTCACTCAAAAATAAGTGAAGTTTCACTTATTTTTAAGTGCATATACACTTATTTTTCTACGTGGAAGACTTTTGACACATTTTAAGTGAAATTTCACTTATTCAGATTTAGAGAGTATATTAGTTTTTTATTAAAACTTGACGATTCTTTCAAAAATTAAAGAATAAAATGTAACAATATTTATGGGTTTGGCACAAAATGCGTGGTAAATGCTTGGTTTTATTATATTGATAAATAGCTTTAGAATACTCAAGTTTTCAAAAACATCTGACGAAAGCGAATCTACGAGACAAATACTTTAAGGTCATCCAATTTAATGTCCTGAAAAAATAAATAATTTGTCCTGGAAAATTCCTGGAATTTTAATTCAGATTTTTAGTATAGACACCCTGAAATTATTTAACAAATATTTAACTGAAATTCTTTTCTAAATTAATTATTTTTAATAGGTAATTTTAATGAAATTCTTCACAAATTCAATTATCTAAAAATATTTTTCAATTCAAATTCTTATGAAATATAATAATTGTTTATAATTTTAAAAAAATTACCAAATAAAATTACTAAAAAATTTTAATTTAAAATCACTTTAAATTTAATTATTTGCAAAAATAAAATTACGATTATTTTTAATGATTTTTACAATATTCTTCGAAAATTCAATTATCTTAAACTATTTTTCAATTAAAAACTATTGGAATTCAATTTTTGTACGTGATTTATAATAAATTCTTCATCAACAGAAATCACTAAAAAATTCTCTTATTGTAATTATTGTCTGAAATTGAATTGAAATTTTGAAATTCAATTATTTCCAAAAATTTTAATTTAAAAGCTTCTAAAATTTAATTATTTCTACAAATTTTCCGTATAAAATTTTTTGAAATTTAATAATTTCAATTATAACTCTCCTGAAATGCAATTATTTTTAATGATTTTTATAATATTCTTCGAAAATTCAACTATCTGAAACCATTTTTCACTTAAAAAGTTTTCAAATTATTGTATTTTTGTCTGCAATTTCTAATAAATTTTTTAGTAACAGAAATCATCAAAAAATTTGTAATTAAAAATCACGTGAAGTTGAATTAATTTCAAAAATCAAAATTGTAAATCTTTGAAAATTTAATTAATTTTAAAAAAATGTTATCTAAAATTATTTGATAAATTATTTTTAGTTCCGTAAAATTTAATTGTTGTCTAAAAATTAAAAAAATTTTTTGAAATTCAATTATTTCTAAAAATTTTAACTTTAACTCTTCCAAAATTATTATTAAAAAAAAAATTTTATTTAAAAATCTGTAAAACTCGATTAAGTATTGCCTGAAATTTTTTTTATCATCAAAACTGAAAACTATGACAATATTTTTAATTCGAATAAATTTGCTTAAATCAGACTTGAAAAAATTATAAAAATTCGGTATTTAAAAATTATGTTAAATAAAATTTCGTTTACAAAGAAAGTAACTCAAATACTAATTCGAAAAATGAAAATTCGTCTAAAAAGAAATTCTGTCAAATAAAATTCTTACAAATGAAAGTTCTAGCTAATGATTTTTATGGGATATTCATGCGCCCCACTAAAACGACTTTTTTTTGTGCCTTAAAGTCTATCTAAAGCCTATATATTGTATATGAAGCGAATATGCAAAATGAGTAATGAAATTAAATATAAATTTTTATTAAATTTTAATGAAGTTGTACATTAAATTTCAATAATCATTTTGTATATTTGCTTCATGTATAAAATATTAAATATAATATTAATACAGATTAAATTAATATACACTTTTACAGCATTAAAAATACAATGTTTATACAGTAATTTTTTAAAGTGATAAATTACTTTTTGATTTGTTCCGATCGTTTGTTTAATTTTTTTTTAAATTAAACATTCTTATTATATGTTAAAAACATAACAAAATAGTTTATTATTTTTCAGAAAATGCCAAACTACAAATTAACTTACTTCCCAGTTAAGGCTTTGGGAGAGCCCATTCGATTTGTATTGAGTTATGCTAAAATCGATTTTGAAGATGATCGTTTCGATCGGGAAAATTGGCCAAAACTGAAAGATCGTGAGTTAAATTTATATATATATATATATATATATATATATATATATATATATTTATACAAAAGTAAATATTTAAAAAATATTTTTAACTTTGCTTGAAAATACATTTTTGGGAAGAAATTTGTATACGGATAAGAAAAAACTGCAATTTTCGTTTGTTATAATTTATTTTTAAAGAAAAAGTATTGATTTTGGTGCGTAAATAGAAAATTTAGATTTTAATTAAAAAAATTAAGATCAACCCGTGTGGAAAAGTGATGTGGGCCCCCAGCGGGGGCCCTTATGGATCGCCCTCATGCCATGAGGGCCGCATATGGATGATCCATAGGGGCCCCTCATGGAAACGACATGCTCATCGATGAGGGCGCCCGCATGGGCGATCCATGAGGGTGCCCCTACGGGCGCCCTTATGGGCCCTCACGTTTGCCCTCATCTTGCCCTCAAGTTTGCCATAATGTTTTTTAATCAATAATATTAATAATAAAAGTTAATTAATAATAAATAAGCTTAAGTTATTAATAAATAACATATTTATTTAATAATTATTCAATTTTAAATTAAATTCTTACTCAAATTGAATTTATTAATTAACGTTCTAATTAATTAACTGTCGGATATAATTAAAAGTAATAATAAATTAATTAATTAAAAAATTAAAAAATATGTAATTTATGCATACTATTAACGAATATTTTCATTTTTCAATTAATTCATACATAGAATTAATGATTAAACGCAAACCTGAGAAATAAATAAATCTAACGCATGGGGGGAATCGAACCTACGACCTACGGACTATGAGTCTAACGCTTTACCAACTACGCTACGCACGCTACTTCAAAACGAATGCTAACTTCTTGATGCTATTTAAACTTGAAAAATACCTAACAAAGAAAAGTGCTTAACATCATTTAGTTAAAGTTAAGATATTAAATTATATTTTCCAATCAAATGCAATTTATAAAATATAATTAATTATATGCTTTATGATTATTATCATGAATCATCTCAGGCGAATTTTCAAAAAAGTGTAAATATATTTTTATTAAAAACGCGTTTTTCGTTGTTTTGAATCATTGGAAACATTCATTTTTTGTTGATAAAAAAATATTTGATTTTTGGACTTAGAAAATTTTGCTAATCGATCATGAGGGCGATCCATGCGGGCCCCTACGGTGGCCCTCATCTATTTTGCCATAAGTGTGAGTGTTATTTTCAAAAAAGTGTAAATATATTTTTATTAAAAACGCGTTTTTCGTGGTTTTGAATCATTGGAAACATTCATTTTTTGTTGATAAAAAAATATTTGATTTTTGGACTTAGAAAATTTTGCTAATCGATCATGAGGGCGATCCATGCGGGGCCCCTACGGTGCCCCTCATGGATTCGCCATAAGTGTGAGTGTTATTTTCAAAAAAAGTGAAAATATATTTTAATTAAAAACGCGTTTTTCATTGTTGTGAATCATTATAAACATTAATTTTTTGGTGATAAAAAAATATTTGATTTTTGGACTTAGAAAATTTTGCTAATCGATCATGAGGGCGATCCATGCGGGGCCCCTACGGTGCCCCTCATGGATTCGCCATAAGTGTGAGTGTTATTTTCAAAAAAAGTGAAAATATATTTTAATTAAAAACGCGTTTTTCATTGTTGTGAATCATTATAAACATTAATTTTTTGGTGATAAAAAAATATTTGATTTTTGGACTTAGAAAATTTTGCTAATCGATCATGAGGGCGATCCATGCGGGGCCCCTACGGTGCCCCTCATGGATTCGCCATATGGATCAGCCCTCATGGGCCCCCGCCGGGGGCCCCGAACTCTTGAGGGCAAGATCGTGGCTTTTTCCACACGGGAAATTTTGAAAAATATTAAAAAAAGAAAATGAAAATATATAAATAAACATTTTTTCATATAAATTGTTTATGGCTCACATAAAGATTTTACAATAAAGTTCCCCGTATAAGTAAATTGGAACATACGTACCAAAAACAATTATCTTTATTATCAAAAATTTAACAAAATTATCTTTATTATTTATAAATTATGTTGGAACCAATAATTTCTGTATTTGAGATAAATACCATTTTTAATGAAATCAAATAATAATTATTTAATGAAAAAAAAATTATTTAATAATAGTCAAGCAACCGATTATTTAACTCAAATAAAATTTTTTTTTTCATTCTAGTATAGGTATCTTTTAGAATTAAGTTTATTATCTTACAAATGAATATAAATTTAATTGAATATGTAATAGTTCGATTAATTATTTTGCTTTCTCATGGAGGAAGCATTGTAATACCGAAATTTTTCGAACTTGATTTTTTGATGTATCTTTATATTTTTCGACCTCAGGAATCAAAAAATTACATTTTAAAAGAATGTAGTTTCTTGTGTGTTTGTATATATTACATTTTTATAAATATCTCGAATACTTTTTTTTAAATTGTTGGTCTCACTGGCGGACAAATAATGAGAGTACTTTGAGCCATATTAATAAAGATTAATTATTTTTTTTGTATTTTGATTGATACTAAAAATCTCTTTCTACAAACGCCCAGAAAATACAACTTAACATCTTTTAAAAAATTTTTATAATACTAAATAAGTTACTATAAACTGATCACAAAAAATCTTCATGAGAAAGAAAAGTGTTCATGAAATGAGCACAAAATGTTAATACATTTCAACTTGACAGCGGTATTTTTTTTTTATTAATTATTTTAAACGTTTTACGTTGAACAAGAAGTTAGAACTTGTTTTTCAATTGTAATTATCTTTTTTTTTGTATTAGCATTTTATAAATGGTATTATAAAGTATTAAAAAAAACAAACCAAAAAATGTTTCATCTAAAACGTTTTGAAATTTAATAATTTCAACTATAACTCTTTCGAAATATAATTATTTTAAATGATTTTTATAATATTTTTTCGAAAATTCAATTATCTGAAAGCATTTTTCAATTAAAAAATTTTTAAGTTCAATTTTTGTCTTTAATTTTTAATAAATTTTTTTGTAACAAAAGTCACAATTCCTTTAAACTGATTTAGCGGTCTGACAGACCGCTATTAAAACTTTCATCGCTTATAACTTTTTTTTAAAGCGTTCTAAATTATGTAAAAATAAAAAAATTAAAACGAAACAAAATAGAAATTGACTTTTTAATCATAAAAAATAAAAAATATATACAACAATTGACTTTACAAAATTTAAAATCAATAAAATAACATAAAAAAGGAATAGCGGTCTGACAGACCGGTGAAATCAGTTAGTGTGATTTTTCGGCACGTATCAGTTTAAAGGTTATTTGAAAGCATTTTTCAATTAAAAACAAAATTGAAATAAAAACAACCCTAACGTTGGAGAAACATACGAGTTTGAATCTAAAATTTAAATTAAATTTACTATAAAATTAATTATATAAAATAAACTATTAATTTTTTAAAATTAAATAATCGAAATAATAATCGAAAAGGAAAATTAAAATTATAAATGACTATAAAATGACATCTTATTTAACTAATTATATGAAAAAATAATTATAATAAAATGAAAATTAAATTGTATTAGCAATTTTTCAAGGTTACGAAAAGAAACCATTTGAATATATCTGAGGCACGGACGTTGAGAACCAAGGTGGGAGAAAGAGTTGAGCGATTGGACGGTCACATCTTGGAAAGGGTAAAATTCTGAAATTATACCCCCACCAGAGGACAGAGACTAGGTCTTTTACCCCTTCCGACACTATTTCTCCCACCTAGATTCTCAACGTCCGTGCCTTAGATATACTCAAATGGTTTTTTTTTTGCAACCTTGAGAAAATGTCTACAGTCAATCCTCCACAATGACGTTTTTCACAATGACGGTTCAATTTAGTTTGAATCTCCTCCGCAATGATGGATGGCGTAACATGATTTAAGCAAATTTCAGTGCCGTATTCTTTGGGAGTTAAGAAATGAAAAATAATCAAAGATGATTATAATATATTCCCCCACAGCACCGAAACTTTCCTAAAGATTTCCTAAAGATTTATTCGAAATGTTCGGAATATTTAATTGCAATTTTTAGTGAAAATTGTGTAAAGATTTAAATGTCCCACTTGAATAAATGTTCAGGAAAGTTTCACACTAAACATTTATTTAATCGGGACATTTGAATCTTTACACAATTTTCACTAAACATTGCAATTAAATATTCCGAACATTTCAAATAAATCTTTAGGAAAGTTTCGGTGCTGTGGGGGATATTTAATTCTTATTCTTATAATATATTTAATAATTTTAATGATAACTTATTATTTCAACTAATATAAAAATATTGATAAATAAATAATAGTTAAATTCAATTATTTCATATACATATTATTATTAAGTGAACAATAAAATGGAAAATTTTATAAATTTTTATCAATATTTTAATTATAATAATAAAAAATTATTTCATTAATTATTATAATAATTAATATAATTATTATCTTAATTACATTAATATGAATATTATTTATAATTTACACCGGACAAATAATTAATTTAATAATTAGTATGTTTTAATAAAGAATGTTTATTAAATTTTATTACGAAAAGTCCCCCAGTGTGTTCCAAATAAAATATGTACTGGGACAGCCCTGGAAAAGTAGTCGGGGGGTATGACGTAGGCACCCGTCAAAGTAAAAGATGAGAGAAGGGGAAATTTTAGGGAGATCCGTCATTGTGGAGGATTGACTATAAATTCAATTTCATTTTCATTTTATTATATATTTATAATTATTTGTTCATATAATTAGTTAAATAAGATATGTCATTATATATGAGGTATTCCATGCCAAATCGGAGACCATTTCGCTTTTGCACCTCAGATCTTTTTGAAAATTTTTTTCCTTTTAGTACTCATGAAGACTAGCTTTCACGATTTTTTTCAAATTTTTTCATCAAGCCCTTTAGGAGATATCAATTTTTGAAAAATTACGTCACTTTTTTTTTAAATGCTTGTAATTTCGCTAAAAATTGACCAAACTGGATCAATCTTATATCAAAATTTTTGTTTTTAAACGTACTTTCTAAAAAAAATATTGAAAGTAATTTTCGAAAAAAGTTTCTATTAGATTTTTGAGATTTAAGATTAAAAATTCATTTTTGTACCTGTGTGTATTGATCGATTTTTTTCAAATTTTTTTTACAAAAACTGCTCTAAATTTGACGAATTTTGAGCCTAGTTCGTTTTTTAATTTTGTGGTTTTGTATGGTCTAAAACAATCCTTATATTATGTGAAAGAAATTTTGGTGCGTAAAGTAAATTTCAGTGCGTAAAGTGAATCACTTTACACACCGTTTTAAAAAGAGCTTCTTTACACACACTTTTCGTTGTGTAAAATTTAACTTTAGAGGTTAGTGTTGCAAAAAAATTGTTATTTCGTTTTTTTTTTTAAAAAAGGCGTGCACAAGATAGTCCGTCATTTCTTACATTTTACATGTTGGACTTACCCTTAAAAATTCAATTATTTAAAAAAGTTTCAAATAAAAACTATTTAAATTTAAAAAAATATAAAATCGATTTTTTCGACTTTTTTTGAATTTAAATCAACTAAAACGACCTTTTTTTCATTTAGAAATGCCTTATGGTCAAGTTCCCGTTCTTGAAGTTGACGGAAAGCAGATGCATCAATCAAATGCAATTTGCCGTTATTTTGCTAAACAATGTGGTCTTGCTGGAAAAAATGATATGGAAGCTTATGAAATTGATGCCGCAGTTGAGACTATTCATGATCTTCGTGCAAGTGAGTGTTTTACATTCATATAAATAAAATTTCAAAGAAAAATTGTTTATTAAGTTTTAAAATAACTTTTTAATTTTTTAGAAATCGCTGCATACAGCTATGAAGCTCATGAAGAAGCAAAAGAACAAAAATTGAAAACAATGAAGGAAACTGTGCCTTACATATTGAAGAGAATGGAAGAACAAGTGAAGAAAAATGGCGGTTATTTCGTTGGTGGATCTCTTTCAATGGCTGATTTGACATTTGTCGCTATTTTGGACTATCTCAACTATATGGCCAAGTATGATATTATTGAGGACTATGAGAATTTGAAGAAATTGAAGGAGAAGGTTCTTGCTGTTCCTCAAATTAAAGAATGGGTCGAGAAACGTCCCAAGACTGATTTATAAAAGTTTTTTTATATTTTTCACTTTTTATTACTTTTAAATATGTTAAAACAAGTATCATATTGTTTTTTTTAAAAAAAGAGACTGTATTACTTTGTCGTTTAATTCATTCAATGAAAATTTTAAAGCCTTTAATAAGAGATTATCAAATGTTGTTATCATCGTAAAAAAAAGATGTCTTGTATTTTGCATTTTAATAAATATCAATTTTAGTATAACTGTCAGTGTTTTTATTATTATATAATAAATTCCATAAGTTAATTCATCATTACACTAATATCTTTGCGGAATGTTTTTTTAACAGGTGAAAAATTAATGAATCTTATGTTGATAAATTATTTTTATCATCATTGATTCCACAAATGACTTGTGTCTTTGTGTGTTGGAAATTTTGATAATCCAATTTATCTGGTACTTATCAGATATTTTTAGATAGGAATTATGCAAGAAGATGTAAAAGAAAATCATTGATTTCTCTTTTGGAATTAAAAAGTTTTATAAATAAAACTGATAAGAGGCAATTTTATTAAAGGGAGTCACCACATCCAATTTTGACCCACTTAAATTTAAATTATTAAACGAGGTTATAATTTTTTTCTTGCGTCATTTTTGGCTCCTAAAAATATATAAGATAGTCAAAAAAAGAAAATTTTAATTTTTGATCATTTTAAGAATTTTTATTTTTTGAAAAAATTAATATTTTTGAAAAATATATAAGATAGTCAAAAAAAGAAAATTTTAATTTTTGACCATTTTAAGAATTTTTATTTTTTGAAAAAATTAATATTTTTGAAAATCCATGCGAGATATTCTTAAGAAACATTAAAAAAGCGTGGAAAAAAAATGCCGATGAAAAATAGTCAAAATTGTGAATTTAAATTTAATTGGATCAAAATTGGGGGTTGTGGCTTAAATTATTTGGTTGTATTGAAATTTTAAATAGTGAATTTTTTGACTAGATGGAATTTTGTAGTGATGTTTAAAATATGATAGCACTTCTATTAGAACAGTTAAGAAATTTTGCCCCATATATTGTTTTGAAAGACTCAATTTGGACTAATGAGTTTTAGAGAATTATCACGTGAATTTTCATCGTTCCTGATAGGCCAAAAAATTATATATCTGTATAGGTAGACACATTTTTAAGATTTAATTTCCAACCATTGTTTTTTGTCATTCTTTATTGCGTGAAGTATACACGATTCAAGAATTCGTAGAAGTCACGTGAGTCTCGTTATTGTCTACCGAGGAAAATAAAATTGTTATATAAATAGGTGAATAGTTATTTTGCTTTTAAATATTTAAATGTCTTTATATACTATATATAAATGTATTATTGTTTTTTTTAAATCAATTATTTATTTGAAACGCCTTATCAGCAAAGTAGTACAGAATAGAAAATTGTTTATAAATTTCAACATTGTATATTCAAATCCATCTGCAATTGAGCACCTGGAAATAAGAACTCGCCAAGCGCTCGGCTGCACACTACAAAGCCAGTTAAACATACAAAAATGATGAAAAAATAAAATTCGAAATTTTTGATTTTTGAAAAATTCTATCTTGTAGGAAATGAAAAGGCGCATCTTTTTTTCCACTTGATTTTTCTCGTCGAATGAATAGTTTAATTAATAAATGTAAAAAACTAATAAATTTTTATTTCCAAATTTCATTCAATTTTTAAACATAAATCATCGTATCTTCGACAAATATTAATCAAATCCAATGAGATTTTGCATACTTCCGCGTTTGGGTCCATAGGATATAATGAAGTTTTCTGTAAAATTTCAAGTAGATTAATTCAATAGTTTAAAAAATATTGAATTTTTAAGATTGCGCGTGTAGCGCGCCAACGAGTAGGCAAGTGAATAGAATCGCTGAGCAGTTCATTACATGAAAAATTACCACTTTCTCACATCTTTTTTCTCTTAATTTCATTATTATTATATATAAATTGTTTTAAATTGGCTTGATAAATAATATTTTTTTTAGTATTTATCATGTGTATATATATATTTATTTGTTTATATTTAAAAATACAACTCAATAATAAAAATTAGAATGTCTTCTAGTAGTATTCAAAATGTACATATAATTAATACAAAATATTAATAACTATAAGTAGTCAAAATTTTTAACAATATAGTTAATTATACATTAGATGTAATTTTTTTAACAAAATTTTTTTCACATTTTTCAATATTGGTCGCAAAATAAAATTGACGATAAAATGTGTTAAATTTTCTATTAGAGCAGTTTTGACATCAGCTCTTAAAAGAAATTCTTTTCCTTACAACATTTTGTAAACATATTTAAGGAGATAATAGAAGTAGAATAATTGAAAAAAGTTATTTTAAAAAAGTCAACGTTATTATAATAAACGGTTTTTTCAACAAGCATAAATAACACATTATTTAAATAATATCTTAATAATTTTTGCAAAACTTTTCATATAATTTTGAAAATATTATTTTATTCGTATGTTTTTAACACATTAACATAAAATAAATTTAACCCAGTAGCAATAAATTCAATTGTTTAACCTAATTTAAAACAATTTATTTATAATAACAATGAAATTAAAAGAAAAAAGATGTGAGAAAGTGGTCATTTTTCATGTAATGAACTGCTCAGCAATTCTATTCACTTGCCTACTCGTTGGCGCGCTACACGCGCAATCTTAAAAATTCAATATTTTTTAAACTATTGAATTAATCTACTTGAAACTTTACAGAAATCTTCATTATATCCTAATACACAAATGTCTCACAGGAAGTTTTTTCAACTATGAACTTCCCCGCAGACTTTTTGTCGGCGAATATAACTGAGTATGATTATACCGACAGGTATTTGTTTATAATTAAAATTTGGTCAACAATTGAAAAAATTTCAACATTTTTTTTAGACTACCCTATTGAAAATCCCAACATGGGATACCACATGGGATCCTATGTAAAACCCCATTCCCCATATGGGAAACCATATGGTTTCCCATATAAATCCCCAGGGTAAATTGGGACAGGAATTGGCATAGGAAAATATCAAAACGAGGTTCCTCATTTCCCATGTCATTTCCTATGTCAAATCTCACGTCAAATATCATGTTAAATACCATGTTAATGATAGAACGTCCAAGCGCCCATCCTGCTGGAGGGTCTTCCGGCAGGACGCTTGGACAAGCCGCTGCGTACTGCCGGCAGGATGCTTCTCCGCACATTGCGCCATCCTGCCGGCAGGATGTTCCGTCATCCTGCCGGCAGGACGCACTTTATTTAAAACATATATTTCCATTAAATTTTCTTAAATTACCACATAAAATTTTATATATTATAAATTACCTTAAAAATTTCATAAATTACCATAAATTACCCTATAAATTTCCAAAATTAGTTTTCAAATTTTTCTTTTAGATATTATAAATTACCTCAAAATTTCATAAATTACCTCATAAATTTCCAAAAATTGCCAAATAATTTTCCATAAATTACCTCATAAATTTCCATAAATTACCAAATAAATTTTCTGCATTATATATTTTTTTTAATCTTGAATTTTGTTTGTATTATTATTATAACACTATGTATAAAGATTTGTATCCAGCGCAATCGCGGACGGATGAAAAAGACTCAGATGAGAGTCTTTCCGAAAAAACATTATAAAATTAATATGGATTCAGATAAAGATAAAAAAATATATATGGTTCGAAAGGTAATTAAAAAAGCTATCAGATCATGTAAATATCAAGTTTCTAAATTTAAATATCAGGGCTGGGTAATCGTATCAATAAACTGAGAAGAGTCCTGCCGGCAGGACCGGGCGTCGACGATCTAGCAGTAAACATTAGGTCAGTTTTACAAAAATTTAACTTCTTTAAGTTGCCTAGCCTTGGGGTTTGAATTTAGAAATTTAATTTTTACATGCGCTGAAAGCTTGTATCTTTACCTTTCCAACCATATATATTTTTTTGTGTTTATCTCAATCCAAGTTAATTTTAGAAAGCGATTTCGGAGGGACTCACCTGAGTCTTTTTCATCCTGCAGGAAGGACGTTGGACGTTCTATCATTAAATACTAATTGAGATCCTTTATCATTTTTTTGAAAAATTTTCCCATGTCATTTCCCATGTGAAATCCTTTATCATTTTTTTGAAAAATTTTCCCATGTCAAATCCTCTTTCGCCTTATCGAAAATACCCACATAGGAGAGCATATGGGAATCCACATGGGACACCATATGGGAATCCACATGGGAAATGGAATACGATTTCATGTGCATTCTTCCAAATGATAAAACAAATAGATTTAAGCATAGGAAATCATATAAGATTTCATATAGATTCTGAAATCTCAACCTAAGATTTCACATGGATTTTCATATAGGAAACAATATAGGATTTTATTCGGGAATTTTTTAGTTGGCTGCTTTATGCAGGTAGCAGTTTACAAAAAAAATTAATTATTTGATTAAATATCAAATAATAATAATGCAACTCATCTGAAAATAAAAAAAATTTTACTTTACTTCTGCCTTAGACTCTCAGCTTTTATAGTATTCCAGACTGATCTCAACTGTGAGAGAAAATATTTTCACCATCTGGTGGCGAAACAATGAAACTATAATGACGATCAACATCTATATTGAAATTTCCTATGTCATTTCCCATGTGAAATTCTCTTTCATTTATTCGAAAAATTTTCCCATGTCATTTCCCATGTGAAATCTTTTATCATTTTTTCGAAAAATTTTCCCATGTCATTTCCCATGTGAAATATTTATTAATAATTAATATTAATAATTTAATATTTGTCGAAGATACGATGATTTATGTTTAAAAATTGAATGAAATTTGGAAATAAAAATTTATTAGTTTTTTACATTTATTAATTAAACTATTCATTTGAATACATACTTATTTTTCTACGTGGAAGACTTTTGAAATATTCTAAGTGAAATTTCACTTGTTTAGATTTAGAGTGTACACTGCAATCTTTCGTTAATCTCACCATGCAAGCTTGTATCAGGTGGGACATTTGTTGCTTGCAGTAAGCTTTCTGCAAGTTTGCCGTGCAAGGTTGGCAACATTGCGCGTCAATCTTTCCGCAAGGTTGCTGCAAGCTTACGTGCTATCTGGGTATAGTCATTTAATTCGTTCAATGAAATTGAAAGAATTTAATAAGAAATTATCGTAAATGTTTATAATTATATATTTCATTACAAT